CCGGGGGTGGGAGTGATTGCGTTGCCTGACCTGGGGGGGTGCGACGACGGTTAGCAGAGCTTAAATGTCGCGACATGGTAGCCTGCAGATCCGTGAGGGGGAGCGTATGGTTGCAGCATCACTTTTTGTGGATTTTTATCCGTTTTCTTTTTTTTCTTTTTTTTCTTTTCTTTGGAGGGGCGTGAGGGAGGAGGGCCAAGGTGGGGTGTGTGTGATATCGATTGGAGCTGCTGGCCTACAATCGCAGATTAAACTACCTGAGTATCCTGCTCGTTATTTGGCCAATCTGTCTGTCTCCCCCATGTCAGGGCCGGATGGTGGATTAGGCCGGTTTAGTGAAACTCTTTCAGACCATATTCTTATACAGTATAGTAGATGTAGTATGGTACACAGTCTGGTAGAATTATTGCAGAAGTGGGTTCCCCCGTGACCCGATAGTCCTATTGGCCCTTAAATGCATTTTTTTTTTTTTGCAGTAAGCACGGCCGGACCAAGAAGCCCACTCTTTTAGTCCTGACTTCCGCAATAATTCTACCAGACTGTGTAGATGATTCATGAATGCGGGTCTCTTGGTCTTTACGAGCTCGTCAGCTATATAGATTTCATGATAGCTATACTACGACCCACGCACGAACCCCAGCCAGCCAGCTATAAAGAAAAAGAAAAGAGGAAAAGAGGAAAAGAAACAGAAAAAGGGGAATCTAATTTAAACCATGAAACCATGAAACCATTAACCCATTACCACCACCACAAAGCAACACCCCCCGCTACGACAACGCCTCCGCCTCCGCCCCCGCAGCCTCCGCCTCCTCGTCCTGCCGCCGTATCTCCGCCTCAATCCTCGCCTTCTCCGCCGCCCTCATGCGCATCAACGTGATGCTCTCATAGTCCGTCCCTGCCCCGTCCCCACTCCGCACCCCCACCACCTCCTCCACCAAAAGACGCAAACCTCGGCCCCGCCTTCGCCTCCGGCACCTCACTCCTCCCCTTCCCCACCTCATGCGTCAAATCCGGCTCCTTCCCCGACGCCCACGTCACATCCCTAAACACCGCCAGCTCCCCCCCGCGACCCCCGGAAGAGGCCTCGCAGACAGCGGCGTGCGCAGAAACAATAGACACAAACACGACCAGCGCCGTGCGGAACTTCTTCTCCTTCTCGCCTCCCGTGGCGCCGTCAGCGGCGGCACAACAACATCCTGCACCTCCCCGAAGCGCGAAAACAGCGCCGAGATCCGCGACGCCGTCATCCCGCCCCCCTCCCGCCGCCCCCCTCCCCGCCGGCCGCCGCCGCCGCCGCGCCGCCGCCGCGCCGCTTCCAGCGTACCTTCAGCGTCCGGTCGAGCTCCGTGAACCTCGTCGAGCCACCGGCGCTTCCGCCTCCGCTTCCTCCTCAGCCTCGACTTCAGCCTCCTTCGCAGCAGCCCTCAGCGCCTCCTCGCGCCGCCTTCGCAGCTCCGCGCCCTCCTTCTGCAGCTTCCCGAGCATCCCTTTCAAACGCCTCCTCCGCCTCCTCGACTCGGTGCGTGCCTTTTTCGCGCCGCGCTCGCGGCTCTCCGAGGTCCTCCTTCATGCGGCGGCGGTCGACGTCGAAGGCCTCTGTGCGGCGCTTCCGTGCCAGGCGGGCGTTGCGCGCGGCGTCATAGGCGGCGCGCGTGCCTGGGTCGGAGAGAACGTCGTAGGCGACGGTGAGGAGGTGGAAGGTCTCTGCTGCCGCGGGGTCCGGGTTCTTGTCGGGGTGCCATTTGAGGGATTGTTGGCGGAAGGCTTTGCGGAGTGCGCTGGGGGAGGTCTCGGTGGTGGGGATGGAGAGGAGGGTGTAGAAGTCGGTGGTGGATGTGGTGGCGTAGGTTGCGGCGTCGGCTTCGGTGGAGGGCATTGTGTGTGTGTGTGTTTGTGGGGGGGGGGGGGGGGTGGGTGTTGTAGAAGTGGTGGTGTTGTGGGGTTGTGGAGTGGTGAGAGTTGAGGTGGATGGATCGGAGTGGAAGTTGAAGATTGAAGATTGAGCCTGACGGCCTTGGCGGTTACACGGGCACCACTGGCGATCTGAACCTGGAGTGAAGAAAACAGCAGCTGCAGCACTGCACTGCACTGCAGTTTCCGTTGATGCAGCTACTGAAACAGCTCTCACTGCAGCTAGCTAGAGCATCCATAAACATTACCCCATTACCATTAGCTAGTCTTACCCAATTCTTACCCATCGTAATACTCTCCCCATCCCCAAAGCTGCAACTCGTTACCAATTCCCCGGTCCCAGGCTATAAATTCACCCGGGCAGCACCCCGCGCTCAGCAGAAACAACCTCGGCACCTCCCCCCCCCCCCCCCCCCCGACGACGACGCAGCAGCCAGCCAGCTACAAATTTAGAAGCGCCGCCCGCTCTCTACCCCACAATATCAGTCTCAGTCTCAGTCTCAGTCTCAGTCTCAGTCTCAGTCTCAGTCTCAGTATCAACACCCACTAGTAACGACACCACCAATTCCAATCCCAATTACACCACCAACCACCCCACCATGTCACTCACCGTACCTCCCCCCCTCCCCCCCTCCCCCCCTCCCCCTCCCCTCTCCACACACCCCGCTAACCCCCCCCCCCCCCACAGCGCACCCTTCTCCGCACCCCGCACACAATAGCCTGCATCGGCCGCAACTACGCCGACCACATCAAAGAGCTCAACAACACCACCCCAGCGTCCCATTCTTCTTCCTCAAGCCCCCCGGCACCCTTCTACACCCCAACGCCGGGCCCGTGCTGTGCCCGCGCGGCGTGGACCTGCACTACGAGGTTGAGCTAGCCGCCGTCATTGGCCGCGAGGCTGACGACCTGACTGCTGAGAATGCGTTGGACGCCGTGAAGGGGTGGTGTGTGGGGATTGATATGACGGCGCGGAACTGTATGGCCCCTTCTTCCCCCCTCTGTGTGTGTTCTGTGTGTTCTGTGTGTTCTGTGTGTTCTGTGTGTTCTGTGGGGCGGTGCGCTGACACCAGGGCGTGAATATCCCAGACCAAGAAACCGCCAAATCCAAGCGCCTCCCCTGGACGCTCTGCAAAGGCTTCAAGACCTTCCTCCCCGTCTCGGGGTTCATCCCAAAGTCACTCATCCCCAACGCGCAGGACGCAGAGCTGTACTTGAGCGTGAACGGGGAGGTGCGGCAGCAGGACAGCACGGCGCTGATGCTGTTCGGCGTGCCAAAGCTGCTGCAGCACGTCACGGGCGTGACGACGCTGTATGAGGACGACCTTGTGCTCACGGGGACGCCGAAGGGTGTTGGTAAAGTGGTGGCCGGCGATGTGATGCGTGCGGGGATAAGGGTTGGTGGCAGGGATATTGAGGAGGGGAGGATAGAGGTTCGGGTGGAGGATCGGGTGGGGGGGTTTGGGGCGTAGAGGGGAGGTGGTGGGAGGTACATAGGTAAATATAAATAGAATCTGTGAGGTTTTTTATTTTCGAGAGGTTCTAGATGACTACTGTGGAGAGGAAAGAGGGAGATAAAAAGCAACATGTAGTAGACCCATCATTATCCTGTTGAAGAAGAAACAACCCTTTTTGCAAATGAGAGAAAGAACAATCGTAAACAAACAAGTGGAAAGAAAGAAAAAGAGGCGCTACAGCTCAGCCCCCCCCCCCCCCCCCGAGGTCCTGTAAAGATAAAACTACAATATTGGCCCTCGTAGGCCCCCATTAACATTCCATCCAATCCCAATCCCAAACGCCCGCATCCGCATCATCCACACCCACACGAACCAGCCCCTCCTCCTATGGCGAGACCTCACGGTGGTGCTGCTGCTGATGCTGCTGCTGCTGCTCATGCTCCACCACATCGTTCTCCACCTCCATCAGCATCCGCTCCCACGTCTCAATCATGCCCTTGTAAAAGTCCACATTCGCCGCCGCCAGCCCGCCCAGCGTATCCTTCATCTCGTTGCTCTTGATCCGCTCAAAGTTGGCCACCTCCTTGACCACCTCCTCGTCAAACATCTCCGTCACGTTCCGCGCATTCTCGCTCTCCCGCGTCAGCTCCTCGATCTTCAGCTCGAGCTTCCGTATCCGGTCGCGTCGGCTCTGCTCGTGGTCCACGCCGCGCACGTCTTCGATCTTGGACCGCAGGAAGCCCGTGGGCCCGCTTAGTCCCGTGGTTCCGGTGGGCGCGGAGGCTATCTGGTCTCGCTCCCCGGCGGCGCGGGTGAGGTAGTCTGTCAGTGCTTCGTAGTCGAGTTGCTTCTGCTCCCGGGTCTTGAGAAGAGACTTGAGAGCAACGATGTAGCTCTCCATGTCCCTGAGTGAGCCGAGGTAGTCCTGGTCCGTGTGTTCTTTCAATGTCTTTAATCCCGTACTTGTCGCTTGCACTGCACCTGCAAATACCGCGATGGGTCCCGCCAGCTCCGGCTCGAGGCCTACCAGCTTCAAGAACTCCTTCGATAGGTCTGCATAGTCCGATTCTAAATCGGCCTCGCGGCGGACCACACGGGTAATGATTTTTTCGACATGGCCGAGGTCCTCGTCTAGCTTATCTGCGCGCTCTCTTACCTCAATGAAGCGCCGGTCGGGCTTATGCACCTTGCTGAAAGCATTCAAGAATGTGTCTGTCAACCCCTCAAACACACCTCCCTGGTCGTTAGCATTGGCCGGAGCACCCCTCGCAGGCCTCTTCCGCATGTGAGCATTCCAGTCCGGTGTCTCTAGAAAGATAAACAGCAGCGGAGTTCTGCGGAGCTCCGGGTGCTGCGTGAGGCGCTTCAGAAAGCGGTGCAGCGAGTGTGCTCTGCGCGAGGTAAAGTCGGGGCCAAATCGGTCCCCTCGGACGTACTCTGGGAGATAGTCAGTGGGCGCGGCGCGAGGAGCGGTGGCTTGGAGGGTCTTGGAGATGAGCGCACCCATTTTGTGTTTGTCTGGCAGCGGCGGGACGGCGCATTGCGGAAACTCGCGCGAGAGCGCCTTGTACAGGAAGACAAAGTCTGTGAAACGCCGGCGGACGGCAATGTGGTGGCGTTGGAAGGTTTTAAAGTCGGTCTGGTGGGAGGGGTCAAGGTTGGGGGTGTTAGCTACAGCTCTCCTGTATGGGGATGGGACAGCTTGGAGCTTGGTGTGTTTCTCACGTCGGTCGTGACAAGATAGGAAACAAATGCATCCTTGGTCCCGTCGTGCACTGTCTGTGGGTCCCCAACGGTTGTGATGAGTTTTTCGTCGCCTATGCCAGCTAGATCTACGGCATCGGCGCTGGGCCCGGCCTGTGATACCATGTCATCGTCATCGTGTAGTGCGTGCTGGGCGTAGTCTTCGGAGTGAGATGTAGCGGGTCGTGAGTTGTCTGTGTCATCATCGGTGCCGCTCCTCCATTGCACGTCGTCGAAAGCATCCATATCTTCTGTAGGGTGTATATATGTCTGAGTGTGATGGCAGAATGTGAATATATGGTGGTGGTGGTTGATGTTGAGTAAATGAGAATAGGAGATGGAGGGGAGATGGCGGGGGGAGAGAGGTAGGTACGTGCAGGGGGTGTGTGGCAGGGAAGGTGATAGGTTATGTTCAGGATACAGACGACGGTTTCAGGATCGCCAGTTACGTCGTTGGCCTTGGCGGTGAGACACGGGGCATCACTCGCTGCCAGCTGAACACGGAGGGGCGTTTCTGCCAGCCATTGGGGGCTGTTTGTGGACCTTCTGCCTGCCTTTATTGCCCTCCTTACTTTTCGTAGGGTGGCAAAGGCTGGTAGTCATGGTGGATCCAACTTTTGGGCTAGCTAATACTCAACCTCCTGTGACGGACGGTTTGGAGAAGTACCAGGGAGACCCAGATATGAAGGGTAAGATCTGTTATATGAAGTCTTCGTTGAGGCCGATGGAATGAATCCTTGCTGTTTGATACTAGTCAACGTCTTGTGGTCACTGGCAATCATGATATATCACTCGCCTGAACCGTAGCTTCCTGGAATGCAGATTCTTTTCAATAACTGAGGCGCCGCCGCAGGTACAGAAAAACTATGGTCACAATGTAGGTAGCAAATTTCACAGTTTTGACTCGGTGATATCGACGACAAGCGGGGTGTTTCCTTCATCGCTGTTTATCAAACTATCGATAGATAGTGCATGTGCATGTGCATATGTAGGTCCAACCTACTGCATCTCTTAGCGATATATCAGAATGTTTTAAGAATCGGTGCATCTACAGAGCCACCAGTCGCCCGCCCATGCCTTTGCCCGCCTCCTGGCTTTACTATGTATGCAGCCGTAGTGTGCAACAACCACCTACCAAGATTGAAAGAAAGCTCTCCGCGTCAAGCCTGACTTGAGGTGTTACCCGCCCACCTTGGTGGCCCTCCACACTACATGTCTCCCCTTCCCACACATATCTCCTCCACTACGTGCAGATATCCCCCTTCCAGATCTCCACACACGAAGAATCAAAGTTTAATCTTCCTCCCTCGTCAAGTACCAAGGACGGCCTCATAATACAGCATCTTCTCCGCTTAGTGTGTGCCCCTCTATGGGAGTGTCCCCTTCCCTCTATCAGTCTCTGAACTGCAGCCGATGAATCAACTAAAAAGTAGTAGGCAGGCATTGGTTCTATAGGAATTGGTTCTTTGGACATCACTACATTTAGATCGTTTTGGGGATCGCTACAAACCCTCATGTTTAACTGAACTATGGCTGGGGGAGGGGGCCTGGGTCAGTGGGTTTTGGCTTGCGAGTTTGACTTTAGCTTTTAACTGGTTCCTCCAGCTTCTTTACTCTTGGCTGCTGACTATGGCTTTTATTCGTCCGCCCCTAGTCTCGCCTGCGCTCCATTTTATTGCCGGGTCAGATAAGACTGGCGGACATAAAATCTGTTGTCTTTGGCACACTTGGGATTGTTAGCCTCCATGTTGCTAGTTTAGAATACGACGAGGGAGCGGAGAGCTTTTATTGTGGTATTTGGGCTGGCAAGTCTAGTTTATGGTTTCTATCAGGGAGACTAGTCTCTTCTGGTTATTTGGTTCTTTGGCTGCTGACTTTTAGGAGCGAATTCCGGCCCAATCATTCATTTTTAGCTCTCCTTTTATCCAAAATATCCATGGTTCCCCGTTGAACTTTGGAATATATCTGAGCGAAATCCAATGGGCATCAGCTCAACGTCTTTAGCACATATACCAACCAAAAAACACAAGACACGGTGGGACGAGACCGAAGAAGGACATGGCCGGTCCACTCTCCCTCTGATTTTCATGAGGTATAAACGTACCTCCGCCCCATCCATCCTAAATAGGGCGATTTTGAAACATGTTAATATTTCTTTTGGGACTCGGGGACCAACTGCAATTCAGCCTGACGCTCAAGTTCGCGAGCAAGACTTCGGGCTCTTTGGCGCAGAAATTTTGGAAATATGGAAGCCTGTATATATGGGACTGCAAATATATGTGCCCGATAGAAATCTGTTCTAGTGCACATTGGAAAAAGAGTTAATAATTTCACCCTTGCCCGTCTACTTGGGCTTGCATCTTGACAGGATTATTTATCACCTACTACTGGCCACCTGGGTTTCAAACATGTGCAGAGGATGATATCCCCATACTGGGGAAAGTATAGATACTCCATCACCGTGGTATTCTACATCTAGGACGCTGGTCGAAACCTCTCTAGCTACGCTTGTAGTATATTTGATATAAAAATCAAAACAGTTCTTCAAGCTTCCGCCCAATATATTATAGATGTGGCTGTGCACACTTCTTTCTATCTAACAAGGTTACGGCACCGCTCTCTAATAGATTATGCTTCTTGGGGGCCGCAATATATTAATTAATAGGTTGGGCGTTGGTAGTGCCAATTACCAGACCGTTTTTTTTTTTGGCTTGGGAGAACCCTAGCTCATATAAGTATTATAATACTGCACCTAAGTGCATATCATTCCCCTCTCCTCCTCTCCCCCGGGCCCTGGCCGAGGATCGGGCTGACTATCTTATTGGGCAGTAACTACCGGCTTTTGCACTGTTGGCCAACTGATTCTGCAGGGTGTGCCCTTGAAGCCAAGCATACAACGATAAACAGCCCTTTGAATCTTCACGCTCGGAGGTTGCTGCTCGATCACCAATTCCAACGAGGAGGAAGTGAATGAATGATCACATCGGGGGTAAATCGGAATATATTGCAGCTGTTGGAACAAGTCCTAACCCAATCCTTTGACCGGTATGTTATTCTCCGTAAACGCAACGATAACTAAATACATGTATGTACCTAGGCTTGTTGCCAATCAACCTGCTACCACACTGGGAACGAGCCTCAGCAACCACCCCCACTTTATCCCACATCATCGATCATATCCAGTAGATCACCGAGGATAGCAACTACGCACCCCGTCCTAGTTGCAGCCCGAATCGCCGCATTTGCCCAATCTGGCCGATGTAAGCCCGATCCGATCGGTCGGGTCAAGATGATTGGGATATCATTGGCACCAGTGAAATTTCCCCGCACCCAACATGAGTTCTTGTCTGTTGATGTGGTTAGTTCATCGTGTACCTACTCAGACCTGGAGCTACAGCTGCATCTTCGGCATTTCTCTATCTCAATTTCCCCTGATCTGGATATGAATGGTAGTGTACTAAGAAATGGCCTTCTTAATAAACGAGCAATGATACATATGGACGTAAGGATAACTGTAATATAGAACGTAGATATCATTACTTTTCCCCCGCCTTCCTCAAAACACCACTTCTCAAATTCTACAAAACAAAGGAGAAGGAAAAAGAAAATCCAGAAAGAAAAACAAGGAACGAGAATCGATTTATTCCCGCTCCTCACAACCCCCATTACCCGCGTAAGCTCGAGAATTGCAGCTGTCCAGCCATATTGTTTTTGAATTTTGGAAAAAACAGAATGCATCCCCCAAACCCCAGAGTAAAAACCAAACACACATACAATCGTATAGAATATCAAAGTATCCATGGGACTAGAAATGAAGAAATAAGAGATAAAACACCACCACTCGTAGGCTTTCTATACTTGCTTTGGGTAAGTCAGAATTCCTACGTTGTAACTTTTATTGTTTTAAAACGGTTTTTTGATTTGCTTGAATGACATTTAAATGAGGTCGGCAACATTCCTAAAACCCAATTAGCATGAAGATTATGGCGGTGATAGATTAAGCGGGGGTACAAACATTGGCATCTCCTCGATCTGGGTCGAGTAGAACTGTTCGATCTCACGCATCATGCGGACATCATCCTATAAAGGTCAGCTACCTAATATTCAAGTATACCAAGTGGATTAGCTTACAGCAGTAACGAAGTTAATAGCAACACCCTTTCGTCCGAAACGACCACCACGACCGATACGGTGGATGTAGTTCTCGCGGTTAGCGGGAAGGTCGTAGTTGATGACCAAGGAGACCTGCTGGACATCGATACCACGAGCCAACAAATCAGTGGCGATCAAGACACGAGAAGATCCTGAACGGAACTCCTTCATAATCAAGTCACGCTGAGTCTGATCCATATCTCCGTGCATAGCGGAAACGGTGAAATCACGCTGGGTGAGCTTCTCGGTAAGCCAATCAACCTTTCTGCGGGTGTTGCAGAAAATGACTGCCTGAGTGATTGTAACAGTCTCGTACAAATCGGAGAGAGTGTCGAGCTTCCAGTCTTCTTTCTCAACAGCAATGTAGAATTGCTTGATACCTTCAAGGGTCAATTCGGCCTTCTTGACCAAAATGCGGACGGGGTCGCGCATGAACTTAGTGGTGACCTCCAACACATCCTGGGGCATGGTGGCAGAAAGAAGGACGACTTGGGTCGACTGTGGGAGAAGCTGGAAGATGTCGTAAATTTGTTCGGTGAATCCACGCTAGAGAGAAATGTTAGTAGTGCTTAATGGAGAGTCCAGTCAGTAGTTTACATACAGACAACATCTCATCAGCCTCATCAAGGACGAAGAGCTTAATCGCATCGGTCTTCAAGGCGCGGCGCTGAATCATGTCGTGAACACGGCCGGGGGTTCCAACAACGACGTGAACACCGTCCTGGAGGATCTTCATGTCATCACGGACGACGGTTCCTCCGATACAAGCATGGCACTCAACGTTCATGAAGTCACCGATAGCAACGACGACCTTTTGAATCTGCTGAGCGAGCTCACGAGTAGGGGCCAAAATCAATGCCTGGCATTGCTTGAGGTTGAGATCAATCTTCTGGAGGACGGAAATAGAGAAAGTGGCAGTCTTTCCGGTTCCTGACTGAGCCTGGGCGATGACATCGCGGTCTGGTAAAGAGTGATTTAGTGAGGGGGCCCGCGGATATTTTTTACACAACATGCAGCCACAGTGGTTGTCATGCAGAGTGGGGGGGTGGTGGGGCAAAAGAGGGGTAGTACTCACTGTTGATCACAGGGAGAATCGCACGCTGCTGAATAGCAGAGGGACGTTCAAAACTATTTAATGGTGAGTATAATCGAAATAAAAAGAAGTCGATTTGAGTCTTCTTACCCATAGGCGTAAATTCCTATATCAGAAATGTTAGCTTGGGAAATTTTGTCTTGGCAGCGCATAGTAGCGCTGCAGGAACATCAGACTAAGATGCCAAGAAATGTTTCAAAACTAACCTCTCAAAAGTTCAGCCTTGAGGTCCATGCTGTCAAAGTTGTCGACGGTTTCATCGTAGTTGGACTCGATTTGTCCCTAAGGAGTAGAAAATTATGTGAGTTCAAGTGCCTATATAACCCCGCCAAAGAGAGCCCGCAGCCCTGTGCGGCAAAGGCCCGAGAGAGGGGAGAGAGCGTGATATAGGCAGCCAGAGCCAACAGGACGTTGGATGGGGTTTTTAAGGGAGGGGAAACTTTGGGCTTACCTCGACGTCTTTCAAACCTTCGGTGGCCATGTTGGGTGGTAGTGAAGTTTTTGTTTTTAATGCTGAAGGAAACAGATTAGTCAAGTCTTCCCCTAGAGAATCCTAGCCAGTAAATCAGAAATCCATACTTTTTAAAGCAAATAGCTATCAAATGAGTCTCTGCTAATAAGAGAGACTGGAGCGTGGTGGATGATGGTTGTAAAGTTGGTGGGATGAGAGGAGAAATGGAGAAGAGGAGGGGACGACAACTCAAATAAAGCAAAGCAAAAAAAAAAAAAAAAAAAACGAGGGGTGCCCACAAGTGCAGACTGTTTTTTTTTCCAAGCAATGTAACCCGCCACGTCCCCCCACTAACTAATTCAGCCACTTTTGTCAAGAGTAGAAAGGATCTACCAATTCTAAGCGTTATCAGCGTATCAATACTATGTTAAGAATTCCATTAGGGACGTAATGCTGAGCATGTTGAACCCAAACTGGCAGGAATAAGCCACAGTCACACTAGCAAACCTACGTAGGAGGTAAAATTAAAATTCAAAACCTTACATCACATAAATTTGGAAAAACGATATCAAGTGGAGAGTGATGGCTCCTTCAACAACCCTTATAGATCCTATACCCTCTCCACCGTCAAAACGTCAGAAAATATTTTCAGTGACTGGTGTGAATATAGAAGCCGATATTCTTTCAATTTCCGATGAAAAAGGCTTTGAGGATACAGCGACCATCTCTTCTCATCCTCTTCGAATAAAACCCAGCGGAAATGCCTACACCTCGGAATCGAATCTCCGTGAGACCTCAACGGGATTATTTGCAGTCTTTCCCGACGAATTGATTATCGATATATTAGGATATCTAGATGCCGAAAGCCTTTCTCAACTGGGATTTACGAGTAGGGGTCTTTATGCCTTTAGTCGTCATGAAGAGCTATGGAAAGCACTATTTATAGAGTATGCATAATCCTCACATTTAGAGCCAGGCCTTCGCAACATCGATTGTATACCGCCGATAATTTTTGCCTGTAGTATTTGCTAATCATATATCTCTCAGATCACCTAAGTCTAAGCTTCCATTCACCTGGCGTGGAATCTGGCGTCGAACCCATCTATCATTGCCTTTCAGTAAAGAGGTTCTGATACCAACTCCAGACCTATTTTCTGATACCCTTCATAGACCTTTTCATATGTCTCAAATTCCGCTTAAGCCTTATGCTTCTAAGATCCCTTCACAAAATGCTATCCTTTGTCTCCCCGACATGACTGCAGAGGATTTTAACCAAAAATACTCCACTGCACCATTCATACTTACCAGTCCAGTCAAGGACTGGGCAGGATACAAGGAGTGGTCTATTGCATCTTTAGTGGACAGGTACCGTGATGTCCGCTTTCGTGCCGAAAGTGTAGATTGGCGACTCGGTGATTACTATGATTATATGAGAGACCAAACGGACGAAAGCCCGCTGTATCTTTTTGATCGGGCATTTGTAGAGAAGACAGGTGGAGAGCTAGGACGTGGTTTCACAGTGCCTGAATGCTTTGGAAAAGATTATTTCGAGGTTCTTGGAGATGAGAGACCTGATAGACGGTGGATGATCCTGGGACCTGAGCGAAGCGGCAGTACATTTCATAAAGTAAGGAGTCATAAGTCTTATGTTTTCGGGGAAGTAATTGGTTCTAATAACCGGCCGTAGGACCCAAATGCGACCTCAGCCTGGAATGCCGTTATTGAGGGAGAGAAGTACTGGATAATGTTCCCACCAGGGTCTCCTCCACCCGGAGTCTATGAATCTGAAGACCATAGCGAAGTTACATCGCCCTTGAGTATCGCAGAATGGCTTGTAGGCTTTCACCGAGAGGCAAGGAGAACAAAAGGGTGTCGAGAAGGTATTTGTAAAGCTGGCGAGATATTATACGTCCCTTCAGGTAATTTCTGTCATTTGAATAATCATCGCTGCCTCTAATAACCTCCATATAGGATGGTGGCATCTTGTGGTCAACCTTTCACCATCGCTTGCATTGACCCAGAATTTCATACCCCCAACCCAGCTTTCGGCCGCGATAGAGTTTCTACGGGATCAACCGGGGTCAGTATCCGGGTTCAATACAAAAAGAGTGAGGGATCCGTATGGATTATTCATAAAAAGGATGGAGGAGCAATACCCAGTGGAGCTCCAGGCGGCTTTGGAAAAGCTGGAGAAGAAGAAAAAGACAAAGTGGGGCACGCTTACTGACACAAAGGGACAAGGTTTTAGCTTTGGTTTTGGCTGTGAGGATAGTGATGAAGAATGAAATGATTAAATTGGGAAACCCCTAGATGCCAACTGTTTTTATGCTGGAGCATCATAAAACTTTAATAAAAAAGTATGTACAACACTTACGGATAGGATATCGAGTAAAGCCGTCGATTGTATTACATCAAGTTTTTATATTTTGTGAGAAAAGCAATGTATCAATTAGGAAAAGAGCCAGGAATATGGTACACAGAATTATACACATTGAACAAAAAGAAATGATTTTAATCATCGATACCGCCCCATTCTTCATCTTCCATTTCTTCATCCTCATCTTCGCTTTCGGGCTCCGTTTGAGCAACCTTTTTCTTAATCTCGCCCTCCGGAGCCTTTTCAAATCCCCAGTTGGCCAATCTCCCGTCAAGCAATAATTCCTTTGCTTTTACCCTGACCATTTTAGTCGGTGACTTTACGCTCAGTATTTGAAATGGCTCGACTAGCTGTTCAGCAGGCAAAGGGTCCTTCATATCTTCTGGACTCAGTTTCTCTAGCTCATCCACAAAAATATCCGTCAAATGAAACCGAAGGCCGTTGGGTACTTTGTTGTCAGTAGGACTATTATGAAATACCTGTTAGTTCACCTCACTTCCACATTCATATCCAAAAACTCCATGAAAACCCACTTTAAAGGTACCTCCTTTATAACCTTCACAACACTCTCAACGAGACCGGCATCCCAATTCCTTCCACGCATGTATCTGAAGCTACTCGCCAGGTACATTCTGACGAGCAGCAAGAATTTGTCCATCCTCAACACATCGATTCCGTTCCATTCCCGAACCATGGTAATCCAAAATGCTTCAAGAAACAACACAAAATTCTTCTCCTCCATAGGTGTTAAAAGCTCTGCCAGGTCGGCAGCGAGTCGCTGCTGAGTCCGTGGGCGATCCGACAGCCACATGCCTATTAAGCTACCCTTCAGTATCCCAGACAGAGAAACACCACTCGCTCACGCAACCTACAGTAAAAAAGTCCTTTCCATAACTTCAAAAGCTCTATCTGAGTGAAATTGCGTTGCGAGGAAAGGTAGCTGCGCAGCGACGCTACAGCTTTATCGCGGGTTGGCCGGTCTATTTAAAAGTGTCAGAGGTTATAATATTATTCGCAACTTTTAGTAAAACGATCTTACCATTCGCCGCTAATTGCTTCACAAATGGTGCTTGCTGGAGTTTCGAATCGGTCATTTGTGAGATTTCGCGATAGTGGGGCGCTGAAGAAAGAAAAGTTAGGTTTCAGAAAATTGTTGGTGCAACAATGAGCCTCATTGCTTGCGGCCGGGTAATTATACAACAATTATCACGAATCTAGCTCTCACTCCAGACAAAATTTCGCTATTTTTATTCACGTTTTAATTCTTCTCGACGGACTGATAAAAGTGAAGGATGATTCAACGTAATTATGATGACGGTAGTAAACATAAAAAGCAGCAAGAATCTAAGATATATATATCCCCGCCTCGGATTACATATATTCAACTTGTCATGATTACATGTAGCCATCTTTTCAGACCTACATAACCACATAACCACATGATGCACTATACTCTCGCAAATAGGCTAGATTGAGTGAAAATAAAAATAATGTTTTGCTACAAGTCCAAACTACATGACCTCACCCTAACCCATAAAAGTATAGCGTAATGAGTGACATTAATTGCAACAATATTGGCAAAAACAGTACGCTTTAGTACGAACCGCGGTTTTAAGGGACCAATCAGAGCCAGCTAGTTTGAATTATGTTGCCCGTAGCATATTTCAATTCATAATTCGAATTACCTTGCTATTTATTCTAAACCTTTAGAAAAGCGCAGTTATTCTTACTTTGGACTATTGCTGCGGAAACAAACACATATTATAATGCGAATTTCGTAGCAAGGCTCTTCTAGTGGATCGGATCTTTGTTTAGAGCGAAACTTGTAGCTCCCGAGATATCTTCACAGTTAATAAAATAGACTTAATTTTTCGCATTAAAGTATCTATAGATATGGAGGAAATCTCCTCCGGGAAATATATTCAGCCATTGCTGTTAATAACATCGAGTGATAGTATATGAAGAGAGGTACCTATCATTAAAAGAGCATCAACACGTGTGTATCTAGGCCTACAGCTCACCTTCTCATAAAGTTAAAAGTAAAAAAAACACCGAGGAATATGTCTTTGTCCAACCAATTCAATATAATATATATTCTGAGCTCGTGTAGACCACGGAAAAGGAATCGTCAACCAAATTCGATCCATAATTCGCCTTCTAGCACCTCAATAAAACAACGTTAACAATATTCCAATTTCACACATAAATAGCTTATCTGCCCCCAGAAGCCTGCTTCATGATTAACGACTTCAACCCAGTCATTGCATCAACCGCACTCAGTCCAAAAGACCTCAACGCCACAATTGGGGCAGATGTTGTTCCATATAGCTTATGGAGCTTGTCAACGACACCCAACATAAGGTGATTCTTGAAGTATTGTTCGGAGTAGTATGGCTCAAGAGAAAGAACGGAACCTTGGATGTATTGTCAAAAAATGTCAGGTGTAAAGGGTTAAAAATCAATGATAGGTTTACCGATATCCTGCCCGTTCTGCACAGCTGTCTCAACAGTCTTGATTAAAGATTGAACATCGCCGATTCCTTGGTTCAGTCCTTGGCCAGCAAGTGGGTGAACTGTGTGCGCAGCATCCCCAATCAATGCAACCCGTTCCCCAATATACGTATCGGCATGCCTCAATTTTAGTGGAAACGAGGCAACTGATTTGTCCTGTACGCCCACGACCCTTCCAGGGACACGGGTATAATCGAATTGGGTCACTGATTCTCTCCACTGAACTTCTCCCGCAATTCCAGAATCAAGATCTTTGATGAAGTCGATATCTACATGGCTCAGCCTAAACGCTGCATTAACCATAGCAGCCATATCTGTAGGTGCCAAGGTCTTGAGCTTTGCCGCGTTCTGGGGGTTGTGGACCATACGAGGGTTGCAAAATCGCCAGGAAGCTACAGTTTATCAGCGTTGCAAAGATGGGTGAAATTCAGAGGAGACTTACAGGTAGCAGTGCCACTGGTCCCGACGGCAAGAATCTCTGATATGCCGTTTTTTCTATTCCCAAGGAGCTCCCCTCAGCCAACTTCACAGTGGCAACCACGCCATGGCGATCATAGTCCCACCCGCGACTCTCAATTCCAGCGAACGTTCTGACGGGCGAATTGGCACCATCCGCACCGACTAACAATCTCGCCGTTAGCTTCCTCCCGCCTGTGATCTCTACTGTTGGCCATGTTCGTAGATCAAGCTCTCCATTATCCTCTCCGAAAGATATATTCTCAACGCGGGTCTTGTCTATCACTTCTACTCCACCCAGCTCGGACAAGCGCGAGAGTAAACCGTGAACGAGGTTGGTATTCTCAGTCATGTATGCGATTGTTTCACTGGCGGATGGATTCCAATTAAATTGAATGCGAGAGCCCGAGATGCCATCCCAAACCTGCACAACGATATTAATGATCCGGCCTTTAAAAATTTAAAATAAACCTCATACCTGCATGCCGTGATAGGCCTGGACACGGTCACGGTCCACATGCTTCCATGCTCCAATATCCGTCAAAAACCCAACCGACCCTGGTGTCAGTGAGCTGACTCTATTTGAAAATGTTTGGGGCTCAGGCTTCCAATTTCTCCCGGGAGCCAAATCGAAACCCTCAACAAGTGCAACCCGAAGGCCGTTTGTTACACTTGATGAACCTACATCACGAATCAGAGAGAGATAATTTCATCCCTGTGAACTAGGGTTGAACATACGCAGAGAGCTCGCCAACGACAGTCCTGCCGGCCCACCACCAACAACTACAACGTCGTACAGATCTGCTTTAGTTGCAGTAGCATAGCTTCTCCTCGCGTGGCTTACTCGAGGCCTCATGACACCATGATTTGTTCGCAGGGCAGATATCACTGCAGAGTATTGTCGTAGGGGCCTTATAGAATTCATCTTGTTGTGTAAACTTGCGGTAAAGAGATTGGGACGTATACGTAGTGTGGGGTTAGCGAATGCGACGGTGCACGGACCATGTCATCTGTAGAGTAACATGGGACTCGAGAGCACCCATTACTGGCAGATATCTTTATGTGAATCAAAATTACCCCTCTTCTTTCTTGTAAGCGCAGGAGGGCCATACGATTCAGCAGATACATGCCTCAACAAAATGGGCATAAGTATACATTCTAGTGCAAAGACTTTAGTGTAAATAAATAAAATTACAATTTAGAGGAAAGACTTTAAGGAAATGTCTCATGGCCGGCCACTATGCAATGCAGGATTCAACCTATCAAGCATTTATCCGGCACATGATGTTCGAGATCTACGCCTAACCCTCAAGGAGTAGAATACCTCAATAATCTTTCATACTTTCCTTTAGGATTCCAGAAGAGGCGAAGGACTAGATGTTTAACTGTACTGATCCTGTACTCACCTAGTAATAGTTCAACTAATGCGCAATACAGAATACATACATGCATACTTAACAATAAAACCTTTAAAGGCTCCGCCACAAAAAATGGAGAATTAAGTACCAAAGTATACAGTTCTTTTCCTGGATCCTAAACTTTCGAACATCTTTACAAAGGCAAATGCGGAGAAACGAGATACAGGGTCAATTCAAGGAAGAGATGCATCAAAAATCAAAATGGTATATCCGAACCGACTCCTGCCAAACATTACTTCCTTGAACCTGGTTTCTTCTCACTCAAAGTCCTCTCCGTGAGTTGCTTCTCCTCTTCAGCCTTCATCTCCCTAACCTTCGCCAACACTACCTCTCTGAAAATAGCAGATCTTGCCGCTCTTGAAAGTCTGCCGGTGCCCTTTCCAGTAGTAGTAGTAGAACCAGGGGGCTTAGAATCGCCGGGTTTTGTGACCCCCTCTTTGGCAGCTTCCTTTGCATCAGCCGGCACATCGCCCTCGTCGGGATCATCATCGCGCATCCTGAGGGCTTCGATACGGTTGGTGAGTTTGACCATTTCAATACCACGGCGGAGACGGGCCTTGGCGATGTAGGACTTAATCTCTGGCAAGATATCATAGTCGGTGGCAGTTTCACCCTTGAGCCAGCTGTGCTTGAGTGCTTCCTATATCGTAGACGAATTGATTAGTCGCCATCCACAATTCCAAAATAATGTTAGATAAAAGGAAGTATTACCGAGCTAGTAGGACGGTCTTCTGGCTTAGGTTGCAAGAGATCTCCGATAAAGACCTTTGCATCTCTACTAACTTCCTTCCAGTAGCGCTCATGGAAGATAACTCTTCCATTACTGCATTCGTCGATCAAGTCTGCAAGACTCTCACTACGGAATGGCGAGTATCCGCACAGTAAGGTGTAGGTGATAACACCCAAAGACCACATATCGACAGCCTTTCCATGCCCCTTCTTTAACATAACCTCTGGAGCTGCGTAACCGAAGGAGCCAGCCATGGTGGTGAGCATCTCGTTGCTTGAGTCAAGCATCTTGGCGATACCGAAGTCGGCAAGCACGAGGGAGGAATTCGCATCAGGGGTAAGGTACAACAAATTCTCAGGTTTCAAGTCTATTGAATCGATTGTGTTAGCTTATTCGTTCCCTCATAAGTCTTTATAGATTGATAAATGTTTACCCCTGTGGACTATGTTGACGCTGTGCAAGTAGTCGACAGCTTGTAGAACCTCGCGGATAGTCTGCGATGCATCCTTCTCGGTGAATTTTCCGTATTCACAAATACGATCGAAAAGTTCGCCGCCGGTAGCTAACTGAGTAACGATATAGTACTTGTCCTGTTAAACGGATGGATCAGTATCGCTGAACTACAAAAGATCACAGCCCCGGTGGAGCAAAAGAAATAGCAAGTCTTTACCCTTGACTCAAACCAATCGCGAAACTGGACAATATGCGGATGGTGAAGCCTCTGCAGTAGCCTTAATTCGTCATACACCATCTGCTCGTTGCCCTTCACATTTTTCTTCAAAATGATCTTTACAGCGACTTTCCCCTCGGGGCCATCGGCTTCGCGAACGATTCCGTAGGTACCTGCACCCTGTAAAATATGCGCAAAAGCTCGGTCAATCTTTTTTGGTTTCTATAATAACAAAGGTTTTAGGGAGGAGGAAGGAGCAGGAGACTAACCAAAGTGCGGCCCATTTTGTACTGGACCCTGAATGGTTCATCGTCATCGTTAGTCAGTTGGCTTCTAAAGCTACCGAAGCTAATTCCAAAAAACATTGCGCGAGGAATAGCTGATTTTATCAAGCTGAGTATCTCTCACTTCTTATCATAGGTAGGCGGCTGCCCGTGTAGCTTGTTAAGGACCGAGGAAACTAATAGAACACGATAAGGAGTAAGTAACACTGTAAAAGCACCTTGCGATACTGAACACGCGATATTATGTTTATAGGCGAGATAATAAAACACAAGTGATAGAAAGGCTTGGGTAGAAGATGTAACGGGAATGAACAGAAAAGGGGAGACAAAGCAAACGGAAGCTTACAGCTCATGTTCTCGATTAACCACTTGTGAACTAATAAATGTCTCTAATTATTGGATTATCTGGATAAGTATGAGAGAGAGTGGAAGCGGGTGATGTATTTATTTGACTGTCTCGAGAAGGGAGATAGGAAGGTAGAGGGCTGATCGAGGGGTTCCAGGGGAGAAATAGGCTTTGACGTTCTAAGGGTTCGTGAGCTGAATGCAGCTGCGGGGGCGGGGCAGATTAGGAACGCTCAGCTCAGGGTTAGGGTTAATCACAAGGCTACATGTAGGTACTGCAGAGTCCTACATGTACGCACGAGAAACCGCGCCTACAACAACAGATATTACTCATTGCCAGGGTTAAACGTATTCATGGAATTCTCATAGAATGGAGGCACCTACAGTCGATACATCTCAGATTCAAGTCGAGATTTATGTGCTCTATTGTATGTTACATACATGTAGTCCGTACATGTAGCTACATGTAGGCTCGTGCCCAGCCCTCCCACACTGCCGCATTGCACGGAGGAAACTCCATCAGCCCTGTTGCACCCTTGGACGTTACTACACTAGCGGTCAGTGGGCGCTGCATCGGGCGCAGGGATACATATCGGTGAACTACCCGGGAAAAGAAGCACTTTGGACTGGAAACTCACAGTGATATATTGGATGAATTAGAATTAGATGAATCATTCCACCTATTTACGATACCTTAATGCTACCTCATAATCGCATTCGCACAGATCCTTCTACGATACCACATGTACATGCATGGTACGCTCATACATCTAATATGTACTGTAAAAGCTCCATTTGCGCGCGCGCTACAGGGTTTATGATTGGTCGAGAGCGAAGAACTCTAACCCACATGGCAACCAGCCCCCCACCAGAATCTCCATGTCTACATGTATCTACACAGCAAATAACTATATACATGTAAGGAGAGCAAGCCGTACATGGAGGGGAGGGGGCCGAAGGCCCCGTAAGTGTAGAGGGAGAGGGAATAAGAGGGAAAGGGAAAGAGAGCTGGGAGAAAGCTGGAAGGAAAACAGTGAGAGAAGATGGCGGGGGAGCTGGCGGGGGAGCTGGCAAAGGAGTTGGCAGAGGAGCTGGGAGGAGAGCTGGGACCAACTCCCGATATCAAAAGTAACAACTCGCGGTCGCGAGGTGGATGGACCCCCTAGTGCATGGTACGCTCATCAATAGCAGCGCCTTAACTACATGTGCCTCGAGATTTAACTATTCTACAAACCCAGCCACAATCTCTGAGGAACATCTATCAACTCCATAAACACATCCAGGCCATCCTATCACCATAGCTATCACATGATTGATCCAGGGTACGCCCTGTAACCCCTTTTGAGCCGCATCTTATCCCAACCTCAGGCCACCTACCATCATAGCCCAGCCACGTGGATTGTCCCGCTTACCTAACTGTGTAACGGCCTCTTTCCCCCGCGTCCTGATCTTACACCCACTGCCCCGCTAGCTCTGGTCCGGGGTTATAAAAGCCCGCATACCAGCTAGCTACTTGAGCTAATCCAAAATCCAGAAACAAACCAAGCTTAACATCATTGTTTTCTTTTCTATAATTTCTTTCTCCTTCCCAAGCAGAAATGTCACATGCAAGGCGTCTCCAACGGGAGCTTCAGAAAGTATGTTAGCATAATCCCCTGGACTGAGCTCCTAGAAATACATGTATTGCACTTACTAAGATTTCTAGATGCACCAAGACGTGCCAGTTCCAGGGATCACAATGGTCAACACAGAAAACTTTACACAGTGGCAGATGGATATCGAAGTTCTTGACCAAAACCCAATCTACCATGGCAAGATCTTTCGCCTGAACTTCAAGTTCACAGAGAACTACCCAATAGAAGCACCAGAGGTTATGTTTGTTAGAGCTATAGATCGAGGTACGTTCTGGATCTCTGAATCGACAAGTCAGGCTAAGCTAACATGGCTCCAGAAATCCCCATGCACCCTCACATTTACTCCAATGGCGTCATCTGCCTAGATCTTCTTTCTTCTGGCAATGGCTGGTCACCCGTCCAGAGTGTGGAGTCCGTCTGCATGTCAATTCAGTCAATGCTTACAGGCAACACCAAGAATGGTACGCATGTCACTATGTCAGCTAGTTGACATATACTGATAAGATATCCAGAGCGGCCTCGTGGTGACGAACAGTTCGTACTTGGCGCTGGAAGGTCCCCTAGGCATATCAGATTTGTGTATGACGATCCTACAGTTTGATACCCTGACAAGCTATGGGGATTAAGATTGATTTGGCAGTACACATATGTCTCTGCCAAAACTGTTTGTGGAAACAACCTATTTTTTTCTCTTTCTCTTTTGTATTTCTTATAACTTTTTAAGGCGCCAAGGTTCACACAATAGGACGTCTAGGGATATATGGATGGGATTACAGATTTAAGTAGGAAAACTTACAATTATTATTATGGATGGGGTTACAGATTTGAGTAGGAAAACCTGCAATTATTATTATGGATATTTACAATAAATAAGCTCGTTACATTCTAGCCTCAGATTTCCTTCTGGTCGATCACGATAGACTCATCATAATTTGTTATTCTATCAATTGCTCTTTGAAACCTGAAGGTCTCTGGCACCTAAATGAAAGCCCTCACCCGGGTATACCCCCAATATTCATATTTCAACGGAATTGTTTGAACCAAATTGCAAAATAAACATGAATATATGCCTCAAATGGTTATAATTATACCACGGTGTCCACCACGATCATAGCGACCACAAAGAGCGTAAGATCGATGCCAAACAAACGCTTCAAGGCAAACGTTACTGACAGTATCTAATCGATAATTTGCAGCGATCAAGTCATTAACGGTTACATACATGGTTGCACGGTTTTGGTTCTTGGCAAATGCCAATGATCGAAAATACAATAAATCGACATCAAGCGATACGCGAGATATATAAACTTAGTTCTCAACAACACTTAGACTCGCAGTAAAATAGATAGTGAGACCGGGAGCTATGAGGCTTAACTCCTAAACCAGACTAGTACTCCAAATAAAAGCTAAGTATTGATTTGTTAGTAGAAACCGCCAAGCCTCACACCATCCCCCTCTCCCGCCATCGACCATATATGTCTCCACTGCTCTAAGCCTCAAACGTCACCAATATTAGTGTGTAATTATATGATATTAAATTTCTCATTATTATCCCTTAAGCTGTCGCGAAAATGCTGACCCACCAAACCAAAAAAAAGCAAATTTGGTGTGGCTTTACAAACAGATCCCGTTATCTCTCTTATCAAATAATAGATCTCTCATACAAATCTAATTCCTCTGTTATAGGGGTGTCAGCATCAACACGTTAAGGGATAGGTATCATTACAAAGAAACCAACCTACATAAAAACTCTGAGTATATATTACTACATGTACTTCACCCAGGCAACGTCACGATCACCACCACCAGAAAACAGAATATTTCAGAAGATATGGACATATGATACATCTGAATTGTATATAGCTTATTCTTAGACGGCCATTCTCGTTGTGGAAGTTCGACTGATAGTCCTCGAGATTTCCTTGGCTCTGAAAGAATCTCGTGATCAGACAACATAAATGAATTAAGTGGTCTTGATCCTCTTCGACAGTAAATAACTAAACCAGGTTTATACAGATCCGCGGAGAACAGCTTGTTTTTGTGAGATCTGATGCTACAACAGAATCGCTAATTGCTCAAGCACCAAGTTAAACAGGCGATTATCCCTTGGACGGATGAAACCTGCAAATTCGCGACTTCCCTCTCTCAGCTATCACTAGCCTTACATGGTAACTATAGCTGGTTTTTGATTGGCTCAATTATTGTTATCACCTGCAAAAAGAAAGACTAAGTGCGTGCACGGTCCAGGTCGCGAATTTTCAGGTTTCATCCGTCCAAGGGATACATGAATTAAAAGTATTAGAGCACCAGCAACTATTATCGAGCTCTAATTTACCAGCCGTTTAGTACCTAAGATCATTCTAGTGAACATGATTACCGATCATTGCAATATACCTATTCCTATGGTTAATTGAAACGGTCACACAAGTCTCATGACTAGAAGGATTCACCAATGACCCCATTACCAGGTGATTCACATAAACACGTGTGTACAGCAAGTAAGGAGATTGCGGTAGATTGGGTTGATTTATCATTCTCATCCCACACCACAAAAAGAAAGAAAACATTGCTACATGATATATCTTGATTATTTGGTTGAGTCACAGAATATCACTCGCTGGATTGCTACGATCGACAGATGCCCGATCGTCACGAATCAAATTCCCAGAACGACACGTCCATATGACATAGGTGACACGTTACAAAAACGCGAAAAAGAGAAACTAGGCCTCTAACAACATCAACGTGAGATTACAAATCATACATGTACGTATACCCTATCCATCAGCCCAGTACGCGGTGCGGGTAAATATAAGATCATTGATATAGAAGCAATACTAGCCCTAATATACGTATATAGATACACATAGATTAATGATCTCGAGAGCTAGGCTCACCCTACACGGCTCCACAACAGCTTGGATACAACGATCCATTGCAATCGAATACTTACATGTAGTTTGTTGCTTGTTCCCCTGTCTGAGGATACATGTTTATCAGTACGTACCGTGTTGATACATGTACATGACAGGCGATTATAGATGCAATCCGTTGAGATCGAAAAACCGATTATCTGTTCCACAGGGACATTCCTTTCAACCACCTCCACCAGGCACATGCGTCTCCAGCTCACCTTCATCAAACTGATTGAGTCACACTCCGGATCAACGATCACATATTTACCCTTATAATTAGACAATCACGCCTTTTTCTTTTCTAAACTTAATTAGGCTATCTCGTGCCCTAATGACAGGTCTATATATGGATGCTATATTCAACTTCATTAACCCTAAGGAAAACCCGGTAAAGTCGCCTTTGGGTGTAACGAACGCAATCGACTCTGTTACAACTGCTTCATATATCCCATTCCACTAGAGTAGTAGTTAGATTATGCCAACAAATTTTTATATTGATAAAAACAGCTTCGACTTACTAGGGCCGTTATTATTTTTCTTTATAGGCCTAGAAGTCCTTTTTTTTTAGAAGAATTTACGGTCTAAAGGATCATTCCTTGTAGATAAAACGATGGGCGATGAGGTGCCGTTTATATTTGTGATGGATCTATCTTACCAACGTCTTTCATTTGCCAATTGCAGCTCGCATCAATCAATGTGACAAAGTTTTGTCACATTTCCCATGGGCAAATCATCTACATGCCAGGTCTCTGGCGACAGAACCATACATGTAGTCATTACGTGTATTAAGAAACCAAGCCTTCCAGTTGCTTCATTCCCGGGTATCGACACCGATCGAGGAGGGGAAATTATGCCTATTAAGCGCGGCTGTCAACTTTGTCTCCTCCGTAATTATTCGGTTGAATTGTGTGTACGATTGCCAAGAAAGGATCATTCCAGGATCGGATGAACAGTTTTGAAACAACCCATGGGGATCTAGGATCTTAGCAGGTCGATGTGTTGATAAAACGGATATCGTTATGCCAAACCAGATGTGAATGAGTGATAATATATGACCTTCCGACGCAACTCCGATTTCAGTAATAGTGTCAGATGCAATGGATGTTTCAAGTTTTTGCTGAGCCAGGTCCGACTGAGCTGACTACTTATCTATCAATCAGTTATTTTAAATTCATGTAGGACCGACTGATTCTGTAGACTGCTGGGCTGAGTTAGAGAATTAAGTATGTATGCGAACTGATTCTATTTCTTCCCGCCTTGTTTTGAGGAGGGGTTCGAGTCACTCTTTTTTTTTGTCTTACGATAACTGTTACAACTCGAGCAGCGACTTAGTTGTTTGAGGTTCGGAGAGTCTTGATTCGCGATCGAGGGGTTACATCTATTCGCGACCAACGATAATCCAATATTCACGGTGGTGCGGGCATGTGCATCGGAGTTGCGGCTCTAGACCACTTTGGCCGCTTACTTGGCGGAGGTACCTACCCGGTGACCTTTTTCTTTTCGTAAGGCACTAACTGATGCAAGCAAAAATTGACAGGAGGAATTAACTGCACAGTTGTACAGCTGATCTACCAACTGATTCAAGAAACTTATTTGCGAACTGATTTTATTGACTGACTGCCTAATTCTGACTGATTTACTGATTTGCTACAGCTGGCTGAGTTGCTGACTGATTGATTGCGGACTGACTGATTCGCGCATACAAGGATCTAGGCGAGCAAGAGAGAAGTAACAGATGCCCGACTTGTGGGGAAGCGGCGGCAAAATCATGCAGCGATTGTGAGTGGGGGATGTTAGAGATGGTGTTGTTTTCCGGTGACGTCTGGGATCCAGAGAGATGGAGAGGGGGAGGGGAAGAGAAGCAACATGCGATATGCCCAGTTCACTATTCAGGGCATCTTCTGTGATACAAGGAGGTCGATGCCGCGGGAGTTCTAGATTTGGGAATTGAAAACATTTGACCGGCACATTTATGGAACGGGTAGAGGTAGAACAAATAGTGCGAGCAAGCGAACGTGCGAGGGGGCCCTTAATTCATGTGGGATATACTCGCATACATGGGGGGGCAATGGCTCTTATTATTTTACCGCTGCGATTGTCGTTGTTTTTTGTCTTTGTCTTTGTGTGTCCTCGATCCTCTCTCCCCTCTTTCTTACTCTCCTAAGTCTCCGGAGTTGCTCCGTCCCACTCAGCACCTCAGCACCTGTGTTCTGTTCTGCCCCCTCACTTTGCTGTCAACCAGCAAGCACCACTACATGATACATACCAACCCATCTACCCTTTTTCTTTCATCGACGCCCCTCCTCTCCTCATCGCCAGATTCTCCACACCACTCTTCTTTTATTATTTTTTTTGCCGGGTTGTCTTAATCGTCGTTGCTTGCCTCGTGTTTGTATTGCCACTTGGCCAATCGCTAGTTTACACCTCTTATTGTCGCACTAGTGCCTGAACTCCACGCTGATTGATAGGCGCCACAATTCCGCTATTACAACATCCCATCAAGCAAAGAATATAATACAGAGCCAAATCAGTAATTTAAAAAAACTATTTCTCTTGAATTTGAAAATTTTCACTCTAAACCACTCGCTACTTAAGGGAACCAACCCCAATACCTCTCAATATCAACTCCAGTCAGATAGTGAGGGCTATGTCTAACCAGGATATTCCCCAATATTTTGAGTTCGGAACAGGTTTTCCAGAAAACGAATTTTTCGGAGAAGGTGGCCCCATCGACTCTTTACTTAGTTTCTCCAATGTGTTCAATCATGCTAGCGGTCGCTCGGTTATGCATTCGTCGATCCAAAACCGTCCAGGCTTGACAAGAGGAAGGATTCCTGGGCTCCCCCCATTTCTTCACCATCCTATCATTAATATGGATCCTATGGCGTTCTTCGGGCAGCAACAACCACCACAAATGGGATTTCCAGCACGGCTAGGCGTCGACCGCCGTTATGAGAGGATACATACACAAGCCCCGCCCTCACCTCCTATCCCACAACCTTCAAATGGACGTAATCGAAAACGCCGCGCTTCAGAAAAGGCGATCTCAGAACTTAAGCACATGCGCTTAATCGACCTTAAAGAAGATGATGACTGCTGTATTATTTGCATGGAACCATTCGTGGACATTAAAGCATCCACAGATGAACCCAAACAAGAGAACGCCCTTCAGATGCCATGCGGCCACATATTTGGCTCTCATTGCCTTAAGCTTTGGCTTAAGGATCATAGCACATGTCCCACTTGTCGCAAGGAGGTAGACTTTGTTGAAGAGGATGAACGGGGCGCCATGGCAACAAATCGTCGGCGGGTTGGTGGTGTAGATCTGCGTCATATTCCTGGAGTGTCAAGTAGGCGTGTGGGACGGGAGGCAACGGTGAACCGGCTTGTAGAAGTAGAGGTAATTGTTCGGCAGCAGAGGTATGCTGCCCCTCCATCGCAAGAGCAGTTGGAGCCAGCAACAGTAGCAACACGGGTTGGCGTGGCAGAAGAAGCAGGATGGATGGCTGCGGCATCGGGAGTGGTAGCAGGTCCACATGTACCACCGGCACCACCTGCAAATCAGTTTTCGCAGTATATGAGCATGGTTGGTGGTGCGTTTCCGAGTATTAGGATTGAGGCATCGATGAATCGCCATCTACCCCCAGTAATGCCTGCTCAGCAGACGGTACCAAGAGTCTGTGGTCCCCGCCCAGGACATATCCACAGAGTTGGCGGTTCTCCTGCTTTCGCTCATGGAGTGTTCCATAATACAGGCGCCGCCTTACATGCACAGCAGCAGCAGCAGATGAATCAACCAGATCAACCCCATGTACCAGCGAGCATGCCTCAACGCTCTCAATCTCATAGACACTCATTAAGACAATCTCAATATCAACCATATCCAGAGGTACTCACTTCTCACCATAGCTCGCCGATCACCCCAGAGTCGATGATCGGCATGTACGGTGTTTCTCCCTTAGGGCTTCCTTCCCCAGGATATTCCTCCGTAACAACGAATATTACGCCAGATAATCCAGCACAGACGCCACTCCCAAACCAATATGGTGTGCCACGATGTCCATGGAACCCTGCTGTTCGTGCGCAACAGCAGCAGCAGCAGCAGCAGCAGCAACAACAGATATATCACCAGCAGCAACAACATCAGCAACGTCAACAGCAGCAGCAAGGGATATATCAACAGCAGCAAATTTCTAACACCGATCCTTCCCCAATCTCTCCACTTTCTCGCCTCCAAGTCTCCGGCTCAAGACACGCTTCAACAACTTCACAGGATCAGTGTGATTACACAGATATGTCCCTGTGTCAACACCAGTTTGGCAACATCAATCCTGAATTCGGCGCCGGCAATATCGCACTACTGCCACCAGACCAGACACAGATTATACACCTAAATTGTGGGCATGGATTTCATAGAGCTTGCCTTTTAGTAACAACAAAATCGAGGGCTCCGAGGGGCGAGGCGCAATGGTTGTGTGGCAAGTGTGGAAGATATGAAAACGAGGCAGAGGGGAGGCAACAGCAGCAGATAAATGAACAGTCACAGGAGGTAGCAGAGTAGATTGGTTCTGTGGATCTGTGTGTGAGGAAGGGGATAATAACACAAACCACATGAATCTGTGGTTTGAGGTGTGATTTCTTTTGTTACGTGTGGCCTATTTTGTCGTGCCAATTCTTTAGGGGGCTATTTTTTTCTCTATTTTTTCCATACCATGCAGCGCTTTCCTTCTCTTCCCTCCACGACCTTTTTTAATGTTCTAGCAATTCTTTTATACATATTGGTCTGTGCTACATTTATCACAAATGATGTTTCCCTTTATTTTCTTTTTGCTGTCGGATGAAGAGAAGGCAAATTTTACAACGGGACGGGTGTTTGAATTGATTTGCAGGAATAGCTGCAGAATTAGGGTTGCGATATATCTCCGGGAAATAGAAAGGCCGTGGGGGGGCCTTTTACTCATCATTAACACCTGCTCAAATTTACGAAAATTATTCTCGGTGTACTAGGTGTCTCGTCATGACTTCCGAGTTGAAGAAACGTATTTTGGCTAATCAAACTACCCCCGGTGCGTTCTTATTACTATCAAAATTCTTCTATAAGCCTATCTTATATCATAACGAAATTAAAGAACAAATAAATGTCAAACATCATCACACAAAATAGGTGCGAGTGATATACTGTGATTATGCCATTAGCGATCATTGATTTGCACTTCCAAAATACATAGCCAATTTACGTACATCCTACCTCGAGGCCTATATTGATGGTGCCAACAAGTATATTCACTATACTACAACGAGAACCCGGCTACCGGGTAAGGGTTATCTATTCAGTATATATTGGTCGAAGGATATCGATCAGTTCCGGCATGCAGGAGTTCCTGTTAGTAGTAATTCTGGTGCTGCGTGTATAACCGATTCTTCATATTCTGACTGGACTACTTAGACGAACCTAGCTAGCAGTTAAAGAAGGGGTTGAGACTATTTTCCAAGAGCACTACAACGATTGATCGGCTACGTATAAATACAGCCCAATTCTAATTTAACCTTTCATGTGGAGGTCCTAGAGTGTTGCCAGAGACAACTGCAATATTTGAGGCTTTTAGCTTTGCAAAAGGACGTACTCGATCTGACATAGAGAGCTTCTAGGCTCCGGGTCTTACAGCTAGTAGTATCTTTATTGTATAACACGGTCAACATGTCCTCAGACATAATGAAGTTTCAGTGTAAAAGCTCAATAGGTCGGAGCTTAAACCAATTCTCTGGGCAATCTGCAGGCCTATATATGTGCCCTTTTCCAGTAAGATGCTTCTATTTCTTTATCACTATATACAATTATATTATTATATCCATCCATCCATCCATCTATACATCCGTTTAATCTAAAATCGCAAGAGTTCTAGATCTATAGAATAAAGGTCATGGTGTGTTATGGGTAAATTAAATGCAGCCTCTTAGCCTTTACTTAATAGCTATGTTGTACATCCACATACTATCTATGCGCTATATACGTGGCAACATTCAAATATTTATCACCTAAAGGGGCAATCTATCCTATTCAATTCTCTATAAATACGTCAACCTCAGAATTTCTTTCTTCCTTTAAGTTAAACTAGATCGGTGTTCTCCTCTAGTATTCTTCGTGACAAGTGTTTCTACTACCAAAGCTGCAGATTTCAGTGAGCGTTTTTTCATAGCAAGCAAAGACGAGTTTGCCACCCCAGACAAGCTATTTCAATCCTTGAGGTCCCAGCCTAGACGATACTCATCAGTCTGATAAGGGTTTGTGTCGATCAAAGACATGATAAGAGCAAATTCCACTTGACTACTTTCAGATTTAATAATTGGCTCTGAAACACCGCTAGTACGAAAGTAATTCAAGCACCACTACTAAATTCAGTAACAAGTACTAATTGTCTACTAGCCACTTCAGGACTACAAATAAATCATCCCTCGTCTCTAAAGATCTAAGCAAGCAAGCATGCGTTTTATTTCTATCTTTCACGCCACTAAATATGGTATTTAGTACCTAATAGGGTTTCAACCCAATCTAAATGCCAGTACTCCCAAACCCTCCAGCACCCCTCACAGACTCTTCCAAATCTTGGACCTCCTCAACTTCGGGGGTGTAGATCTACATTCATTAGCCACAACCCCCGCCACGCTAAACAAAAGGGAAAAAGAGAACAAACCCTCTCCAACACAAGCTGTGCAACACGGTCTCCTTCCTTGACTTCAAAATCGGAATCCGAGTGGTTGAAAAGCAGCACTTTGACCTGGCCACGGTAGTCGGCATCAATGACACCCGCACCTACATCAATGAAGTTTTTGGACGCAAGGCCACTGCGGGGTGCGATTCTCCCATCTATGTGTAGTGGGTTAGGACTTGAGAGAGGTGAGAGATTGATAGTTGACCGGAGGCTTACAGGTTCCGGCAGGGACAGCAATGGAGATGTCAGTATCGACCAGAGCCTTCCCCCGGGCTGGGATAGTGGTAGCGTGGGAGCTATTCACCATCAATACTACTACTCTCTAGCACGAGTACATTCAACCAAGGAAATTTACTACCTATAAACGTCGTACCCAGCTGCAAACGCAGAGCCGCGGGTTGGGAGCTGTGCCTTAGGGGAGAGTTTCTTGACCAAGAGCTTCATGGCCGGCTCGACAGGTGGGGGGGCAAGGACTGAAGACATTCTGAGGATGAGTAATGGGGTAAACGGACTGATGGGGTGTTTTGAGGATGGTAATGATCAAGTGTCGTGTTGCAAGGTGTAAGGGAGACGCGCCGGAATGAGCTGTGGGAATTTAAGTATCTGTGCCTTTTTTTTCCCTCGAGTGCTGATTGGTTAAAGAAAAAAAAGTAGAAGCTCTATCTGTGAGGGGTGGGAGGGGAAAGCTTTTTTTTTTTCTTTTCTACTAAGTAGCCTTATGCACCATGCATCCATCAAACGCGATACCAGTCCGGAATAGGAAAGGGTCAGTGCAGTCTACAATTGCAAGCTCCCTCACTCTTCTTCACAGCATGAATGATGAAAAAAAATAAAGCAAAACAAAAAAGTTGATATCTATTATAAATTTCATGCGGGGTATTACGCAGAAACGCTCCACACATCAAATATCCACCAAGTTTAATCTACACCCGAAAGAAGAAAAAATAAAGCTGCAGCACATACATGTATGCAACTGAAGCCGATCACAGCCCCTCACTCGAGCCTCGCAGCTTTAACGCAGTCACCCGGATCTAGCAACTCCCTCTGAGATTGCACCAGCCTCAGCTCCGATGCCTTTGTGAGTCTTACATGTCTTGCGCGCTCCTCTAACGCTTCATCCGGCACCGCAGCTCTCAAGATCGCCATCCTGCGATCCCTTGCCTCCTGCGTCTTCAGCAATACGTTATGCATGGACCCCAACACCTTCTCGACGGCCCTGGCGAGCGGTAGTTCCAACGCGTCTACCCCATCCGGCGACATCCAGGATGCTGTCCCCAGCAGCCCATCCGCCTCCGCTTCCGCACGAAATCGAGCCATGGTAAGCGCGGCAAACATGTCGCCGGTACCCGAGAAGAAGCCATCGATGATGGAGACGTCGACGACGAACTTTCGGGAGCTGCCCGTACTGGTGACAGTGGAGCCAGCGCATTCCATCTTTTTGTCGCTGGTGCCAAAAGTCACAGAGGTGATAATGACATGTGGCACTTTGTAGGTTTGGTGAAGCGTTGTGAGCGCCTGGGAGAGAGACTCGAGAGAGTCAACCTTGACACCAGAGAGCAGTCTATGAGTTGTTAGCTTGAGAGATGGAGATATGGCCTTATGATGCTCACTCGGCCTCGAACTGGTTCGGTACTATCAAGTCCGCCAGCGGCAGCAATGACTTGTATACTGGGATCACATCATCAGCGACATACAGCCGGCCCTGATCTCCCATCACCGGATCCAACACTACACAAAGCCTCATCAGCACAACGAACCTCTAGCAGCCAATTAGAGCTAGAAAAAGAAGATGAAAAACCTACACCAAAAAACCTTCTTTCTCTCCTTCAAATTCCTGACTATCTCGCCGACGACCTCGACACCTTCGGCGCCGGGTATATACCCCGTCAACAACATGCCAAAGTCGTCATTTCCATTCATTTTGAGGCCCTCATAGAGCTCCTTAATCTGCGCACCCGTAGTGCGGTACCCTTTCGTCTGTTTGTATCCTGAGTGGTTACTGAACTGCACCGTATTGAGCGGTGAGACCTCAAGCCCCATCACTTGGAGCACAAATGTGGTGACGCAGTTTCCGACATAACTGTTGAATTGTAGCTTTCCCCGTGCGCGACGCAGGAAAATAGTTTGATTAGTCTACGTTTACATGCAACAATTGGGCTGGAGGTGTTCTCCATTGACTACATAGAGCACTTTAGATATCTCAGGCCCCCCCCACCACCCCCCACGATATTGTGGGGGATGTGAGGAAGGGTAGGGGTGTGGAATAGGCTACTCAATGATCGTATGTATGCATACCCAGATACAACCTTTCACGATGCATACCCGTCAGCCTCAGATCTTGAAAACAGATCGTGAAATCTTGGTAAAGTACGGATAATCTAGCTGTGGGTTGGGGCCTGGCAGGCGGGGGCGGGAGAGGAACTGGGCGTTACATGGGGGGGCTGGATGGGGGTGGGGAGGGAAGAATTTTCATACATGACTTGCGATGGCCAACACTCGACTATCCTCAGCAGCAGCCATGGGGGGGTTTCAGTTTTCCAAGCCTTGGTTTGAAGGTAGATCGACGAATCGGAAATTTAAACACTCGACAGGAGGCGTTGACAAAAGTTAATGCTGTGCTGCTGCTGCTGAACAGGGGGCGGTGGTTGAAGGGCTTTTATGAGGAGAGTTGTTAGCTACTGTACTCCTTTAGTCAGTAGGGCACGATCCAATGGGGCATCCAAGGACCCTTTCAGGAACTAAAAAACACCCTAGCCCATATTTGTTGCCAAGAGGTTCCATCGTCACCAGCAAAGAAACGCTTTCAGCAGCAACAGGAAGTTGCACCTGCATAGAAAAAAGAACTCCGCAGCGCCGCAGTATGTCACAGAACGGGTTCGCAGGCCCAGCTGCTCCCCCAAGGTCCTCAGGTTCGCTCCAGGGTCCCAACGCGATGGCCTCACAACGTGTCGCCAGAATTGAAATTATCATGTAACCCATGTAACCTCAGCCTGTCGTTGAAAAAAGATTGATGATTATGTATTTCACAAATTCAAGATCTCAAGTTCCCGCGACGGACAACAACAATTACAACAACGTCGGAGAAAACTCATACAACAGGACTCCTGGCCGAAACCCACAATGTACCCCTAACCCAAACTATACGCCATGCCAGTTCTGGCAGGCACTAGCCAATCAGCCAGCTCACTATTCACTCAGTTACATGGCCACGTCTTCAGGACTACTCTACCAGGAACTAAGCATCATGAAGCAGGTAGGATGAAGTGGGAGAGGAAGCAGGAGCTTCCTGCTGCTCCATCAAGATGACGAGAGTTTGATGCTATGTATATGTAAAGTCCCGACGACTTATTCGGGTTTTGGGAACCATACGACAGGCCTATGGGAACCTTTCGATCATACCAAGAAAGGGTTAACTAGTTAGACCCCATCATCATCGGGACCTCAGAGGGCCCTGACTGATTCTAAAATATCCTGTAATTATATTCCGAGCCTACTAGAGCCGTCCCGATCTTTACCCAATACAAATTCGGGCGGCAAACCAGAAGACTACACGGTCCCAAAACCGGCTTCTTCTTCTTTTCCCTTCTACCCTTCATCTCAGGCCCCATCCATCACCAGCACTTCCATTCGCGGCTCTGAAACAGTCCCGACTGGGTCCACTACGTAGACGGTAGAGTAGCTATTTACAATCTTATATAGCTAGATTAGTGGGGGCAACTACATGACATGTAGTGGGTTCTCAGGTAAGTATTGGCGGCACCAGCTGCTGTCCGCGCCTCACATCGTATTTGGCCGACTAGCTGAACCGAACCAGCTGAACACCTCCCCCTCCCCGCCTCACCCGAGCCCGCTCCAGATCACGGGTTTGGCGCCCCGGTAGTTTCTCTCTGTTCGTTGGTGGCATGCTGCATAATGAGCTTGCTTTGCTTAATTGAGGCTTACATATAGCTCTCCGCTCTAGCTACAGTAGGTGATCTACCTCCGCGCAGAGCGGGGGTTAATAAAGAGGGGATCAAATCAGGGATGCCCCCCTCCCCTCCCTCATCCTACATAACAGAGCAGAGGAGAGGCTGAAACATTGATGGAGTGAATGAGTGAGTCCAGAGTCACCATTCCTCAGCTGAGAATGGGGTGTGTGGTTGAATGAGTAACTACCTCAATTTCTTTCCACACACACGCACCTGCCCACTCACTCGTTCACTCAACCCCTTCACATACCCCATGCAAGCTGCGGGGAGAGGAGGGAGGCGGGGCGTGATTAGCGAACGAGTATATGCACTTTACGCCCTTTTAGATAGAGCGGATTAATTGGCGGATGGTTGCCTGCCTCACGATAGTAAAAGTGGTTGTGGGTGGTCTGGGCGTAGGTAGCTACAAACGAGCTAGCTTACTCTAACCCTCAAACTCTAAGTAAAAAAAGACGGTAGAGTCAAAAAAGGGAAGAGGGGTGATAGGCTGATTGATAACATTGATAGATGCACAAACCACACTCTACTTTCACCTTACCCCAGCTACACTCTAGAGACTCTACCTAGCAAGGCCACCACCTACCCTTTCCAGATCGACAGGGACTGCCTAAAGCTGTTTATGTAGGTATGGTGAGCTTGCCTGCCTGCCTGCCTGCCTGCTTACTTTACTTGCCTGCCTGCTTGATTTGATTGTGCTCTACTTAAACTTCTTACCACAAAGTAAAAATCCGACGCCAGTGCCGAAAGCCGAAAGCCGAAAGCTCGTCAACACCGGGAAAAATAAAATTCATTAACCTTAACTTCCACCACCACTGTCTACATCACATAAGCTAGCTAATAGTGAAATCTATCTACCGTCCCTCCTCCCCCATACACCCCCTCCAGGTAAATCCCGGTAGAATTCGGTAAAACTTCGGTCAAGACTTTTCCTCCCCCCCCCCCTCCAAACTCTTTGCCTAGATCTTAGGGTAAGGGGTGGAGGAGAGGTGATGATGAAGCTGATGATGCGGCCTGTACCAAACGAAGTAAGCAGGTCAAACAAGCAACAATCTATCTGTTGCGCCCTAAGAACACCAAGCCTAAGCTTGTTTGCGTCAATCAACACAGATGGGGTAAATGATAGACAAAGTTGCAAAGTTGGGGTTGAGTGTGGTCTTCTAGTTCAATAAGATCTAACTATATTTCGTAAAAGGAGCCCTACTAGCTCAAAGCAAGATCAAAGGTCCCTAGATCGTCGCACTACTGCTACTACTGCTCACCAACCCAGCCAACCAAACCGGCCCAAAAGTCATTACCAAAACACTAAACAGACCCAGCAACTACAAGTAATAAGGTTATCCTAAAACCAAAAACTAAGTAAACAATCCATCATCACTCATCTCATCTCTCAAAGATAAAGGGTTAAGAAACTAGTATACAGATTTGCACAAAAAAAGTCCCATGTTCCATCCACAGCGTAAAAAAATATCACGCAGATTTCCACAACCCTCATTTTCCCACCCGTAAAGATCCCAAAGCCGAATATCCCTATGCCATTCTTTTGGTTCCGCAGAGAGTAACCGAAGATGAAAGAAGAAATGAAAAGGAAAAAAAGGTTATAAAAAAAAAGTGAAACTAAAAAAGGTTAGAAGAAAAATGAAGAAAGATAAAGAAAAGATATAATCCGCAAGATGCACAAAAAAGAAGAAAGAAAAAAACATGAACCGTACTATGTAATGGTAACGACAGACCAAGCACTAATACACTCCCAACCGACCATGAGGAAAATAAACCCTAGAAGGACCAAAGTGTACATGAAAGAAATAGACCGTCGCAAATGAGGATGAGTAACGAAACCATACTTACATTCTCGTCCTTAAAGAGAAAATAAACAGGACAAAGTCCTAGGCTCTATCATGTAAACCCACATCCACCGCATGGACATCCAACGCGGTAGGGAAAAAAAATGACAAAAACAAGTGGAACCCTACTAGCATACAACAAACTCCAGGTGAAATGAGGTGGCAAGGAAAGACTGAACCCGCTTATTGGTTCTTACCGCTGTGAACCTTCTTGTGTCTTCTCAAGTTAGAGACAACAGAGAATTTTCGTCCACAGCCATCGACCTCGCATGCAAACGCTAAAAGAGGCTGTTAGCTTTTTAAGTTTATCTTTAAGTGTTTAAAGTGTGAGAAGGGCTTACGTTTCTCGCCAGTGTGGCTGTAAGTGTGTGTTTGCAGAGAACTTGGTCTTGTAAATCGCTTATCGCAAACTTTACATTTGTGCTTCTTTTGTGTGCTCGATGTGATCTTTGAGCTAAACGTTGTCATGAGCGCGCCCTGCACAGGTACTGACTGGATGCCGCTAGGTCTAGGTAGCGATGGGCGAGACCCTTCCGTTGTGAACCCGGCCGGATCTGAGTAGTCTGTTGCTGACGAATCTACAGATCCGCCCCCATAGTATCCGTTGTACGAAGCTGTGGACGAGATTGACGAGTTTGTCGAGTGGCCAGGGTAGAAGCCGTCTGCCCGTTGCCTGTGCTGCCGTGGCGCTTGGCTCATGGCAACCATCCCTCGAGCCGAGTCGAGGGTGTCTGAGAATTGGTTGTTTGTACTCCGGGGAGGTTGAACGATCGGCCTCGCCGTGCTGCTCGTGGTCCACTCCATAAGAGAGTTTTGCCGTGGTCGCGGTGCTTCAACTGGAGATCCCAAGAACATAGTGTTAGACATTGCAGGTTGTGACATGCGTCGATCGTTATTGCTCATCGGATATGAAGTCCTGTGGTGGGTCGAGAAGTCTACTGGGGGCGCGAATGAAGGGACGAACGAAGTAATAGCAGTGGGGGACGGTGCTGAGGACCCAGACATACTCATGTCACCCGTAAAAGAGTTGCTGTTTCCAAAATTCAACATTTCTGACTTCAAAAAGTCGTTCGGGTGGGACGACAGCATATTTGAGGTGATATGCCTGCCAGGGTTGGAAGTTGGAATTTCTGATGTTGTTGGAATGCCGTTCTGGTATGGTGCTGATACGGACGTTCGCATTTCTGGTTTGACGATCGAACCCAGTCCGCGAATTTCGGGGATTGATGAAGCCATTAGGTGTTGTGCTGTTGGTCCTGAGGTCCAAGGGTTTGTGAACTGTACTTGGCTGCCGAGTGATGAAGGTGGTTGGAATGGGAAGCCAGTGTGCATCGAGTGTCTCTGCTGGTTATCGAGAGCCATATTATTATTTTGTAGATGTTGTATTGTAGGTAAGCGTGAGGGACGTCAAGTTCTGAAGACCCTTAATGTTTGAAAGTCTTTAAGGCGACAGAGTTAGAGGTTTGACAATAAAGTCTCAGATATCTTTGGTGCAGGTAGATGATATTGGGCACATCACAGGACTCGAAAAAAGATTGCAGAGCGCAAATACCTAATAGAACGAACTCAGGATCATCAACCCGACACGGTAGCAGTTTAGCAGATGAGACGATAGTGAGCGAATGCTGGTCGACAGTCGATCAAAAGTATGGGGTGTGTGTGGGTGTGGGTGTGGGTGTGGAGTGTGCAGTAACAATAACAACAACGGGATGATGGGATGGGATGGGATGTGAGCAGCAGGTAAATCTTATGTTGCCTGAAGATATGTTGTAGCAGTCGTGAGTAGTTGTGGTTGTGTTGAATGGATGATAGTGGGGGGAGCAGAGTGAAAAAGAGTATTGTAAAGTAATAAGCTGGAAAAAGGTCGGTCTTAGAGGGAGAGTATCTAGATAAGTAGGCAGCAGAGTCGGGTCGCTGGGACGCTCGAGTAATTATTGGGGGAGGCAGGCGGTAGGCGGTAGGCGGTATCGAGAAAAGGGCTGTTTGGTGGAGCAAAAGCAGGTTGTGCAGGGCAGAGGACCAGGCAGAGCAAAGTAATGTAAGCAGAACGAGCAGGCAGCCAAGCACAGACAAGATATCAGAATATTTGCAATATTTCCCTAAAAAGTACTGTCTTTACTTGTCTTGGTAGTAGGTATCTAATCGGCCAGTTGAAGCATGAGTTGAAGCAAGCAAGTACTCTACACTACATGTATTTTGCCCTTCTTAACTTCAATAACCAAGTTAGAAGAGGCTCCGGGGATCGTCGTCCAAGGCCCAAGCGAAAAAGCGAAGAGAGATGACGGTAGATCAGTACACGACGAAAAGCAACTTGTCAAAACTCTTAATTATATTATTCTTGTACACTTTATCCCCGTTTTGTTTATGCTAAACCTTCACTCTGTCTATATCTACTACCACTAGTACTACTGCGGCGGAGCAATAGATCCGGTCCAAATACGATTCAAATAGAGAGATACAGCATTCAAGGAGAGGGATTATTCTTATTTTTCTTATTATCAATGTAAATGTAATGTATCCCTTTCCTTTCCGGGGGCAAAGACAGGTAGGTAAAGTGAGTGTGTGCAGAAGCAGAGAGATGTATAGGAAAAGCGCGAATTGAACCACAACCCACAAGCACCAGCCAGCAACGACTGCCTCCAAGACTCTCAAAAGCAGGAAAGAAGCAAATTCAAGAAGCAATGCCAACGCCCGCCAAACAGGGATGACTGGTGAAGGGTGTGGGTGCCCTGTGCACTGGCCGGGGGGCCAAGAGTGGCTAGCGCAAATTTGGACTGGCGCGGCAGCGGATGGAGGGCAGTTTCCGGTTTGCCCTCAGGAGCACTGATGATAGGTAGGAAAACAAAAATTGAGAGAGAAATAAAAGAAGGACCCTGTCCACCGAGAATTTCATGGTGATAATATTACCAGAGACGGTAAGAAAAAGGACATTACGGGAACCTTGTAAACTTGTCCAGCGAATGGGGGCTGTGATGTAAGGGAGATGGGAGCCAAAAAAGCTCGTATTTAAATTATACGTACCAAGCAACTTGTTTGTAGCTTTCTCCGAATCCACTTCGGCGACATAAAACAAATTTGTTTTTTATTAGATGTACTTTTTTAGGATCCAAAAGCAAATAAAATCAGGAGGGTCAAAAAAAAAACAGTGTCTACATCAGTACATACATGTATCCATCGTTCACACAAAGGAGGTTGAAAGAGGCTGATTGAGTAATGTTGGACAAGGGACAACTGAACGTCGCTGCTGGTTTACACCCACGCAGGGGTCTTTGCCTACTTTGTACCTTCAATGATGATGATGGCTTAAAGTCGATCTGTCAAGAAAGGATTGACAAACAGGAAGAGAGTATCTGGCAGCAGAAAATTTTGAAATAAAATCGTCACTATCTCCAACGTTTTTGTCCCACTTTTCTCTCACTTCAACAGAGAACCCTCAAATCCCCAAACTTCATCACCAACACTCCGATCGCACGCAGAAAAATTATTACATTTTACCAACAACACCAGTTGAATGTATCTTCTGGCATTCCCTACCCCCCCCCCCCCCACACACGTCCCAGCACAAATTGAACCCTTTTGTGAGCAGGTTTTTCCAACTATTCGCGAAAGGGTGAAGCGAGAACAACCGAATAGGATGGGGGGGAGACGCGCGATGCCATCACAGATGGAACATGATGCTGTGATGGGTGTGGTCGGCGACGGAAGGAAGACCTCTTTTTTCTCATCTCCAGGTTTTTTTCCTCTGCTCTGGCCGTCTGGCGGTCTAAATTTGGGGCCTAGCCAACCAAGCAACATCGAAATAAGAAGGGTGAAGGCGTACTAAGCCGACAGGGCTGCAAATGACGATGGACTATCTCAGAAGCAGGGGGTACCCCCGAGTGTGTGAGACCCTATGACGAAGCGGAGCGGGATGGGAGGATCAAAAATGCGGGCGCAAAGGGTGGAGCCGACTGCAAGCCCCAGTCTCGAATCTCTCTCAAATGCAAGCCCCCCGGCAGGCAGCCGTGCTTTGGATGCGCCAAGAAGTCCACTCATCACACATCCCACCACACCCTCTCAAATGCACGCACCTGTCTCTGTTCAGTTTCTACCGGTATGTAAAGATGTATATCATCGAAGACCACAAACGTCCACCCACTTGCACCCCAAATGAAGCATTTCGTTCTTTTCTGGTTGATCAGCAAACTGACTGGAACTGCCAGACCCTACCTGCCAGTCTCTTTAGGGATTGATATCATTCCTAGAACTGTACTGTACGTCGTGTGAACGTATGTACATGGAATGAATCGTACAGAGAGAGAAGAGACCCTTTTGCACTGGCACCTAAAGTATCACAACCATTCTTAGTCTTACACCCACACCCCTCCTCTCCCACCCCCCCCCCCCCCCCTTACCCTACATACTACATCCACCCTATGAACCCTACGCCGCCTATGTATGGCAAGGTGTTCGTGCAACTAACCAACCAACCCAACCACAGCTGTTAACAATTCTTGGCATCTCTCACCCCCCCCAAACCCCCTCCCCCAAGAAGATGGCGACAGTTTGATCCTTTCGAGAATGATTTTTGCGCAGAAGGTTGCGGAGACACAAGTTGTCAAGTTGAAGCAATTTCGCCACCGATCAAATCGTCATCCGCTACCCGTGACATCATCTCACAGGGATAGCCCCTGCTTCGGCACTTCTCCCGAGCTCTCCAGCCAAATCCGGCCATTTGAAAAAGGTCCGGAAGAAACCGTATTTCCTCATAGGGATTTCAATATTTAATTTTTTAAAAAATAAATAAAACGATTCGGTGGAGGGTCCGAATTAGATAAATAATTTTATTCGTTACTTTAATTACCATTATTTACCAACTTACATAACTTTTTCTTGGCTCTTCCCCCGATGTCGATCTCCTCGGTCAATTCGCGCTTTTTTCCCTGCGCCGGCTCTGCTGCCTGTTCAAGAGCTTCGAGAATGCGACTTGAAACGAAGCCGAAACGCATTTGACGTCACGGCGCAGCGGGGAAGTTCAGCCATGCGTTTCCGAACGCCTCCTTACGCACCACCGTTCCGCTGGACGCGAACCTGGTCTTTGCTTGACATATGCGATCTGAAATTAGAGCACATAGCAGAGGGCAGATAGACAGACACAGATATTCAGTTTACTCTACAGGTACCGCGCATAGGCATAGGATATGAGGCAGCCCCCACTTCACAACCGCCAGGTTCAAGAAAAGCTATGCCTATGTGTCTACAGCGGTGAGGCGGCGGCGAGAATAGTAGGAAAGAGAAGGAAGGAAAGAGTTTATAGAAAGAGAGAGAGAGAGATACGTACCCGAGGTCATTATCCAGGTTTATCTCCTATCTCCAACATCTGCTGCTGCTGCTGCTGTCAAATTTTGAACAACGGGCGCTTGTTGTAAGTGGTATTTGGGTCCGAAAAACATAACGTTCCTTCCCTAACACATATCTCCGACCAAAAATTAGGTGGTGGCAGCGGGTTTGGGGAACAGACGAGTTAGACGAAACCAAAACCCGCGAAAACTCCGGGACGTTGATTTTAGAGGTAGGCTCGTGCCCCCTCATGGAGCCGCGATTGGATCTTGGTCCCGGCTGGATTCTAGAAAGACGCTTCTAAGAACCCACCCACAGCAATAATCTCCGTCGGTGACACAAACTACACCCTTTTGTGGACATTTAAGGGTCCTGCCACTTCTTGTTACGGAAACAAGAGCGCATGAGAGTTTTTGTGGGGTAAGCCTCTTTACCGTTTTGATGAGCTTCCCGGTGGTTCAACGGCTGTGGTTTTAAGGTTTGTTTTTTTGTGTGTGTTGTGCTACTCGCAGGAACAGCCAATCTCTCCAGCCATCGTGAGTATTTTATTATTAGACCCTCGATTTGCCTATGCGCCCCGACATTTAAAGAGCTTTGGTAACTGGAGCAGGCAGCATAGCAGCAGCATAGCAGCAAGCAATCAAGCACTACATGTCATGGGTACCGCTGCTACAACCGGGATCAAATAGCACAGCCTTTGCACGCAGGTACAGGAAACAATAACACAAGCTGTTGTTTTAGCGATGAGGGAGAGTCACGGAATATCACCATCATCACAGACAGGCATATCGAATAGTTCAGTGCACGCTACCGCTTAGGCTCCAACTCCATTTTTCACCGTCTCGATGAGCAAGCCAGACAGCCAACTTACATGATGTTCTACAGCGCAGACGCATGGGAGAAGGAAAATGAATTAGCTGAGTTGAGCTGAAAGCGCAGACTGTTTGATCCCAAGAAGATGGCTCGCTTGTTTCAATGCCCACCAACCCCAACATCTTTAGGTAACCGAGTCACATCCGATCAGGTGCGTTCATGTAACTGCACCAGCCAGCACCAAAAATACGATGCAGTCGAGAAGCAGCTATCAAATTCCTCACCACCGGTCCCATCGTCTATGATCCCTGCAATCCGTCACCCGGATTTCCCCTTTACCAGGACATCAATCTCTGTTAACCGTACGTTGCTGCCGCTGCAGCTTATTTTGCGACCGAGAATTTCCCTTCGATGGCACGATGCTGTTTGTGGCACAGTGCTTGATCTTGGTGCCTGCCAAAATCGCAACCTCAAGCACACACTTTTCGGGGTTCCCACAAGAGAATCCCGATATTATTACCGGTACTACGCACCCAAACGCTACAGTACTTCTACTTATCGGCACGTTACGCTGATACAGAAAGCAACAACGAAACGCCCCTTGTACATATATGGTTCTACCAACAACCTGTCTGCGCTTGGTCGCTCTTTTAGGATGTCCCTCTCTTCCACCCCAGATTGGTAGTGAATCCCGACGGGGGGGCTCCTTCAATGGCTTTTCGCCTATCGATTGAGGTTGGGGAAAATCCGCCGTGTCAAAAAAAGCCACCACCACCGGCAAAAATTGGTTGCTTAACCCTCCTTCAACTCCCTCACCGGAGAAAAAAAGTAACAGATCACATCGCGCCTTGGGAGTCCGTGCGCGCTAATATCCAAGCCTGGCTAGAGCAGCCTACGCCCAAAAAAACGACAAGACACTTTTTTAATAATCTATGTAAGTATTCCCCGCAATTTACTTATCGCGTCTTCCCTGGCCAGATCTGGACACACGTTCAATTCTTCCTCCTGATGGCGTCCATGGAATTGCATCAAGCCTTTTTGGCTGCACTTACCGCATCGATCTGGGCCAGGAATCGTGAGCGTGGTGGGCCTTGGCGAGGTGTTTTTCCAGGCCAGAATCGCGTGCAGCTGCTCATATCTGACCGATTCAGTACCTTGCTAGCTTGTACCGCATACAGCAGTAGAGTAGAAACATCAAACCTCGAAATTTCATTGAACCTTTACTTCACTTTACCTTACTTTACCTGAACAGACACAACACACATGCAACAACCCGCACCCCGTAGAGTACTCTACTCTAACAAGGAACGTTTTTCTGATAGGTAGCTAGAGAGGACCTAGAGCCCTTAGGCCTTTCGCAAAGGGCTCTAGAGTAGAGTAATATCCGTCCAAATGGACCCCCTCCCTCCACCTCTGGAGGAGCCCCACACCGCTGGCAGACAGAAGGATTAACATCCGCACGTTGTGCCCACGTTGCTGGCTTGTCATCGTCTGAGCACTAGCCCAGTATCTCTCTCCTAGGAGAAGTTAGAGGAAGAGAAAAAAAAGAGGAGGGCCCCAGAGTTACGATGATGCCAAGATATATAGGCTACCGGGTGTCACTTTTTTTTCCTCCTCATGCTTCCTCGGAATGTTCCATATTTTCTTTACGTTTGGGTTTGGGAGATCAGGACAGAGTACATGGCTGGGCATATGCACGGCAATGATTTCTAGAACCAATGGCTGTTAGTTTTGAAACGTTGGGGTTAGGTAGACAGAATTCTAATATATATCGTTGAGTACCCATGATGTACCTTCTATGCAACTAGTAGTACCTTAGTAACTCTGGGCAACTGCTGCTGCACAAACTGGAGTTTCCCATCTGTTTGGTAGCTCGTGAAACATTAGTTCGTTGGGGGGCCGCCTAATGCCCGTCACCTATCATTTCCCGCCGTAAGATCTAGTCTATCATCTCACCGCCTACCTACCTTACCTACTCCACAAAATCTCTCCCCACGCCCCCAAAGGTTCACGGGAGGTGAAGGGAGAGAGGGGTGTGATGGGGGTAATTTAGGTTAAGCTACATATGCAAATATTTTTCAACAGTGACCATGGCCATCGAGGCGGAAAATTTCATTTCATTTGTTACACCCACTCCCCCCAATCCATCCATCCAGACACAGTACCACACACCACCACCTACACACCACCACCACACACACACCAAAACACTTCAATTAGATGGATGGAATATACCGTCCCTCCCTCCCCCTTCCCTGCCCTTCAATGTCCGATACACCATCGGTCAGTCGTGCATGGCATCGAGATTCAATAATTTCACTTTTTATTTTTTTTCCCTTGGGCTTCCCCCTTCGCTTCCCCCCCCCCCCCCCCTCTCGAGTTCACACCCCCCCCCCAAAAAAAAAACCTCTCTGTTCTACAGTCGCACCTCGCTATGCCGGATGGTCAAGATTCACCAAATCTCGTACGGGATAGCAAATATTCCCAAGAAATCCGGGATAACAAATTGGTTTTGCAGTAAAAAAAATTAAAATCCCAGAGGATTTCGAAGGAATCCGGCGTATTGAGATCCAGCATATCGAGTTTACGGCTATATTATAATATCCCTTTTGTTATTGCTATTGCAGACGAAACGAAACAGGAAAAAGCGGAGGGCGATCATTTCCCCCTTTCCCTTTTTTCCTTCTGTTTCTCATTCATGGCGACTCGAGATGGGTGTGGTGTAGTGCGGCGGCGGCGGCGGAGAATAGAGTAGGTGGCTGTAGAGTAGAGTGGAATAGAATAGATTAGGTACATAGATTAGGTACAGTGATGGCCATCGATATCGAAAACAAGAGTTAAAGTTTTTCCGTTTTCCGCCTGCCCTACCCTTTCTCTCCCTCCCTTTCATTTATTCCTTTCTTCAATATATGTGTATGGGTGTGTGAGTGGATGGATTGATGGGTGTACCAATATCATCATCATCATCATAGGGTCCCTCCCTCCCACTCGATGGAGTACTCTAGGTAGAGATATCCTCACCAGCATCTCGCACAGTACTCTACTCCTCGTGGCCCCCGCGAATCACACCCCCCCGATGTCCTGGTTTCCTCCACAAAGTGATCATTCTACCTACTCTCTATCTACATGCCCTTTTCATTTTTTTGCGTTTTTGCCTCTGGTGTCTCTAATATCGGGCATGCTCCATCACTCGGTTTGTTATGTCTACTAGCTTACATGTAGTTTCCACATGCACACCAGGCGGCTAGGAAGGCTTGTTACACTCTCTTCTACCGGTAGTCGGCAGTCAATATGATTGAGCCCTGTTCTGTTCTCTCTGGCAAAGCAGATCTGGGGGTGCTAGTGGGTTACCGGGTGCTATGCTACTATTATTATTACCCACACCTCTTCTCTCTCTCGTGGTAGGGAAAATAGGGAGCAAGGGAAGGAGGAAAGGACCAGGGCGGTGGTGGCTCCGTTGTTTCGTGTTGAGTGGAGTGGTACACAGATAGAGTATCCAGCCCATCTAGGTGCTCTAGGTTAAGTTAGGTATCTATCTAGAGTAGCTAGGGGTACTCTAATGGATGGCCCAGACAACAAGACAGGAAGAGGAGCGGCCCTGCGTACGTACTCTACTCTAAGTCCGCATCTAGTCAGGCACTACATACTCTAACCTCCCTCTACACTCGAGAGGTAGGGAATATAGGGAGCGAAGCCTAAAGGGAAGGAAGGGTAGCTGCACCTCCAATTTCCCATACTCTATGTACTCGCTCGCTCGTTCGCTGTGTATACCCGTGCAGCGTAATGAACCATTAAGTTCGTGGCATCATGCTCTCTCTACCCGGTATGGTACGGTCACACCCTCACTTGATTCACCTACCCACTCGTTCACGCTCACGCTCACGCTCACTCAGACTACACATGATATGATCTGATCTGTCTGCCTCGCCAAAGCACAGTAAACCGTTCTCCTACATCATGTACAATAGTTACTAATCCACCTCCTCCCTTCGGCCCACCCTCCCACTTCTCCCCCCCTACCGGCCACCCCATCTCACTTAGAAGCCAATCCGCTGCCGCCGCCCATAAAACCCGCATCAAGCACTAAGTATAGATAGCAACGGTACGCAACGGCCGCCGGTTAGACGTACGTATGTAGAAGCTTACTACATCCCCTCTACCCCATCTATCCACCTGCCCTGTCCTGCCGTGCTTGAAAATTCCCACGGCTCCGGTAGCCATAATATTACTATACCGTATACCAGTAAGCCTACATGTAGCTGCGTCATCGTTCGTTTTTTCTCACCTCTGGATCGATACGCGTTTTTTGGCAGAGTGAGTTAATTGTGGATGTGCGGAATGTCTATCTGCCAGCTTGGCGAGATGTGCTGATGCGGGTTGATGCGGGTTGGGCGGGGATAAGCTTTTGTTTTGGGGGTGATCGGCGGTGATTGGGTGTGTCATGGCCGATCACTCGGTCCGGGGTTAGGATTGGTGTGATGGCGGCAAGGGTGTGTGTGTGAAGATTTTGTGCGTGCTGGGCTAGGGTTGTGCTAGGTTGGGTTAGGCCGGGATGGCATGTCGAGTGATCGCTCGTGTAGCTGCAGGTGTGGTTGAGCAGCCGTGATCAACATGTGGGATGTGTGCGGGCCAACACCAGGTTCACAGCGAGACATGGCGACGGCTTGGGGCCTGGGGATACCAGGAATTGTTCAGAGATCTGCTATTTACATAATTATATGTATAAGAACATAAAGGGCCCCACACCGGCGTGTGTATGTAACCCAGATATAGGTACCGACCCTCAAAGATTCATTCATATATGTGCTCACAATGTCTTTGCATTATAATGTACCGTTGCTTCATGATTCAACTCAATCCACATCCTCTATTCGACTTTCCACCATCAGTGCTAACCTCAAAACCCGCCACTTACCTAACAAGAAAAAAGCACCACTACACAAGAATCTTGCACGATTCCTCCGGCGACGACAGGTGCCCACACGTCGCACACCTCAACAAATCCTGCCTCAGAATCCTCCAGTTCCCACACCCGCCACACCGCCGTGACAGCACATCCTTCCACACCTTATCCCCACAGAACCGCAGGTCATCGTCATACCACCTCAGCAGGCCCGCCCACCGATTCCTATACCTGCCCGACGCTAGCGCCTTCGTCACCGCCTCGTCGGATAACCTCATCACCTCCTGCACCACCTCCGGCGTTGGCTCGGTGGGCGGGCCCTCCAGCAAGGCGATTGCCTGCGTCACGAAAGCGACGTACTCAGCTTCGTGTGCGCCCCAGTCCCAGCCCATCAGCATCTCGCTGACGTTGTCGAACTCGTATGACCGGATCTTTTGCCAGTTCGTGTTTCCGGTACCAGCTAGGTACTGCCATAGTGGGCCCAAGGGTCCCAGGGCGGGCGAGCGCATACATACGTAGTTGAATACGTTCATGCGGTGCAGCCCGGGTATGCGGTTCTCGCAGTAGGCGTCGTACTTGCTTAGTACCTCCGCGCGAGATCCCGGGTCTGCCAGGTAGTGCTGCGTAAGCTCTGCGGCGAACACACTGGTCCCTATATTTGCATTGATTCCCGGCGAGAAAAGTGGGTTTGTGAATCCGACGGCATCGCCGATGGCCACCCAACCTTTCCCGGAAACCTTCGGCGATTGGTAGGTAAGCTGCTTGCGGATGAACCATGTTGTGTTGGGTCCATAGAGATCCTGGATGAGGACATGCTGGTCCATAAGGCCTTGCATTTTTGGATAGCGGGAGACAATCCAGTTGAAGCGCCTTTCGGCCTCGTGGGTGCCATAGGCAGATAGGTCGTTAGGGTATACGACGTCGTTACGTAGCGCGAAGCCAATACTAACGACCCAGCGGAATTTGAGGTTGAACTTCCGTGCAAGTTCGTAGCAAGAGGGGAATTGGTCACCGGGGGTATTGAGGGCGTTGAGGTCGAGGAGGTGGTTGATCATTGACATCAGATTTGGGATTGAGCTGCCCTCCCAGGATGGTAGTCGGATAACCCAAGCCCATCTATTGCGAGAAGCCTATTAGAGCTATTTCAAGTCATTATGTGTGTTGAAGATAATACCTACCCTTCTGCGAGACATATATGATTGGTATTGCACGATTCGTAATTACTCAATGGGATATTGGACTCATCCCCAGGACATTCAAAATAGGCCCAGAAAGCATCTGTGTTCCACCCCTCAAAACGTCTAACCCTCGACGCCTTCGACGCAAAGCGCCGGAACCTCCCCGTGGCATCCACAACTAGTTGAGTCCGAATCTCCGACTCCTTTTTTGTCTCAACATTTTTAACCCTAACCGTACTCTCATTCTCCTCAAACCTCGTCGCATCAATATCAACCGCGTGCCCATGCAACACCTTCACACCAAGCCGCTGAGCAAATAGCGTAAGCAGCAACTCACTAATCTTGCGCTCAATCTGCAGGGTCGGTACAAAATCACCCGGCGGGCCATTCGCGCAGAACGACGTATATTTTTCTGGATCACCACTCTGGGGAAGGTAGTAGAAAGCCAAACCATCCTTTGGGCCGAAAAGGCGCCATAGCAGCGGTGAATCAATACCGACTGTTTTCAACCACAAGCCGAAAACTGTTAATGTGCTCTCACCGATCTTATAACCGGGACTATTTGACTTTTCTAGTACTGTGATCGATGTTGATCCGCCATTAGGCTGGCTTAGATCGATTTTCTTGGCATGGATGGCGTAGATCAGGGAGTGGATGCCAGAGCCTACGACAACCACATTTGAGTCTGTAGGAGCTGTCGAATCTGTGTTTTGGGAGTTGAGGAGGGCGGTGTCGGATTGCTGCCGTTGGAGCAGGAGTGTGCTGAAAAGAGCTCCTAGCATTGTGGGGATTAATTAAATTTCCACTTTTGACAAATAGCAAAAACCCAGGGGATTTGGCTTTTTATATTGAACCCAGAAGCTAGGATGGCTATTAGCTGCTCTCGTCACTCATCTGTACGATATGCCGAGACCCACCGCCCTGGGAGGACAACCCCCAGCACTAGTGCAGTTACCGGGGATTGAGGCTGGGGTCTGATATTTGAAATCTTGGTTGTGTAACGCTGATTTCTCGTGTATCTGACTTAGAGTATGTCTCTAAATTGAATCAAAGATCTTATAGCCAATCAATAAGACAATCATTTCGGAATTTGCCTACCGATCCCGTCAATTTGAAAACCCCTTTCCCCCGCAGTCTTCAGAAACCTCAGGCATAAGGAGGGAGATCCTTCCGATCTTTCCGGCATGAGTTTTGGCTGATGTGCGTACTGCCATATCTACACGAATACTAATCATTGGCCTCCGATTTACACACCATTCAACTAGTTGGCTAGATCTTGAGTAACCACGGCACGGGCTGTGGGAAACTCGCGTAACAACTTTTCATCGCGTAGTGAATCTTTCCTTGCGGATATATGTAGTTGAACCTTCCCAGAATGTCAGGCAGGCGCGAATGTGTAGATATTAACCCAACTGCTGTAACCAACTACAGTTAGCCCAATCATAAAATTAACCGGTATTTTGGTATTGAGCTATGACTATGTAAAATTGGTCCCTCACTCATAACCACATGTGTAATGCACATTCGCGTACCTTATCTCATTGGGCCTGAGCAGGCACAAGTGGTTTGAAGAGATTATAAAACCAATACCGGTACCCCAGTAGCAGCAGTGTTAGAACTATGTACTCTCCGGACGTGTTTCAAGCATTTTATGCACAAATGCTCGCCATGTATTGTAATTCTGGCGAGAGGAAATTCTTATAGTGATAATGGTAGGTGCTGCATGTCTGTGGTAGTCAACACCCGGCTCCATAACCGTAGATTGTGGCACCCTGGAGCATGTAGCAATCACTGAATGGGAGGAAAAGCATAAGTACTAGTTGCAACAACTGTGTATATGGGGGAGGAAGTTTACGTCTCGTGAAGAATCAGATGATCCCTCACTGGAGGGGAACAAGACCAAGGCATATTACTTACCATTTAAACTTGACTATGATGTAACAACCGTTGAATACTAACGATATTGAAATTAAATCTTCGGGATAGCCTGGGAAATTTGGAGAAAACGTAAGAAGCTGAGGTTGGCTCAAGACGGGATATATTAGTCACAAGGTATCACTCGACCACTCGGATCTTGCAGGTATTGGTGAGACGAGATCAAAAAGCAAGAGAAACCTGATTATATTGAAGACTCGGAGGTTTAATTGTAGCCGGCGAACTTTATGGTCACGAATCGAATAGGATACTTTGTCGTATAATCAAGAAATTGTGTCGTATAATCAACACAACACATGACGTGTCCGAAGATCTGGCCTCGCTGTCGTTTCAGTACATCTAGCCATATCAATAATAGAGCAAAAGGTGACATCTGGGACAAAAACTCACCTAAGTACTCGCATATCAAGTATGTATTTGCGCAACCAGCAAAACACACACAGAATCCAGAGAGCTTTCCCATCTCCCCTGAAATTATGTGTCTTCTATCTAGACACCTGAAAGACTCTACAGGCCACTTTTAGGCCATATCTACAAAGAACAAGCACTGAAGGTGAAATGTGTCTAAAAGGGTCCTTTTATGGCACCTTTACCAGTATCTCAATTGGGCCAAGAATTTGAAGCATGGACCTCCTTTATCAAAATTATACTATACTTGGTCGTTGATATTTTGGTTTAGGTGTGGGACTTTTTATGAGTTGTTGAAATACATAATTGACGTGCGAGTACACAGATATCTGCGTTAAGTGTACCCCCCCCAAAAAAAATGTTATTTTACCGTGGGGATGGTTACGTCTGTGATGATTGGCGACAGCTATTCGGGGACCTGAATAACGGGAGCAGGCGGGTGAACACAGATTTTTCCATGTTGACCATCCTTCGAAAGGTCACTTTTCAGTAAATCGTAAAAGTATGTAGCTACTCGGGGCTGCCTTTCACTGGAACGGGGATTTATAGCTGCATAGAGCTGTCATAAGGTAATATTACCCGGTAGCAATTCTCCCAAGGCATTCACCCGATTTGTCTAGAGGAACTGAAGATATTTTGCTTATCTATCTGCAGAGAAGACTTCTGCATGGCTAGAGCCCGCAGTACGATTTGAAACATTAAGACGAAATTCATCAGGAAAAGTTTGAGCACATATAAAATTAAAGGGAACCGGCCAAAAACTCGTACGCCCAGGATCGCTAAAGAAAACACCCTTGCTAGCTAGCTGCTCTTACACGACGTTATCGAGGCACACTAGCCTAAAGCGCGCTTGTTATTTTTTTTTTTCCCTTTCCCGCGCTGACTAAGCGTGCGTCCCGCTGGTCTTTCTCGCGGGCCGCTACGTATCCAACCTTCTTTTCCCCGTCCTCCGCGCCCATCTTTACACTGCCACTGCCCAATACAACAGCACCTCATCATACCATCACGAACAACAACAACCCCAACTCCCCCCAATCTCCCACAATAATGACTAGCGGTGTTGATGCGAAACTGCTCAAGAGCACAAAGTTTCCACCCGAGTACTCCAAGAAGGTCGACAGGGAGAAGGTCAACCTGGAGGTTATGAAGCAGTTTGTTTCCCCCTTCCAGCCTTATTTCTAACATGCCATGTTGTTAGCTGACTTTTACTGTTTGTTCACAAAGATGGATCTCCGGACAGGTCATTGGGATATTGGGCAACGAGGACGATGTTGTTATCGACTTCATCTTTGGCATGCTGGAGGAGGAGCGATTTGTGAGTTTTACCTTTACACACCCCCCCCCCCCCCCCGGCCGGCTATATGCAGCTCCTTAGAGGTGGAATTTTACTGATAGGACCTAGCCTGATCCGAAAAAAATACAAATCAATCTCACAGGGTTTCTAGAGAAGGATACAGCTGCATTTTGCAAGCAGATGTGGAACTTACTCCTGAGCGCCCAAGCAAACCCACAGGGAGTTCCGACGGAACTGCTAGAGCAGAAAAAAGAGGAATTGCGTCAGCAACGGGTAACCCATTCCTATTCGCAGGCTAATCACACAATGCTTATATGTACGACTCTATAGGCGGAAGCTGCCAAGATCACTGAAGCACAACAACGCAAGCGGGAAGAAGAGGAACAGAAGGACCGGAGCTTGAACGAGATACGGGATCGCGAGCGCGGCGAGCGCCGCCGCGGCGGACCGCCGCCCGAGAGGGGCGGTAGAGACATCTACCAGCCACGGCTGCGTCACTCGGCATCGCCGGTGAACCGGCGCCGCCGTTCCCCTGAGATCCTTGCATCTCGGCCGCCACCACGACGCGAAGTATCACCGCCGCCCAGGGGAGGAGCGCGCAGAGAGAGGTTTAGGGAGCGCAGAGAGACAGACACGTACATTCCGTCACGTAGAGGATATGAACGACGTGATTTTGACAACCGTGAAGGCAGGAACACCAGGTTTGGACGTTCCCGGTCAAGGTCACGCTCGCCACCGCCACGTAGGAGAGATGACTATCGCAGGAGCAACACCGGCAGGCGTTCGCCAGAGTACTCCAGATCGCCGGAGCCCCGCCGCAGCAACAACAGGAGAGACCGCTCGAGGTCCCGGTCCTCGGACCATGGCCGGAAACGACGGGCGCTGTCGCCCGAACGCAAGGGCCGGGATAGACACAGATCAACCACGCCATCGTCTGCCCGATCGTCATCTTCCCATTCCCGGACTTCCAGGTCGTCGTATGACTCGTCCTCGAGATCTCCATCTCGCTCTCCGCCGGCTCGTAAGACAGACTCTAACAGTCGGCGGAGAGAGCGTTCAGTATCTGTAGAGCGTGGAGTGGATCGGAGAAGACGGTCACCTTCTTACACGAAGTCGCATGCTGATGAGAGGAAAGGAAGACGTGATGAACGAAGCCGAAGTCCCCGCGGCGACCAACGCCACCACCACCACCACCACCACAATGATCGCCGTCGCCACTCGCCAGAGGACAGGGCGAGGGATACTACTCCTACGAAGAGAAGACGGTCGATCTCGGCCGAAGCTGGTGAGTCTCCAAAGCCAAGGGAGAGGGAGGTAGCTGAGAGCTCCAAGAAGGATGATGGCAGAAAGGAAGATCCGGAGGTTTGTTGATTTCGCCATTTCATATTTTTATTTTTATTTTTATTTTTATTTTTGCTTCCTTTTGCCTTTGCTTTGCTTTGCTTTGTCTATTGTACTTTTAAAAGAAAAAGAGAGACTCCGGGCGCGATTTAACAATTGGACGGTTAGTTGACGCTTCAGCAACGAGAATACCAGCTCCGAGAGAAACTCTTACGGGAAAGGATCAAGCGGTCACGGAAGAACAGTGCCGTCAGCACTAACAGCAACGATGAGAGTGTGAAGAATGAACCGAGCGATTAGGGCAGGTGTAAGGTTTAAATTTAATGGCTGGGATCTTTCTTTGTTTTTACTCTTTTACGGATGGACTCCCACAATATTTTCTTTCTCTCTTCCTCCCCTTTTCAAAATTTACAATTTCGATTTTTATTTTGCTCTTGCCTTAGCTTTTTTGTTTTTCTTTTTTGTTTCTTTTTTTTTTCACCATTTTCAATGCTTAGGACTCTTAAATGGAGGGGAGGGGAGTTGGCCAGACGAACTCATATGCTAGTATTAGTTAGCACTACTGATAGAAGTATCAGTACTCAGTAGTAGTAGTTGTACTCTATAAAAGAAATAGTCATCAGTCCTTGTGCGTTATCATCATTGCTATATTACCATAATTTACCATCCCCACTCCTATCATTGACCCTCACCACTCACCCCCTCACCCCTCATCCCCCGCCCACAGACTACACCGCCTGATAATACGACCCCGCCCCACTCGTCAAGTCCACCTCACTGAGTGAATAACTCGTCAGCGTGAGTGATGGCCTCCTCCTCCTCCCCTTTAGATCATCCATCACCCCATGCGCAATCAACTCGATCCCGGGCCCCTCCGCGCCCGCCGGCAGAATGATGTCGGACACCGTCTTCGTCGGCAGGATCGTCTGCTCGTACGCGGGCTTACAGTGGCGCACATACTGGTCTAGGATGACGTCGAGCGGGAGCTTGCTAGTCTCTTGGTCGCGCACGACTATTTCCCTACCCCATAAGTAACCCCAACCCGCAATCCAACACAGCCACACAACCATCCTCCATCTCAAAAAAAGCACAAACAGAAGGGGGGAAGGAGGGCGTACCTTTCCTTGCCAACCTCACGTCCGCATCACAGTCCACAAAGATCTTCACGCCCGCCAGCTCCACCAGCCGCCGATGCGTCAGCAAGTAGCACCCCTCCGCAATGACCACGTCCGGCGCCTCCACCACCGTTCTCTCCCCGCCGCGCCGGTGCTGCGCATCCACCACCGGCACCTTCACATTCCCCGCGCCGGCGAGCAGCGCCGAGATAGTTTCGGCCATGAAGTCCAGGTCGTACACTCCTACCTCCCCCGCAGCCCCGTATCAGTCCCCCACTCTTCTTACTCCCCCGGGAGGGGGCAAGGGAAGGGGAAAGGGAAGTATACCCAGTTTCTCAAGATCTAGCTTGCCATCGGCGGCAGAGGCGTGCTGGGCCTCTGTGAGCGGGTGCAGGAAGTCGCGCTGGTGCAGGGTCGTGATGGAGAGGGTGTTGTTGCTGGCGGCGCGGAGGGCACTTTCGAGGCCGGTGAGGACGGTCTTTTTGCCGGCGGAGGAGCCGCCGGAGATGGAGATGAGGATGGAGGAGTGGGGGGGCATGGTGAGAGTTGGGGGTGTGTGCAATTGAGGTTGGGGGAATTTGGGGGTGCAATTTGGGGGTTAGAGACTGGGGCACCGGGGAAAGGAGGGTATTCGGGATTGGAAACTATTGCACGGGAGTGCACGTAAGGTGAGCTGAGTGAGGATGTCAAATGCCCATGCCAAGGAGTGTGGGGTTGGGTTTTTCCGCCGCAGGCGTCCTTCCCCTAAGCCCTTCACTTCCCTGCTCTAGCCGGTTCCAGCCTGGCGAGCAGAAAGCTTGGTAAACAGTAGAGTAAGATGTAGTTTTGATCATTGGCAGCCCGCCTTAACCAGATCAGTAAGCTGCTTTCTCTACACCATAACCTCTGCAGATCGTGATCAAGGAGGGGGGAAAAAACCCGCACATGAATAAGCCAAAGTTATGAAACTGGCCTGTATCGTGCAGTGGTAAGTGGTTTGCAGTAGATACGATCTCGTGTCATGTCAACGCGTACGTCTAGAACCCCATGGTGAATCCCGCGGATCTCACACTCCACCACTCGGACTGGGCCATGGACAGCATGACAAGGCAAAAAGGAAACAAAATTTTCTCTTCGCTCTCTGTTCCCTCTACAAATCTAGCTTACTTCACCTCTCTCTCACCTTCCATCTATCTGCACGCACGCAGGCGCGTACGTCCGCATCATATCTATTTATTCTTCTGCACTTTTTTCTTCCTGTCTCTCCCCAACTACATACATAATGTGCAACATTGCAACAACGTGGTAGGCACGGTACATGGTACGCACGCGGGGTCAATCAATCAATCAACCAACCTCTATCGTATCCCACTCTTCACCAGGCGAGTGATGTCTCATGTTCCCAACTACTTAAAATAGGCACACGTGGCTGTGCAGCCAACCTGCCATTCCAGCAAGGGACGCACTTTCACTTTGTGCAGAATACGAGACAAACCCACCACTCTACATATGTAGGTCACAGATAGGGCATCTCTGTGACCCTTGCGATCTGCCCTTTTTCCCTTTTTCGGGTGTGCAAAAGGTACTTGTTTACCACGAAAAGAACCAGAAAATGCAGTTGCTCAGGGCAAGGATTATTGTATGGAGTGGCGGTGATCTCTCATACAAACTATCCCTGTTTCCGTCACTTGCATTTTTTGGTTCTTTTCGTGGTAAACGAGTACATATTCTACGTGTAGTGCGCGGCGTTACAGATACGGACCCGACGTAAGCAGAAAAAGGAACGAAAGAGAGAAGAAAAGAAGAAAAGAAAAATTCCTTTTCAGACGAACACCCAGATGGACGGGACAGAGACTCGATGAGACGAGACGAGGCAAAACCGGATCGGAGAATTTGTTAAAAGAAGAAGCTGGGCCGCCAAAGTACCTACATACATGTAGTAGTACTCCAGCAGGATCCCCCGGAGCTTAAAGTTTCGATCTCGCACTAACTAACTAGATGTAACTAACTCCTCGAACGAACGAACGGAATAGTGGAACAGGACCAAAGAATAACTTTCTGACCGCGAAGGCACCCGACAAGCGAATGAGTACGTACAGGTAACTACAGGCGGGAAGAACTAAAAGGGAGGAGGACCCTACGGCGCGGGCCGACAATCCACCAATGGAGAAGAAGGAAAAAGAAAGGAAAATAACGTTGTAAACGATTGCAGTGCTAGATTGCGTGCGGGTATCTTGCTTTCGCCGAAAGAAATAAATAATAGGGACAAAAAAAGAGACTAAAACTAAAAACTAGTTGTTTGGGTTTGTAACTAAGTAATCAAAAAAAAGAGTCGTGATGGAGGGAGCACATAAGAGATCGGATATATGGTAATAGCGAAGGTAGTATGGTAGCGACGATAGTAGTAAAATAGGTAGTTATTAAAACTTTTCAATCGGTCTGAAGATGAAAAAGAGAGTGCTATTCCAAAGGGACCACTTTCCACTTATGAGAAGTTGTGAAGGGAAGTGACAAAAGAGATTGAACAAGAAGACGCGTTCAAGAACAGTCCTGAATTTTAAAAGAGATAAAAAGATATAGTTAATTGACTCCAAAAAAGGAAAAAAAAGGAAAAAGAGATATTTTGGATGGTCAATGATGTTCAAGAATTGGATTGATCCGCTCACACCAGCCATTTAAGCCCTGCTGGGCTCCATGTTACCAGTCATCTCAGCAACGCGAGCCTTGATTCTGGCAACTCTGGACTCAATGGTTTCCTCTCCACTGGTCTCATCATCATCCTGGCTTCCTCTGGCATCAGAGAACTCCTCGGTCTGGACAGGAACCTTCGCCCGCTCGGCGGCGTTCTTCCTAATCTGTGCCCATCTGTCCTGCACAGGGACGGGCTCAACAGGGGAGACTGGGCTATGCTCCTCGGAAATCTTTTCGTTCACATAAACAGGCTCATGCACGGCCTCGTGTACAGGCTCGTGTACAGGCTCATGAACAGGTTCGTGAGCTACCGGCATGTGCTCCTCGACGGGCGAGTGGTGCAGAGAGCTGTCGGTAGAGTCATCTTGAATGAATGCAGGCTGGTCTGTAAGTGGGCCTTGATCAAAAGATGAAAATACTTGTGTCGCTGCACGCACTTCCTCGGGGCCCGGGTTTGGTGATTCTCTGTCGTGAAGCCTGGGGCGGGGGTCATTGTTTGGGGTCATAGTGGATGCAGAAACGGCAGCCTGGAACTTGATCGGGCCGTTCCTCTTAGATAGAGATGGCGTCCTGCTGGGAAGTGTGTTTTTAACAGTGAGACTGGCGGTGCTTGGAGTCTCGGCGAGCGGTGTAGCGGTAGTTTCAGTTTTCTTACTGCTGAAGAAAGATTTGAATCGGTTGACTTTCCTGATCTTTTCTGGGGTAGAGCTGGTAGATGTTCTGGACTTTGGCGAGGGAAGGGGAGGACTCTGTAGTGCTGGAGACGAATATCCGTTTGTAGTGGGCGACGGAAGGCTCAAAGCAGGATGGTTCAAAGGACCAGAATTTGGAGATGGAAGAGCTGTGACTTTGCTGATAGGCACAGGCTTGCTCGGGGACTTGGTGACAGGCTCAGTTTTGCTAATGGGCTCTGGCCTGTCCTTGGGCGGCGGTAGCATGCTCACAGGCCTTTGCCGACGCGGTGGTTCTTCCTCTCTCTCATCATCGTCATCTTCATCTGTAGGTAGAGCTGGCAGTGATCTTTCTGTAAGAGGGCGCGAAGCTGTATTGGTATCAGGCAGAGGAAGACCGTTGAGATATGCATCTCTAATAGCATCGCGATCGTACTTGCTTGCCCATTTCATCGCTGGCGTAGCCTCGGACACAATTACGGGCTGTAAAGTAAAGACACTGTTTGTCTTCTGGCCAGCGGACCTTTGACCGCCAGGAGTCGACCTTAGATGACTCTTCTCAGCCTGGTTCTGTTGCTGTTTGAGAGATTGCGCTGCCTGCTGGATTTTGGCCGTCTGGTCTGGCGCAATTCTTGTCCTTTGCATAGGAGGAGGGTTTGAAGGGTCAAATTTCATTGGAAGCTCGATAGGCATACTAGCATTGCCTACTGATTTCCTTCTACTCAACATACTTCTCATGGATTTCTTTTTATCTTTTGGTAGTAGCGCGTCGTCGGGCTTTACTGCAGCACCTCTTACTTTTTCCTAATAAACAGTCAGTTTGTGCTTCGGGTACGGGACAGATATAAAGAGCCTACTTCAACAATCAACCATCTTCCATCTTCGATGGCAGTTTCAATCAAGGCACACCTTCCAAACACAGCCTTACGCTGTGTTGGTTCCTCGCCTGCCAAACTTGACATCCAGACCCACCAAAATGCATCATCCATATTCATGGGAGCCACTGTTGACAGTTCACCAGGATCCATCGATTCATCGATTCTTCTGTGAGATGCCGAAGTCTTAACCCGAGAATCGGTGTCAATGGGAGGCAAAACCTTGTCCGGGGGCAATAACAGAGGTCTAGGACCGTTGTTTCCCTGATCACGTTCTCCAAACCCACTTTGCATGAAATCTGCCCATGACGGGGTTTGCGGGCGTGCAAGGTCTATCAGATCCATATCACCACGCGGTGTAGCAGGCTGTGTTGAAGCTCTTCTTCTACGGTATGTATCTGACCCGCGCATTGACAATCCATCAACGTCACCTTCAGAATCGCTCCCCTGTTCTTCCAACAGCCCAGAGAATCCCATATCTTGGAATCTTGACCAGGACTGCTCCTGAAGACCAGTTGAGGTTTTGAAAGGCCCGGCAGAAGATTGATTTGTAGAAGAAATACATTTCATGACACGCTTGCATTCATCAGTAAGACCTTGTACGGGATCATCATATTCCCTGAATATCTGTAGAGCCTTTTCCCTTGGGTCATATTGAAAGTTTTTGGCACGTCGTAGAAGGGCAAATGGAGTAGGCGAGACGTTGTCAACTGTTACGACAACCCGTACTGATGGTGACTGGAGCTGGGATGGCGCAGTAGGCGGGTAGTCCACGGAAGCAAGGAGGGCCTTCAACGAAATTGGTAAAACAGAGACACCCTTTGTGCCTTCAGCGGGTGAAAGCGAGCGAAGATATGCAAAAAACATATGTGCCGTGGCATCTGCACCCCTATAAGAGCAATAACTGTGAGACAGCGTTACTAAGTTGACTTAACCAACTCACTTACCTTGACCACGATGCATATCCGCCCTCAAAACCCCAACCACCGTCGCTGTGCTCAAAAGCCCACCATCCGGCGAGCCTTGACAACTTCAAACCACCCAGCCCATTATGTTTTCCATGGGCGGCAATGGCAGAGATTAGGTCGAAAAAGTCGAAAATGATCTTTGATCTAGCCTCTGACTCGGCACTGATAGGGATAAAGGTCGCAAACGAGTCACGGGCCATGCCAGACTCTGCAGGGTAGCTGTCAGCATGACTTCCATCCAGTTTGGAAGTTTTCTAGAGCAAACATACCGATTTCCCCTTGACGGAAAAGCTCGTAGACATCCCACGTTACCACACCGCCGGGAAGTCGACTCCAGCACCATTTCAACGTGCTGCATAGTACCTGAAAAGCGTGTCAGGCACGAAGCTTACAAGGTATGGGGAGCTAACTCATTTCCATACCACAGGTTCGGTCAATCTGAGCTCTTGCTGCAGATGCTCTCCGCGCAACGGCCCGGTCGCCGGGTCAAAGAAGTTGCGGATGAAGGTTCGCGCGGCGCTAGGATCTGAATTTGGTCTAAATGGTAATAGTAGGAAAGGTGTGGACAGCCCTAATAATAAATGAAAAATAAATTCGAGCAAATCAGCAACTCTCAAGATATCCCCTTGAGGTTTCCCACGCGTAATAGAGCTCAATTGAACCGAATTGATGGTTGGATTGAGGTTGGTAGGTACATACCTCTATGCTTGATTTCGTTCGTACATCCCCTCAGAAGCTCTTGGACTTCTTCCGGGGTTACAGAGGTTCGGAACCACGCGTCCGCGTACTTGACTTCGTCAGGCTTTGCCGCAGCAGCAGCTTCTGCTTCAGCCTTTCTAATAGCGGCAGCGTTGTCCCTCTTGAAGACTTTGTTGAGAAAGGCTGGCATTGGGGAAGGGGTTGAATGATTATCAGATGTTGCAGCTGACTGACGTGACGGAAGACAGGAAAACGTGCAGCAGTTAAGTCCTTGCACTCCTTCTCGCCGAGCTTGCACAAGCGAAGGAGGAGCCGTGATGACGGGACTGGGGTGGGGTGGTGGGAATACTTTTTTTTAGGGAATGTTTTCAGGCTAGATAGGAAGTATATAATTCCTGATGGGCCAAAATAGGAGATGAGATGAGATGAAGCGATTGATGTGAGTTTGACGGGGACAGGAAATTACAAACAGGAATGGAATGGATCCAAAAGGAATGGGGCAAGAGGGAAAAGACTTGTATTTGTCGACAGCCGGTGTCTGCGGGGAGAGTATCTGATCGAATAGGTGTATGGACGTACCCCAGAAAAGTTACAGGGTGGGCGTGCTGGCTGCAGAGGTCGCGGAAGCGTATTGATGAGTTGGACGTAGAGAGCGAAAGGGGACTGCCAACAAAGCAGTGTACAACAGCAGCGACGGCGACCCAGATAGAGAGAGAAACCCAGTAAGAACCTGGAGCAGCGCAGGAACAAGAAGAAGAAAAAACTTCACGTCAGGGAACAGCGGACAGACGAGCAAGTGAACAATGAGCCTTCCCCCCAGACTCCACTACAATTGCGACCATTCCCCCTTTCCATCCCTTCCACTTCATAGATTCTTCTTTGGGGTCTACCTCTTTAGGTACATTAGGTCTAGCTGAGACTCTCTTTCTGCAACACATCCAACCAGAGCTCCCTAGTAGAAACAATATGTTGCGGTTCGTGAATTCTTGGCAGAAACAGACACGGGTCAAGGTCCACTTGTGAATTTGTTTTTTTCCCCTCTAGTTGGGTCGAGATGATGTTCAAATGCATTCCCAAAAGGTCTTATGATTGGGCTAGAAGAGCTGATGAATGTTTTCACCCTCGATCTCAGTCTGCTTCATCCTTTGTTTCCAGTACACCAGGACATCCCATGTTTATTGGGGGGGGGGGCATCGATAATGAGCTGAGATTGCTCGATAGATGAACCTCTCCCGTCTTGGAAATCAACTTTAATAGCGAGCTTAAAGGACTAGAGACTAGACAGGGTGCCCGAGCGACCCGATAACTCTTGTACCTTTTGGTTAAATTTTTAATTTTAATCCCAATTTTTCATGGTGCCTGGTAAGCTCCCATGTCCCATGTGAGCACCTTCAGGGATCGTTCCAGCCACAGGGTGTCAGGGACTGTTCCGGTCAACACCCCTGATAACGAAAGAGGCTTACAGTCATCTACCTATATCGTTCTCAGCCTAGCGCTATATTTTATACGCCCGCCCAGTGACAGCTTATGTGTTTCTATTTTGGGGATTAACGCGATAGCGAGTGAGAAGCTCAAAGCAGGCAGCAAAGATCGGATCTGACGACCTAAAAATCGCGGGTGGTGATTTCGAACAGCCAACATCCGCCGCCAAGCAGCGTCATGTCTTGATATGTAGCCAGATCTCGTGATTTGCTGCATGCAATGTTATATGGTTCAGGTTCGATTTGAGTGATTCTTCAAAGAACAATTGGATTGAACAAAACTTCTTTATGTGGGGAGCCGCAAAGGGCCACGATTTATACGTCAATTGTTTCTCGGCATTGATAACCGGCCTGATACACAATTGCAGAAGCGATATTCTCAAGAAAGCTGCCGCACTGGAGACACTGGAATATGAGATCCGGCGAACGGGAACATACATGTGCATAGAAAACACGGGTACATACATGCCTTGGACTTTGATACGAGCATTATGAACATCCTAGATCCCTACAAAGGTGCCGATTGCTTGTAGCAAGCTGCCCGGGCCGCCGAGTGTGAAGGCGAGATCGCCGAGGTCGTTATCTCAGTCGTCTGAGTCGGTATTGTAGACGAATAATGACGTCGATTCAAAACTGTGGAGAATAAAAACTGGTCAAAGCTTCGCATGCCATTCATGTAAGCGAAAATGCCACCAAGTCGCATGCTCCTTTTCTCTACCAGCCCGAAGCGTTTTCCTATCCGACCACAAAGTTCACGACTTCCAAATATTCATCATCTGACAACCCGAAATCACTCAAATATGAAAGATAAGGCGACAGTCATTGAGTGAGTGTTGGATGACACAATTACTGTTTAAGCGTGAATTTCTGACGAAAAGACTCCGAGTAGTGAGTTTAATGGGCTTGTTAACATGTCATCGGCCGAATTATCGGAATGGTTGAAAGAAGATGCTTCCATCTCCTCTGGATGGACTAAAGATGGTACTGGGGAAACAGTTGGGCATCAGAGGTATGATGCCGCGGCACGGGTTTCCACTAGTACCCTCAAATAAGCGATCAGAGATCTAACGGGGGTAATCTTACAGTGGCCGTCATATAGTTGATATCCTCGAAAACAATCCTGACATGGTCTTGGAGAAATACAGAGATGAGGACATAGACCACATGCGCAAAGTCGTATCTTATTGTAAGCGGCATCTAGCTCAAGAGGAACAGGCAAAGAAGAATACGAACAGTAAGAGTTATAAGTCGCTGAAGAATTGGGGACACGATGCATTGAAGGAATGAGGGAAACTTATAGTTATGGAGATTTAATTTATTCTTCCTTGAGTTCCATCGTTTCAAACCGGCCCGATATCAAAGTAAGCGCTAATATCACATGGAGATTCACCCAAAACCCCGGAGCCAGGACTTTTGGTTACTGAGTCTTCTTAGTGTGTACCCAAGATCCAGAAATCCCACATGCAGTCACTTTGCAGTTAACTTGACCAGCATCATAAAAACGTGGGACCTAGAAAGATATGAAACGTCCTTCTGTGCGTGGGGCAATGCAATGTTAATAAGGCAAGGGTGGTCATCAGCATAAACATATGTGGGGATAGAAATAGCAGTGTTCCAGAAGGAATTTGCATGGTAATTTTCCGCTTGTGATGGTGTTTACGCCTCAATTCTGGCAGCGCGCGCGTGCGATATGCATACAGGACCACCAGCCTGGCCAGGTATCCCACCCACCACGAGAGCTGTGGTGGAGTAGCTACATGCAATCCCTGGGACTAAAGCTTGTTGGAAGAACCTATCGGTTATTATACCGCCAAGAAGCAATATTGTCCTATCGCGGAGATCCAGCAAATGAGGAGAAGCCAAGAATGCTCAGGCAGAGGGTACAAAGAAGTCCATGACACTGGTAGGCGTATGTTTACAGAATCAACCATGTAGTTATTTCTACGGGACACGCGCCATAAAAACGTAGCCGGGCAAAGTACACCCACATTATGTCACGGCCATGTACTCGCAATACATAGATCTACATAATAGTCCTACATACCAACATACATGTACATTACCAACATATGGGTATTAAAAGAGAGCTGCTGATGATGGTGGAGGAGGCTCCAAATGACTTGCATGTTGGTATGTGCGGGACGGATTTCGCCCTGTGCGATGCCAGTCTAATAGGGAGTAAAGACCCCTGGAGCGCGGCCGTTGAGTCGCCCCGTTGAGGTCAGCGAAGGAGCATGGATGTTAGGCGTGGTCCGACGTTCAACCGAGACATTAGCCTCGTTCGCACCGCATTGGGAAGAAGAGTGCACGGAAAAGCACACAAATTGACTTATTCGGTCTAATTTAGGGACATCCTGTGAGTTATTTTTGGGAGGCGAAGTTTCTATTTTAAAGAGGTTGCATGTCCCCACTGTCTGGCCTTCTCAAGGGACTCTCATACTCACCCTCTTACCGCACGTCCGTTCACACCTCTCACAGTAGAGCCGGAAAACCATAGGCAAAAAACAGTAGAGCACGCGAATCTGGGCCCCCCCCGACGTGTTTGACTCTTTCACACACCCCTCAGATATTCCTATATATCTCGGGGAACATCGTCCACACTTCTCTCTTCTATATTCAGAACAGACTCTACTTACCCTCACCCAACATTATCATCACCTCCCATCCCATCCTATCGTTTAAGTAGAAAAGGCAGAGGCTTCTCCACTTTTAACCTGTTTCTATTTAAATAGATCTGCCCCCTCCATTCCCACTACCCAACCGTTATCGCTTCTATTGCATAGAACGTATCCTTCTAGCACCCATTTGTGTTCTTATTATAACCCGTGCCAATTCCGTCGCGTCGCCCAGTCCACACTGTTTCATTAATAGTACACATTCCCCCCCCCCCACCTCACTTGAGTTCATAGCGACTGTACAATTATCGATCTTTGATAATCAGTTGGCGCGTTCTTCTATTTTTTGGCGTCCTGGCTAGTAATTAGCTTTCACCATGGGCCGAAGAAAGGTACATACTATACATGCGTGCACTTCCCTTCGTTCTATCCTATTCTGCTCACGCGTTGTCTGAGATTCCCTTTCTTTGATCGCGCAAACGGCTAACACATCGTCGCATAGATTGAAATTAAACCGATCAAAGATGACCGTAACCGTCAAGTGTAAGCCTCTTTTTTTGTATTGTTATCCGTTGTCGGACAGTTTGTGTTGACATTCTCGATAGAACGTTTCTCAAACGTAAAGGCGGTTTATTCAAGAAAGCGCATGAGTTATCCGTGCTCTGCAACGTTGACATTGCCGTTATAATATTCGGCGCCAACAAAAAGTTGTACCAGTTCTCATCAGCGGACGTTCAGGAGATTATTAGTCGGCATAGCTATGTATGTTGATCCTCCCCAGATGGTTCTTTCTGATCGCGAACCATGAGCTAACTCGAAGCAGTATGAAAACGCGCACGAACATAAAGGGCCAGCCGATTTTCAGGCCAAGGCGGACGCTGGTGATGATGACGATGACGACGATGTTGATGATGTCCCTCTAGAGAGGGAAGCTTCAGTGCTTCATCATCTACATGCACCATCCCAGATGCACAATAGGCAGCACACTGCCTCTGCGTCCCCACCCATACCTCCAAAGAACCTTGTAGGAGGACAGTATCAACCGATGCCTCAGATGGTAGCCCGTACGACACCACAGCCTTCGCGCCCCAACTCGCGAAACCAAAGGCGGGATAGCTCAAATCTAGTACCCCAGAATCCTTACCCAACATCTCAGGCTCAGCAACAGAACGGATATCCAGCATATGGCATGCCAAACACCTCGGTTTATAACCCGCAAACGAATAACTCAGTCATGGGTATGTCTGTGCAACAAGCACAGTCGTATCAAGCCTTCCAACAGCAGCAGCAGCAACAGCAGCAGCAGCAACAGCAGCAGCAGCAACAGCAGCAGCAGCAACAGCAGCAGCAGCAACCGCAAACACAGGCTCAATCGCAGGCCCAAGTATTCATAGGTGAGGCCAATAGGCGACAATCTATGCCGCCAGCTATGCCTATGCCAATGCCACCGGCTTTTCCGTCGGGACCGGATAGGATGCCTTCTGAAGGGCCGCCACGCATTGACACTCACCCTGCTGTCATACAGAAGCGCGCTCCAGCAAAGTCTCGAAGTATGTTCACTCCAGTGGGCCCTAGTGATTCCCTACTTGCGCAACATTTCTATGGCGACCGGGTGCAAGGGTCACAACGATCGCACTCTGTAGACGTTGCTACCCTGTCAAGACCGGCTGCAAATACAACTGTTCCAGAAAGCACAAAGCCCGACAATATCCCAGAGTCCTCTCCAAAGCCTGCAAATACAATTCCTCCCATAACTCGCCAAGACTCGATTCCACCGCCACCCTCTCGTACCAATAGTATGGTTTCCAATTCCGGCAAGCCGGGGGGATCTAGACCTAGACTTAAGGTGCAAATTCCCAGCGAGCATTCAGACGCCGGTAGTGCTACTGGTGAATCATCTGCACATGAGTCCTCTGGAACTACAGGAAACCATTCGGCAAAGGGCGTGAACGAGGGAGGTCATACTGTTCTTCCACCCCCTTCGCCAAGTGTTGGAACTCTTTTGAGTGCAGGTGCCACTGGCCCAGTAAATCCATTTGCTCGTCCGCCTCCTACAACTGGACCAACTGAGCAAACCCCTATATCTGCACTTCCTAGCCGTTTTGTGGATCATGGGTTGCTGCCATCACCTTCAGTATTCTATGCGGATTGGCCCGGTTATAACCATCGAGCCACTGATAATATATTGCCCAGCCCCATCAACTACACTACACCAGTAGTAGGCACAGGAAGCAATATTTTCAAGGATCCTCCAGAGAGCAATGGGAAAAGGAAAAGCCCATCTTCATCGGACCATGAGGATGAGGGAGCTATATCGTCCTTTCAGAAACGTGTGAAAACATAGAAGGCTTACTATGGTAATCCTACTGGGAGGCATCGTTTGTTTGAGTTCATACAGTTTTTAATGTTCTTTCGTGGCGTCCCTTTTCGGTTTGAATAGGCACTCGCTTGATCTTTTTCACACTTATTTCTTTTGTTTTTATGATAGTAGGAAGGGTGGACGAATTTCTTTTTTACGCTGGGAACGGAAATCGGCGTTATCCGTTCGTTGTGTTTTTATTTCCATTGTCATGATTCTTCGGGCTGTCTTGCCGGCTTTTTTCCTTCTTTTCGCCCACTTTCACTTTCTCGGTCCATATGGTTTGGGTTGGTTTTTATTTCTTATTTATTATGGACTTCTGGTCGATTTCTCATTCCACCGTTTTCCTTTTACAGCTTGCATTTGCATGGTTGGGTCTTATTATTTTTGTATCTTGCATTCTGACTGAGTTTGATTGCCATTGGGTGTTGGTTGGAACTCCTGGAAAGACTTGATGGGAAGGGATATGAAGTATGAAGTACGTAGCTATTGACTTGTACAAATTTAAAAATAAATTTGATGAGAAGGAGAACTTAAAAGACAACCGTGTATATTAGTGCCTGTAACGAAAGAAAAAGTATAGATGATTTCGGATGAAAGTGAAAGGGTGCGAGTTAGAATAAAACTAAGATGAACCCCCACACAATCAAATTTTGGGGAGGCGGTTACAGGTTTTCCTTGTCGTCCCGAGAGTACTGTGGGCCTATCATTGCTTCTGGGCAGCAGAGGTGCTTTGAATTTGATCTACCCTAACGTCCCGGCTCTGCTCGATCGCCAAGTCCCAGCGCTTGTGTAGCCCTATAGATTTGGTCTTAACAAAAAATAACGCTTAAACACGTACGCGGCGTAGAACGCGTCAAAAGACCTACACGCAAAGTCGCACAAGACATAACATACCTGTCACGTCCTCACAGTTTTTAGCAGCCGTCTCTATATCTTCATGGATCGCGCCCACAAGCTGTTTCATCGACTCTAGTGTTGCACGCACGATCCTGAGGGTTGCAAGCTCCTAAGCAGAGTGAACATTTGGTGGCTTGCAATTGAGAACTGGATCGATAGACTTAGCAAAGCCCGAGACTTACATCCTTGAGGGCAGCCTCCTCGTCGTTAGAGGGAATGCCGCTGCTAGTTGATGACATTTCTGCAAGTGGGTGCCGTGTAACGTTCACAAGTGCCGTATATCCCCCGATTGACTGGTCTGATGTGGAGAACTCCGTGATATTGGGCAGAAAAAGTGAAGGAAATGCTCTTCGGGGAACGGCGGTTGAACGTTGGTTGATTGCAAGTAGAAAAAGCAAATTGGACGTTGTTAAAGGTGCGACATACATGTAGATAGTTACCGACAGAGCCGGCCAAGCCCTGAATGCTTCCGGCATAAAGTTGGTACTTGGATTGCTTTCTCTATGTACTTGCGGCGAACTGCGATAGGCACTGAAATGTTCGGCCATGTGCTACCTATAGAAGTCACCGGATAATTTACTTCATCGTCTTATTCTAGCTCTTCATTGGCTCTCTTGTTTGCCTCTTTACCAACACTTACCCCAGCGTGGGGACCGACTAGGATATCGTTTCCTGCATACCGGACAAAGCCGAAAGGTAGCAGGCATCAAATCCCGTATTGGGCTTGATTACCCTCGCTCGCTTCTTTATGATGGCTGTTTTGGCGAGTTTAAGGCTTGTTAGGCCAGTGGGCCTGAGGGGGTGGTGACAATGCGTCTAGAGTAGATTCTAGATTCGTGCAAGTAGAAGAGTTAAAGGCGAAATCGAGACTAGTTTCTCCATCAATGATTATTTATGACCCAACGAGTTCCGTACAATAGTTCGAAAGCTCATTCAAACCGCTTTTTTTTTTCTGTCCCTCTTCTTTCCCTTCTTTCTCATCTTAGTTCCTTTCTTCGGAACCTATCAAACCTTAGTAGAGGTATCTATTCACCCGAGACTATCATCACGCTATAGTAGTCTCCCCCCTTCGCCCGAAACTCCTAAATTTCATTAAAGAAATATCATGGAGAATTCTTCAGAGACCGTTGCAGCAGCAGCATCCCCCCCTCCCGTAGCAGGGGAAGCTGCATCATCGTTAGATCATCGGTCTGAGAAGGATGCCCCGACTGAAACCGAAGCGTCAAGTTCGACATATGACGAATTGGGTCCTAACAATTCTGATTCCCGAATGGAGAAGCAACATGAGTCACCAGAAACAAATAGACCAGCGGAGAATGAGCAACCAGAAGAATTGAACTCTCGCAGGAAAGCCATCATTGTGCTTGCGCTTTGTGTAGGTTTACCTCTTTTTAAGGAAACTTCGAGAGTTTGGAGGATTCAGAAGGGTTGGTCTGGGGCTTGAGTATGCTGATTGATTCTTCTAGTTATGTGTGTTTTTGTCTGCTCTTGATCAAACAATTAGTAAGAACATATGAAACAATAACTATATACTTGTCTGGCTTTTGAAGCTACAGCTGATATTAACGAATCATAGTAACAACCGCCATTCCTGTGATAGCTGGGCGATTCAAGTCGCCAGCAGCTTATACTTGGATCGGCAGCTCGTTAGTCTATCCGTCCTATGTACAGTTTTTGAAGTGTTTAGGTTAACCTCAGGGTTCGCTATTGTTTGTAGTTATCTATTGGCTTCAGCAGCGTTGGTGCCCCGACCCCCTTACGGATCGCAACTTAAATTACAGTCTATTAACTCAAGGTCCGGATACGCAGCTTACTGCCATCATGGGGTAAATTCAGGTAAGGATCCCTCCTAGGAGATATGGATATGACGTTTACTGAATGGGCCAATTTTTAAAGTGACATATGGGGCCGGAAACCAGTCCTGTTATCTGCCTGCATTATATTCTTGATTGGGAGGTATACTTGTACATGTGTTACCACTTTCATTAGGATTTTCAAAAGCTCATATATGATTCATGCGATAGTATATTATGCGCCGCTGCACAAAATATCGGGATGCTGCTGGCAGGTCGAGTGATCCAGGGAATTGGAGCAGGTGGACAGCTAGGGCTCGTGAACGTTACCATATCGGATCTGGTAGCCGTGAGGTACAAACTTCCCAGTGAACCCAGGCGGATATAGGGGCGCCTGCTTATAAAGTGTCTTAATAGGGAACGAGGCATATACCTATCCTATGTCGGGCTTACATGGGCATTCGCCTCTGCAATTGGTCCAGTGTTGGGGGGCGTTTTCACCGAAAAGGCAACATGGAGGCTCTGCTTCTGGATCAATATCCCAATTGGTGTTATTGCGATATTAGGATTGGTGATTTTCCTGCATCTTGAGTCGCCTCGGATTTCTTTCAGTGAGGGCCTATTAAGAGTGGATTGGCTAGGTAAGTGCTCCTAGAGCTCTGACGAGAAGGTGCCTTTTACTGATTAAACCCAAGGGACCGCTCTCATCGTTTCTGGAACCGTGCTCTTTTTGTTAGGCTTGGAGTTTGGGGGCGTATCGCACCCATGGAACTCGCCAATGGTGTTTTGCTGCATCATAATCGGGCTGCTTTTGGTGGCTACTTTTGTATTTGTGGAATGGAAGATAGCCAAAATACCCATCATGCCCCTGAGGCTATTTAATCATCGGACTAATGCGTGCTGCTATCTGATCGGTTTCCTACATGGCATGATATTCATTGCGGGGTGCTACTTTATTCCACTGTAGGTTCCCCTCCATCCCTGACTATTGCAAGTTTAAAGCTTATCTCTTTCTCCACACCAATGCAGATACTTTCAAGCTGCACGCGGAGATTCAGCCCTGCTATCAGGGGTCTTCGTATTGCCATATGTCATCGTGCTTTCCTTAGTGTCCGCTGCATCCGGCTTCCTCATTGCAAGAACAGGTTGGTAAACCCTGTATTAAGCGTTGACCCATAGCCGTTTACTAATCGCCTATGAAGGCCAATATCAGCAGGTAATTTGGGGCGGAACAGCCATAATGGCACTTGGAATAGGCCTCCTTGTAAATCTCGACCGAACTAGCAGCTGGTCAAAACTCGCCATATACCAGATTCTGGCAGGAATTGGTAAATGCAATCATTTCCCCCCCCCATGATTACTAACCAATCGATTAACCGAGTGATAGGCTGTGGTCCACTTTTCCAATCTCCCCTAATTGCGATCCACGCGACGATTGACCATAAAGATGTTGGCACCGCCACTACCACATTTGCTTTCGTTAGATCTCTCGGCACTGCGCTCGCGATCTGTATCGGCCTTGTTGTGTTCCAGAATATGATGGAGAACCAGTCGGTAGAGTTAGCGGCTTCATCCTTGTCGAGGGAGGCAGTGCATGCAATCTCTGGGAGCTCAGCGGCGGCGTCCGTTGGTTATGTTCAACAATTGCCAGAGGAGCAGAAGATTATCGCGCAGGATGCGTATGCAAAGGCGTTGAGTACCATGTGGTACCTTTTTATGGCTGTGGCGATATTGGCTGTATTTGCATCAATTGGAATTGGTATGAGCCCATCTCCTCCCCCCGGTTTATAGAACCTCTACTCTTAACTGCTTGATATCTGACCTATGCTAACTGGCTTTATCTTACGTGTAGGCCGGCACCACCTTAGCGACAAGGTTGAATCGGCGCAACCTGCAAAAGCGCGGAAGAGCAGAAAGAAGAGCGAGGAGATCGTATAAGCTTGGGCATTACCGTTATGGCATCTTAAAAGTATCACTTATGTTTCTTTGCCAGTCAATCATTGTATATTAGGGTTGTTTCATTTATCGCGAGATTACGAGGCGTTGGTCCAATTACATAAAAGGTTGCTCAAAATATCAAAGCAATAAAAGTTCAATCTTTAAAATCATAGCTACTGCTATTTTGATACCCCGGTAATGGAGATAAGGTCATAAAGTATCACTCGGGGCATGTTTAAGGTGTGAGGTATTGCGTTATTGGTCAGCCTGACTGTTACAGTGCCATATAACATAGGCATCCCATCAAATTTATATTAGACTGGCAATAGTAAGGAGCCAATGTAGCAGGTTGAGGAGTGACAAAAACACTCAACCGTGCCGAGTTAGTTGGCACTGAGAGCTTGCTGATGAGATCACGAGAGAAGTTTTTTCAAATAGTCTTCTGGACCAGCCAGAGTCACAATGTGATAGAAGGATCTCAACAAGACGCTCTCCCGTTCACTAACTGCAAAACCCGACTCCCCAATTTAAGAGGATATCTATGTAGACCGTAATACCACTCGAATTCGGTCCCAGCTATATATCAAAAAAATTAATATCTATAAAATATTGAGATAAAAATTACAGAAAAGGTCTAAAGTGACACATTTTTCGGTAGGCGTGCTCTACAATAACGCGTGGCGCGAGATAACAGTACAGTTTGCTATGATGAGAGATGGGGGGATCGATGTGATTGAGCTATTAAATATCATAGATGGTTGAGCATTAACATCAAAGAGTCAGGGTTCTACTTCATCTTGGCACACCGCCAAGATCAAGTATCACTTCTGGCGCAGCATCCACCATGAGCGAGTGGTCTAGTGGTTAACCATTAGACTGCTCGTCGGGTTAGACACCGAGTGTTTACCCAGGATAAGGTCCTGGGTTCAAACCAGGGGTGGGGGTAGTAGCGCTCACTGATCAATAAGTCGCTGCAGTACCTTTTGTTGTTCTTTTTTGGAGTGAAATAAACTGGGAGGCTACTTTCTTTTTGCTACTCTAGAGGAGGATCTGGAAGAGATGAGTGATGAGGCTGGGAATCGACCCTTATTACTGGCTTTGCCTGATGTCTCGTGCTCTTGGCGTAGGGTTAAGTAAACTTTCTATTTTGGATTATAGAGAATTTTCTCATTTTTGATCATGTGTTACTCCAGAGCACGTATACCGAAAATATGTCGTTTTAGACCTTTTCTATAAAAACTAATAAAGCTAAATTAACGAAGTCATGAACTATCACTCGACACATCCTCCAATAGAGATTTGTTCTGTACATCCTCCCACCGGCATTGCAATCGAGTATGGCCTACCAGCATTGGGGTTATATTATTCGGTGATTGCCCTTAGTTTATAGGGCGCCGATTCCATTTCAGACTGTGAGGTAAATGGGGAAGTAAAAACCAAGGGTTCGTAGTTGATGAGGAGTTCGGTATCTCGCCCTGGGGCAGGAGATTAAGTTTTGGTGGCTTAGTTCTGTTAAATAAAGATAAAGAGGAGAGATACATCCTGTATAAGATAAAGCAGAATCGCCTACTAAAAGCCAAAGATTTTGTGTTAAGATTTTCTTAAAGTTAACGCAGTCGAATCTCCCTATAAGGGTACCTTTTATAAGAATAATCACTCTAGCTTTCAGCCCTTATTAGGCCTTTAAAGTATAAATTGACCCTTGCTATAAAGGTACACGCCATATAAGAGTACCAATTCCTGGTCCTGAACGTACCCTTATATGGAAATTCGACTCTAGCATGCTCCCCCACCGTAACCACCAAAGATTATCGGGACGAAATAATGCTAGAAAAGGTTAGAAAAAGTAAATTGAGGTAGATCAATCTACCAGAAATCCAAGCATTATGCAATTACGTAAAGAAACAGAGCTAGATCTACTTAAAAAAAATAGGTCATGAAATAGGAGCCAAAGTTCGAAGGTATACGGACAGCGAGTTCACACTACATGCGGGACCCTACCAAACTCATATAATGGGTTAACCAAAAACACAAGTCAAAAGCCTACAGAACCACAACCCGCTCTTTTAAATCCCCGACTGTAGCCCATAAATCAAGAGGAGAAAAGATGTCAGTGAGGAGACGGTGGCAATACCAAAGCATGCCCTCAATCATGCGGGTCGAAGGTAAAAGCCTAGCAAACAATAGCGGGGTGATGTTGTGTATGTGGAATGAGATATGAGGAGAGGTTTATAGCGACTTGGGGGCTGTATCTCCGCATCTTCCAACCTAGCAGCTTCAATGCTGCTTAATAAAGCCCAGAAAATACACCAAAGCAAAGATTGGGGTCGAGCCAAGGATAAAATCACATTCAATTAATGAATTAAACAAATTGGAAAAGAAAAAAAGGGTAAAATCACGAAAGATCACTCGACTGTACCCAAGCCTGCAAATAAGCAGCCAAGCCCGGCCAATGTTCCCTCTAGCTACCGGATACATCAAGTTTACCGTATCTGTATTTGTCTTAGCCGCCTTTATGTCTAACGGAGCAATTCTTTTATTTCAATCACCCTCACAACACCACCTAGCTCCTCGTTTCTCTTCAACCATATGTATCGTTTGAATAAAAAAGAGCATAAGCCCTACGTACCCTGTAGGTATTTTTCTAGTGACTATCTATAGTCACATAAAGTTAGATATTGATCGATTATCATCGACCAATATATAGTCGAATAGTCGACGGCCGCAATTGGACTCAATTGGAAGGGAAGCAGCCCTATTGAGGGTATGGCCTCCCATGTGATAGTAGTGGCTTATCAAGGTGTCAGAAGGTGTATCGTAATACATATCCGGCAAAAGCCAGCGTCATAAATATAGAAGAATTGATTCTTATGACTGTCTAACGGTCAATCGGCCTCTCTGTGTATATGACCTTCGCCCTGAGGTCGAACCACTTTATATACCCAGATCATCTATCGCAAGAATATCGCAGCACCAGTTACATATATATAAAACCTTACATCTAAACTCTAAAAGGTGATAAGTACTCGCAACTTGGCCGGTTATACTTTAATGCTCAACTCTCCACCTCCTCCTGCTCATCTGTACTCCTTGGGTCAGAGAATCCTCTCCCATCCCTCGCTATCAGCATATTTACTGCATCCACTATGGTCAGCTAAAGCCTCTCACGTCTACCAAGAGTGCTACAAACCAATTTCCGCAAGCTCTGCTATGTGGTTATCCCTCGACCGGGGATGCAGCTCCATGATAGCAGCATGCAGATGTAGCAGGTACTCTCTATTCTCGCCCGAGGGTCCACGAGAATCGAAGATATGCCTGGCAAGATCGTCGGCAGATGGGATATCTTTGACGAATTGTGGGTTGTCGGGGGTGCCGATGTAGACGGTTGTGATGATTGGGGGGAGGGTGGGGTCCGCTTGGTGCACTGGGACGGTGTGAATGGAGTAGCCGTTAATTTCGCGGATGTCAAGGTATCTGGTGCGAGGTGAGTACGTGAAAGAAGTTCCCAGAGGGCGCTGATGGGTGGATAAAGCCTGGGTATGGCATTGATATCTATTATTATCGTGACCGTAGAAGGCCACACCCTAGCTTTTCTTCCACCACCAGATATTTGTCACAGGGCGGACAGCAATTACTTTTTTACTTCTTCCACCTTGGGTTTTTCGATCCTGTCTATATTAATTGTTACCTCAAGTGATTCCTGATGGATAGAGACAGAGTTAGCGGCACGTACACGCTACTCCCCATATAACATCGTCGGCTTCGTGCTGAAATTTGAAATTAGTGAGCTTTAATATATGAGCTCGGGGTGCTCAACAGCAGGGAGACTACATGATCATTCAATTTCTCCCAGTTCGATCTGGAGATCAATGTTACGACTCGACCGGGACTTTATAACTCATAGAGCCTAGTTAGCCTATGCGCTCAAAGGTAGCTTTCTCACGAACTAGCATCTAAAATGATCTCTTATGGGATACGTTTCACACTAGTATTCTCTTTCTCAGAAATAGTAACAGATCCCAAAAGAGATCCCAGAGTTAATTGCTAGTAACTTCGTGCAGTTCATGATCGCCGAGTATTTTTATTTGGAAAAGACGACGGTGCCACACGTACGCTTCTGGAGTACCCCTGTGATCTTCACTGGATAGAAGAAGCCGGTCAGCCTTGGCCTATTTACGTATCGATGAGGGGGTTGGTTATGGAGTGATGGGCTGTGTAGGTGTGTGCATATGTGTGCTATCCCAGGCGAACCAACCTCGCCTAAGTATTGTAAAACGATATTGTCAGCAGTGGTGGTTGGCGTGGTGACACTTGGTTCCTGGATATAGTGGCTCATACCTGCCAAAAGCGCCTCACGTAGCCTTTAATGTAGCCAGGAATCCTCCGGTCTGTAGGTTTGTTAGAGTTTGCTTGTTTCTTGTTAGTGCGTGTAGAATATTTTTTCTACCTACCATAATGCGGAGGCGGTTTCCAAATGAGGCTCCTGTGGTTCGAATAAGCACAAATCAGTCAAAACTGCCCTTAAGTGGTTGCGTGCGCCTCGATAATGCGTAGGAGAGCTGAGGTTTAGCTGTGGGCCAAGAGTACAGACCCATAGCCAAATAGCCAGTACTCGTCTGGAGACTGTTCAGTGGTCATTTTAATGGTGATGTCCAGGTGTTCAGATGTTTAGATGTGCAGTGGGGTATTGTAGGGATAGTATGTCAACGTCACGGACGAGGGGGCATTCAGGGATGATTGATAGAATAGGTAAGAAGAATGGTAAGGATACGTTAGTTACATGTATGTAGGTACGTCTCCGGACCCTTCTACGCCTTGTGGAGGGGTTGTCTCCAGCCACAGAAGCCTAAATCGAACCCCACCAAGACCTCTGGGCCTATTCAAAGAAGTTCTTATTGCCTTGGGTCCCACCCCCCTTGACTGTCCGCATCTCATCCTCATCATCTCAAACTTCCCCTCCCTATTCACCCCATCTGCCTTGACCTATTAGAAGTATTATATAGTCCTTAACTCGGTAAGTAAATGGGCACTCTTTAAATACTGCTTCCTCTTCCTCTACTTCGTTGTTGCTTTACGTAGTACACTACTGACCTAGAGCTCCTTCAGCCCCGAACCCCGCTAAACCACACATTTACATCTCTTTCACCGAGATATACTATGGCCTACAGAAATACCTCCAACCCCGATGAGTTACCAGCGTAAGAAAATCACCTCCCCGCTCGTTCCCCCAGAACCTCATGTCTTGGTGGATCACCAGACCGACCGTACCATCTGAACACGCGCGCTAACACACTTACGCAGTCATGCCGAGCCCGAACAGGTGCGATCATATGCGCACTCCTTCCAAGCATCTTAAAAACTAAAATTCCGTAGGCCGCGCAAATGATGGGAGGCTACGAGAACCGTCCGCCCCCAGCCCGACCCGCAGGAAGTTTTGGCTCCCAGGGCGGTCAGAAGCCCATGTCACCTCCCGTACATGACCCCTACAGGCAGCAACAGCAACAGGGATACAATCGCCCGCACCAGGGGCAGTATGCTTCGCCGCCGCCAGGCCACTATAACAACCCCCCGCCTGGCTCATTTGCACAGCAGCGCCCGCCACCGGTGTCGAGACCACCACCGACCCCGGCGCCGCCACAAGGAGTAGATCCAACTTTGTTGCCACTTTTTAAGGCGGTAGATAAGGATGGTGGGTTTGGGGTTTTAACGAAGCTCTTTTGTAGGTATAATTGACTGATTTTGGTGGTTCCTTAATAGGAAGTGGGCAGCTTAGTGAGAAAGAGTTGCGCGCAGCGCTGGTGAATGGAGATTGGACTTCGTTTGATCCGCATACAGTCAGGATGATGATCAGGTGAGCTTTTTTCTCTTCATGATTTTTGATGGGCATCTGTAAATAACTGGGATATGTAGAATGTTTGACACCGATCGCTCAGGAACTATTGGCTTCAACGAGTTCTGGTTTGTTGCCGTCATACCTCCCTCGAAATTGAATTTTTAACTAACAAACTCGGATAGTGGACTATGGGGATTCTTGGCAGCCTGGAGAGCCCTCTTTGATCGTTTTGATACTGACCAAAGTGGCAACATTTCCTACCAAGAGTTCACCAATGCCCTGGCTGGTGCGTGTCGCTCGCTGTTCCCCTCCCGCTGGTGCAAAGGAAGAAGACGACTGACATATTCCATGAAGCATTCGGGTACCGCCTTTCGCCCCAGTTTGTGCAGCTGCTTTTCAGGTCTTATGACCGAAGAGGTCAGGATCCTCAACCGGCAGCTGTTGTCCCGCAAGGTGGGCTGCGGTGCCCTCCCTGCATCGCTAGGCTAACAATGGTGTAGGCCAAGACGCAATTAGCTTCGATCTGTTTGTGCAGAGTTGTATCTCACTAAAGCGGATGACTGAAGTCTTCAAGAAATACGATGATGACAGAGATGGGTAATTCTCCCTCCCTCCTTCCGCCATTGATCACCGTAAACTAATCGGCATGGTATGATGTAGGTACATAACATTGAGTTTCGAAGAGTTCCTGACCGGTAAGTCCACATGTACTTGAAGTTAGGAGTTTTCCCACCCAAACCTCCGACTAATGAATTTTCCCCTTTGTTCCCCCCCCCGGTTTAGAAATCCTCCGTCAGCGTTGAAAACTCACTGAAACAACAAAGTATTCTGTTTTGATCGGATGGAGAATTCCTAGTGGCACGATGCTCTCTCATTTTTATCCAGTATTTTCCTCCTTCCTTCCTATTTATTCTTATCTTGAAACAACATCTTCTTCAGCATGACAATTGGGGATATTGATTCCCCGGTGTCGTACCCCAAGTTCCGGTACACTTTCGCTCCATTTATTCAAAATAGTGGAGGTATGGCATATTGGTTTTGATTTTTTTTCTGAGTAGTTTTGTCTTGATTGCTGTTCGTGTTGTTGCTCGTGTTAGACTTTTTTGTTTGTTAGTTTGACTTAAGAATGGGAGGAAACAATTGATTGGCTTTTTTTTCCTTGTGGGAGATTTTAGCGCGAGAAGAGAAGCAAGCGGAAATAAATGTGGCCTTAGACGACCGAAGATCAGCACCCTGTCTGCTTAGTGGAGCGAGTGATACGTGGTGACTGTACACATGATTATCCTGTCCTAGTGAAGCTGCTTACTTGGGTTCCAGAAACCTTCAGTAAAGACCGTTAATGCCGACCTGTGTGCAATATTCCACCTTTTATTTCAATTGGAGTCTATATATCCCCTGGGCCGTAATTAGACTCATCTGTCCACACAGACATGCATAGTTCAAGGATACTACATGTAGTGATGAAGGGTTGTTTGATGGCGGTTTCAAGAACACAAAGAGCTCGAGGCTGGTTTTACCCCTAGACTTTGGTGCTGATATCAAGTGCGGATATCAATAAAAATATACTCTGTGTACGAGGCCACCAGTAAACATGTGGTTACATGTGACTGGGATTAATAAAGGGGATAGAAGAATTGGGAGGAAGGGAATCATCCTTAGCTATCCGCTCCATCTGCCACTTGTAGTGGAAGCCTCGATTCTGGAGATGAATCTGGCACATTCGCCCGTAGTTCTTTCAATCATCATCATCATAGCAGAAGAGCCATTGATTAATCAGAGTTAATTAGCCAACAAGTCCGGGGAGAGATCATTTAGGGGGGGTGGGGGGCATGTTGGTGTTTGTATTGCGGAGTAGGACGTAGGTTAGGAGAGGCAAGACCACACCTAACGCCTAACCATCAAATCTAAAGACCTCTTAGCGCATGTACATTTAGGACCACCAACCCCCTCTACACTTTTGCTTCTTCCCTTCTCGTACATACATCTCTTTCACACATGACGTAGCCCCCACTATCAAGACACAAATAGGAAGCGGTCAGGTTTGGTCAGACCATCTAACCTGGCATACTTCTGGGCATGAAATACCCCATTGATATCTAGCTCAGCAACGACAGATCAAGAGAATAGAGAAATCAGTCTGAGACCGTGAGCTTTAGAAGCTTATATCCCTACTGCTGGTGTTATACCCCGAGGTATAAGTTCTTAGGACTTGCAGTTCTGCCGTACACTGTAAAGTTGCATGCAATTAATGAATTAAACAAAAAAAAAAAAAAAAAAAAAGTTCTGCCGTACACACCGGATTGGGATACGAGTGATGGACCATGATTTTCTCGTCGGTGAAGGAAGTTTTCACGCGGTCAAAAGAGATTAATACCAAACACTACCAGGAGATCTCAAGGTCAGAAAGAAAGACGGCATAGAGACTCTTAAGTGTTGGCGAAGCGAATGTTCATTCACCTGGCGAAATCCGCAACGGCGCTAACAACGGAATAAACCCGACCCCGGCAGAACCAGGGAATAACGAGCAGTCCTGGAAATTTCATAAACAGTTCTACAGAAACATGAGCTATTTACAACGGATCTTGCGAGCTTCGTGATGGACTATACCAATTGATATAGCAGTATTTATTAACGAGTGATACCTCATGAACACGCAAGGCCCCACTGCTAACTAGGTACGCAAAGCAGCAATAGTATTGGGGTTTGAGGGAAAGTAACTCAGTACTCGGGAGTTGTGAATTGGTACGAATCGACTAGATAAGACGGCTTATGGGTTCGTAGATAATTGAGGTATTGGCCATGGCGTACGTGGATGTCAGATTGGGACGACACGAACATTCCTAATATCACGACTACAGCTGGATTGGCGAGAGTTAAGTACGTATCAGTGTCAAGAGAACGCTTTTCAGTAGGGCGAAGGTCACTGTAAAGAACACCGTAGAGCTGCGAGTCGATAAATAACTATAGGATGGCTCAGAGAGCTATCACACCAACAGAACTATCCCCTTCCTCTTCTACATCGCGGTCTCGTTTTCGTACGTTCCGTCCGAGGCTCCGAGCTTTGAATTATAGTAGAGGCGAGGTTCTCAACAAGTGCCCTCGGTATTCTTAGATGTGTTAATTAGTATTAGTTAGTATAAGACCACTGAGAATGTTAACAATGCTACCTTCCACATAGGGGTCCCATGATCGCCAACTGTGTCTCTGTTAGCGATGGTATTTCTCAGCCTGAGTTACGGTCGTATCAGTGTGGGCTCTATGCTTAAATATAAGGTCTTCAGTTCTCAATTTGCTACGGATCCTAGTCCTGTGAAGTTATGCATGTATCCCGAATCAGCATAACTGTCTCAAACCACCCTGCGATATTCTCCTCCTACTGACAATGGAGTTGGTTGGATAATTAACAACCTTAAATGCCCCACGCGGGAACTCTCAGCCTCGGAAGCCTCCGAATCATACGCATGCTTTTTTTTCCCTTTCAAAAGCGCGAACGTTCCTGGGGAAAATAAGAAAGGAAAACTAGCTCAAAACCTTGGGGGTGGCAGGGGTTACAAATACGGCGGGCTGTAGTACATAGTGGCCCCCGCCTGGAAAACCCGCTCATTCCTGCGCAACCTTACTATTTCCTTGGCAGAGGTAACAACAACAACACATATGATTTGTACGAGAGGGGTCAACGTCCACGAAGAGAAAGAAAATGGAATTACTGACCGCGAGGCTGCCAATTCCTCTACCTATTTATTCGTTCATTTTCAATTCTGGGTTTACAAGCAGACTCGATGTACTGTAAAAAAAAAACCCCCCCCACTAAACACAGGAATCGGTACGACTCAGTAGACTCAAACTTCGATCTAAAGGTACGAGTGAATTTTAAGCTTCTTATTTTTAAGACAACCGTCACACACCAGGATTTATGCACGTTACACGAGCCTGATGTGTATACCAGGTGGGCGGGTTTCTTTCGGGTTCAATTCTCATATTTCGGTTCTCCTGCCAATTGGATTAGAAAAACGGGTCATTAGTGGTTCTACTCTTTTGATTTCTATGGAGTGGGCTGGGTTTGTATTGCTGGTTGGGCCAATGAAGTTCCTGCAATGATTCCATCACTCGCTCCACCCTTTGTGCCAAGAAGAATAAGTGGGTTCTGGCTGATAAAGGAAAGGAAGTTGAGCAAGTTTCACGCCTCGTCGGATAAATCCCTTGGATATACAGTAGTGTGCAAGGCGGGCATGGGTACAGGCACGTTTTCAATGAATGTCTCGCGTGATATAACCTTTCAACGGAACCTAGTACCAGGCTGCGAGATTAGTTGAATATATAAGAGAACGAAATCCCTCTATCCTGTGAGAACCTCCTTACTGTACTGCACTGCACTGGTACCGTTCCGATATATCGGCTCCCTCAGACAATAACCAAGAGCTCCAGCATAAACCGATCCAAAATGCAGATCCAGTCATTCCTCCTCGCCGCACTCAGTGTCACCGCAGTCTCTGCCCATTTCTCAGTGACATACCCCTACTGGCGTGGTAACAGCTACAAGACCCAATGGACCTACCCATGTATGCGTTAATCACATCCTTGCAACATTCGTATAAACTCATACTAACCCACTACCCCTCCAGGCGGCGGCGTTAACCAATCCATCTCCGACACCAACCGCACCCTCTGGCCGCTCGACGGAGGCGCCCTAGTCTTCAAGCCCTCCCACACATCCGCCCAAACATATATCAACATCGGCTTCGGCAACAATGTGACCAGCCTGAACGAAACCCTTATTGGGCCCTTCAACCAGACCGGAAACGGTACCTTCTGCTTCCCACACATCACGCTGCCCGAGGGCCTCGATATCACCGAGGGCCTCAATGCTAGTATCCAAGTAGTCCAGCTCTCCCACAACGGTGGTGCGCTGTACAACGTATGTTCCCCCCTCCCCTCCCCCCCAAGCCAAGAATAACGAGTGATAACACGTGACGCAATAATTTAGTGTGCGGACATCACTTTCTCCGCGGAGGCGGTGCAAACCCTGGATGGAGATGTGTGCTTCAACTCCACGGGCGTTGGGTCTGCGCCGTTTGAGTATGGTGATGCTGCCGCGGCGACGACTTGTAATGAGTCGACGAGCACTTCGGATACAGTGCAGACTACGAACAGTACTGGAGGAGCGGCGCCGGCAGGATCAAGGATGGGTACTGGGGCGGTTATGGGCGCTGTGGGAGTTGTGGTCGCCGTGCTTATGATGTAATGAGTGTAGTAAATATCATGGGTTTAGCTTTTTTTCTCTTTTTCTTTCTTTGTGTTCTGGATGGATGTGGGGGGGGGTTACCTTGTATAGCATTGCTGTAGGCGCATCATGTAGTTAATTTCCCAGGAAACAGTAGTCTATGTCCTGTTCTAGGGAAGGAATGAATGGGTGAAGATGTGAATACATATTATGCAGTTACTGAATGCCAATGATGAAAACACATGATACTGAGACTTAAGACGCCGCACCACAACTTTTTAGGATTTAAAATGATGATCGCAAAGCCACCCACAACTCCTTACTAGCTAATTTACAGATGAAGCGATTTTGAAAACGAAACAGTCTCCAAAACAAAAGAAACAGATGGGTATAACTGTGGCCCTATAATGAACCAACCAAAAAAAAAAAAGGAAAGGAACACTCAATGCGCCAAGGTATTAAAAGCATTGCATATAAAGATAACCGTGCTGCTAGTCCTATATATACCCTTACTCGGCACCCAGCAGTTCCAACCCCATGCGGAACTGCGCAATTGCTGTCTCTACATCCTCATAATCTAGTGCACTAATAGCCCACCTCGCATGCTTCTGTGCCTTCGTCATTTCCTCCGGCGTCACCTCCTTCTTAGCCCTCTTTGGCGGCGCCGCTGGCGCCGGCGTTGGTGCCTGATGGTAGTGGTTCAACGGCGGCGGGGACTGCGAGTACGGGGATGGTGCATATGGAGGCTGCGCGTAAGGGGCCTGAGGAGGAGGCTGCGCGTAGGGGGCCTGAGGAGGAGGCTGCGCGTAGGGGGCCTGGGGAGGAGGCTGTGCATACGGAGCTTGCGTGTAGGAAGCTTGAGGAGGCTGTGGGGGGTTGTAAGGTGATATATCGGGGAATGAGGTATTCGCTGGTCCCATTGTTGTGGGGAAGAGGCTAGGCGCACTGGGTTCGTGTACGGTTGGTACCTCAGGGAAATATTCGTGGTTTTTTTCTGGTGACCGTGGGCTGGGGAGGACGGGTGTTTGCGGTGCTGGCGGGGGAGTAGTGTGTAATGAGGTACGGGCAAGGCGTGGCTCAAGCTCAACGGACTCGTCGGGGACCTCCTCGATGCTGGGGGCGGGGGGCCGGTTTGCGTTGCCATAGATATCGGGGGGTGGTTCGGTATGCTGGTTGCCGTATATGTCTGGGGGTGGTTCGGTGTGGACGATCGGGGCGGGCTCCGATGGGGTGGGCTCTGGAGTGGCGGGTTTGGGAGGGTTGATATCATGACCGGCTTGGATCGCTTTCAAGATACGTGAAGCATGGAATTTACCGTATTTAATTTTTTTGAGGGTCTAGCAAGTGTTAGTTAAGATATTTGAGGGAGTAAGAAGAGAGGGGCGGTACCTCTGCATCGAGATCGCCAAATACTTGGCAAACTTCGAGGAGGGTTGCGCCTGCTAGTAGGGTATCGGCGGTTTGACTGCGGGAGGTTAGAGGTTTGGCGTAGCTTGTAGTGGGGTTTGTAGAGTGAGTAAGGTACCTGGTGGCTCTATTGGCATCGATAACTTGGACGCCATTGTTAAAGATCTTGAGGGCGAAATTCTCGACATAGGCCTGGGCGGCCATCTCGTCGGTGAGTAGTTCGTTACCATCCAGGACTGCTTTCCGCTATCCCAACGCGTTGGTATCAGTGAATGGTCTAGATAAGACGATTTGTAGAATAAAGTACCCTTTCAAGCTCATCCATAAGGTCCGTAGTCCAAGTAGTGCATTCCCGACTTTGTGTATGCAGGCTATTGGCAAGAATGTGTTTGATTGCCCAAAAGTAACCTATCCCAAGCCAGATCAGTCAGTACCACTCTTGACAAAACTAAGACAAGCTATTCACAGGAGAAAACTCACAATAGTACGTGATGACAGGATCAGCACCGCGAAGCTGATTCCCGCGCCGAATATACTGTTTCACCGCATTGAGCTCGCTCGGAGGCTCCCTGACTGCTGCCGACTTGGCAGACATTGTGTGTCTGTACGGCTGTCGTTATAGGAGGGGGGATGGGGTGAAAGTGGTACAAGTGAATCAGAAATTCTCTTCTTTGAGGACGGGGGCGTGTTTGTGATGATGGTGATGCTAAAGTTTCTGGGTGGGGTGGACGAGATGGATGATGGCGGGGTCAGCTAGCCTGCTCAATTGCGGAACGACCCACTCTCACTGTCACACAAGGTGCAGTTGTCGCCAAGGCCCTTCTCCTTCTAGGTGCTACTACGCTTATCGATAACGATAACTAGGGTATATGCTGTTTATGTTTATCTCTCTGGAGTAGGAAACAACATCCTGCAAGCACTCGCCCGGATGCGCATGAGTTCACAGAGTAGGAAGGAAGGAAGGAAGATTACCTGCGCAGCGGAAAGGGCCGCCGGAATTGCGACACTTTGGATGATTCCTACGTAATACTAAATGGTTTATTGTACGACGCTTGCAGAGCTCTATGATAGTTGTATTATTAAGGTCTTCAAAAGAGGTGGATATAAAGCTTCAATAAACCCCTCTCAACACTACAACAAAGCCATCTCATCTTCCATCGTCGTCACTACAGTAGTTACCAGTACTATTGAGAAGTTTACAAACACCTAGTTTAGTTGCCTAATACCCTCTACCCATCTTATCCAACACTGCAATGGCTGTCGCTCCGAAATTCGCAGCTCATGTGTTGAATGCTCCGGCGGTTCCAGTACACACGTTGGAGCTCTGTAAGTAATATCATTACCTTGCCCTCATATTTAAGGAAATTGAGGCTGAATAGCTTTGATATATACACTAGACCTCGACTACGTCTGCCCTGTGAGTTCACAGTCAATATTTGAATCATCTATTATCCAGCTAATCCTCCACCCAGTTCTCCGCAAAGCTCTTCAACCGCATCTACAATGACGTCAAACCCCATGTCGAGCGGAAATACCCCGGCAAGGTCCAGGTCAGTATCAAAGCCAACCAATCTACATACCCCCAAGACGATACTAACCCTACCTCCCCAGTTCATATTCCGACACCAACTGCAACCCTGGCACCCCAGCTCCACACTTGGTAAGCCGCCCTCCTCCCCTCCTTCTTACTCACCACTTCTCACTCGTCCGCCTTTCCATCCAGTCCACGAAGCTGCCCTCGCCGTCGAGCGTGCCGACCCCACAAAATTCTGGCAGTTCTCCGCGGCCCTCTTCCGTGACCAGACTTCGTATTTCGACGTCAATGTCGTGAACGAGACACGCAACCAGACCTATGGCCGTCTCGCTGCGCTCGCCGGTTCCATAGGCGCTGACCAGAAGACTATCTACGACCTACTCAAGATCGGGGATACACCTGTAGACGGTGCTCTAAACACCGGTAACCAGGTATGTCGTGTTGGTGGTGATGAGTGAGTGGTAGGGAGGGAGACTCGGGCTGATGATAGCGCCAGGTAACGAATGACTTGAAGCTGCATGTGAAGGCAGCGCGGCTGACAGGAGTCCATGTGAGCCCCACCGTCATATTCAATGGTAACGTTGAAAATGCTATTTCAAGTGGGTGGGAGCTGGGCCAATGGGTCGAGTGGTTTGAGAAGAATGTTGGTTAGAGCTTAAGGCCTCGCTTTTTCAGCTGGGCTTGTGCGGGGATGGGGGAAGGTGAGTGGTTGGGTTCTAACTGCGGTGTGCTGCAGTGGAAACCGGATTGAGATAAGGACCCTTTGGTTTGATTGTACGGATTGTACGGGATCCATGAGATATCGTAGTAGTATGATTGTCTTTATTCATGATTCTTAATCGAAATACAACCCCACCAGGTATAGAAAGAAAGAAAAGATCATAATAGAGTGAACACCAGTGACAAAGAACGCAAGCAATAGATGCATCCCTATGATACAGAAAGAAGATTTAAAAGTAAAAAGAAACGCGAAACGACAGAATTATCAATAACGTATACCGCTGCCTACTTTTCAGCATCCTACAAACGAAAAGTGACCCCATCCTATCTATTACCCAACACCTTAAACTGTCCGATCCCAAACTTATGACGAGAAAAATTGGCTCTTCTGAAAGCTCTCGATACTGATATCGCCTGGCTTTGTGTCTTTTACCATTTCTCCCGCCATCTCGCTTGTCATTGTTGCTGTTCTGCTTGCTGAGCCGTCTGTGATTTGCTTCGCACCACTTGCGGCAGCAAGCTCATTCTTCCGGGTGATAACTTCCAAATAGGGACTTGGGAGATACCCCACTCGGCTGTCTCTAGCACGGCACTTCCACCACTGCGATGGATTGCCCATGGGATCGCATTTGCTCAAGACAGCAACGAGGTCCCCTTTCTTCACGTCCAATTCAACTCCACCCTGGACCTCAGGTGTAAAGTCGAACATTGCGCGGCAAAACTCGAGTTTGGTGGGGTCCATGCTGGCTGCACCACCTGCAGCAAACATTTCGGGGCCACCAGCAGCCTCAATCCTTCTTCGCTCCTCAGCCTCCTGTCGGCTGGCGAGGGCACGGATAAGTTTACCCATGAGGTAGGGCAATCCGAATACAGCGACAATGAAAAAGAAAAAACGGCTTTTTCGACGGCTTGGGAACACCTGCTCGGCCGCTCTTTCCGTTAACACCGTCGAAGGCGGCAAAGTTGGAGGCCGTCAACTCGCTTGCTGATGCAGGTAAAGGTCGGCCAGTGAGTTTGGCAAGAGCAATGCGGGCCCACCGCATCATTGTGAAAATTCCAAGAATGGAACCGAGGGTATTTTTGAGGTTTCCGAATTGCTCGGCGACTTGTACCATAGCTATACACAAGAGCGATCAGCCAAATATTCCAAGTAAAAATAAAGCAAATATATATACAGGAAACATACCGAAAAACGAAGAGTGTGTCGCCATGTATGTCGATTCAAGCATCTGAGCGAACCCACCAAAAGCACCAACGATGCTCTCAATCATCTGGAAAGTTGCAGCGGTGCTATTCTGCATGCCCTGGGTAAGGCTGCTCGGGTCATTGGGGTCTCCACCTGGGTATCCGCCCATTCCTCCAAAACCACCAAGCCCACCCATTCCCATCCCCATCCCCATCCCACCGCCGTACATGCTGCCACCATAACCTCCGAATCGGCTATATGGTGATGAGTATGAACTCATTGCTCCATAGCCGGCGCCCATACCGTAGCCAGGTGGTCGATTGTAGGCTCCATACGCGCCACCAGCCGCTGTCGCGGCGGCACCGAAGCGGTTGGCATTTGCGTTTGTTAAACTCGACGGCCGTGCCGGGAGCGCTGGGGCACCAGGGGCTGCTGCTGTTGTTGTTGTGGCCGAAGCTACTGGCGTTGCCGGGGCGGTCATTGTTTGTACAGGGGGTGATGAAAGGATAGAGGCTTAAGAGAAGGAAAGAGACAAGTTAGAACGAGTGTGGTGGCTAGGTCGGTCGATAGATAGGGGAGAGAGGTGTGGAGAGTGAGGGAGGAAGGTTGACGAGAAGAAAAGGAAGGAAGAGGAGGACGGGTTGGGATGGGATAGGTTAACACGTACGAGCACTGATAGTACCGTTTCGCTCCCAGGGTTTAGGAGGAGAGGGCTGGGACATGGAGAAGGAGAAGGAAGAACGGAGATCGGGAGGGGGCGAAGAGGCAGTGGACAAGAATCTTTCTTCTGCTTGTTCTTCTGCTGGTTTTCTGCTGTACTTATTCGCTGGCGATGAAAAACCGAGACTTTGTTGGCCAGTTCAGTTGGGCACTGATGCCGAAGTGTTTCGTGACGGGGCTGTGAAAATAAAATGAAACCACAACGTACAGGAAACAGATCACTACTATTTAACACGATTAAAGTACGGAGCCCACAGCAGAGAGAGAAAAATAGAGGACGCAGAAACAAGATGGAGCACCGTGTATCTCTATCTCGAGACTGTGGAAATTTTATTATTCTCGATCGAGGGTTGCTTCGACAGGGAAAAAGAAAGGAAGCAAGCTCGTGCTGCGGACTGTGCAAACCTCGGCAATCGGTTCAAAGTTAAAACATCTCCGCATTTTAACCTCGCCACTTTCAAATGTCTCCTGGTAAGCTAGGGACTCAAAATCCATCACGTCAAAAAAAAAAAAAGCTTGTCCATCGTGACGGGTTTAGTTTAAGTGGAAATAAATGCCATGGAATGTTTGGCGATATAGCTACTCTGCAGTCGTTGGCTTTAGAATATTGTGGTGATGTCGGTCAAAGCTTCTCACTCTCACATGTCAGGTCGAGGTTACTGGTCGGTCCGTTCTTTGGCCCGCAGACCCCTACCCTACGTGAGTTAAATCCATAATCAGGGTCCCCAAGGTTCCGTGTAGTAATAGCAACCGATCCAATGGTGTTCTAGATCACACAATATCACTCGCCGGCCACGATTTCATGGAAAGGAGATTCATGTTGATTAATGATGGATTGATTGTGTAGGAGATTCATTCTCCTCTGCTATCATCTTCATTCATACTATATGTCCGGCCTCACACGTTTCTTTGTGAAGGACTTAGCTCCAAACGCGACGAAGCTCTTGCTGCATGCCTGGTCATATTCCTATCGTACCTATTTCGGCCACCGATCCAGGTACTCGAGAGAACCACCATAAAAAGAACATTTTTATCTTTGCCCCACACTAAATTGTTTTTCACTTTTGAAAACGTCGATGTAGGCTACTTTGATGGCTTGTGGTCTACTGGGGTCGATGAACTTCAGGCAAATTATCATGATCCATCCTTCGGCAGAATTGAAAACAAACCCCACCAAACATTGCGTGTCATTGTGATTATGCGTTGGATAGAATAGAGGATGTATCCATGTTCAGTGCACTGAATCCATTTGCACACCGTGTTTTTTTATGAGCCCGTCCACCTTGGATACGCTGGGATTCTTTGTTGAGCTTATGCGACCTTGAAACCACAGATATCCATAGGCAGAGAAGGGTCATCCTACAGCTGTATGGTACAAACTGTTTCTATTTCCAAAGAGCTGCCTATAAAAATTATATACGCGTCGGCGTAGGAGGGGTGGAAGTTCTTGACCATCTTATACGCTATCCACTTTGTTCCTATCCGAGTGCAATAATGATTGACATCAATTATTGGCTCGATAAGAATAATGTTGTCAGAATTCTCGTCAGGAACAGTGCTGCCGTTTACTGATCATACCGTATGGACAGGCTTGTGGTTTCAAGATCGAATTCTCTAAAGACATTTTATAGACGGTATTTTGGATATCTGGATACTCTGAAGGGACTGTCCCCAAACAGGTTCGCGCAACCGGGCACCGGAATAAAAGCTCACGTAAAATCACCGACTCCGCTATCTCTAGTGTCGGTGATGCATTAAGCTAAAACTTTGATCCAAGTTAGTAGTTAATTATAATTGATCATCCCCAGAGGGCGAAATACTCGCAAGCAACCCACAGACCCAATAAGTTTTACCCATTATTGTTGAAGTAGAAGTGTATTCCGTATAATCTATTCTCAGGCCCGTTAATATCCTATATATCCGGTGGATAACGAAGATAGGTGGTTTTCCCTGTTTTCATCTTCAGCACCCATCATCATTGAACACTCATGCATATGCGGATATATCAAATATTGATATACCTCAGCTAGGCTAGAGTAGTGGCGCCAGTAATATCACATCATGTTTATAATTTCTGATATTTCCTCTCTGGATTGAGCTGAACATTATCTCATAAGTTAAAGTTATGGCAATATTTCCGAAGTTTCGGATTTAATTTACTATATGTCTTCCGCACAATAGGTGTATATAATTAGCCAAGGTTTGCAACTATATCTACTCTCCAAAACTCCATATTGATAGACTTCTCTCTAGAGTTAGACAGACCGAGGACGCGCGCTCCGACATTTACTGGTAGAGATAGAGAGTATGAAGTGAAAGAAGTAAGGAGCATTATGCGGATATGCATTGCTACGTATCGACCCATGCGCGTGTGAAATATTACGGCTGAAAACATTTAAATCAGCTGTACCCCAGAACTGCTGATGGAATACCTACATATCATTCAAGGCCGTCCTAAAAACAGAGTTTTCTGCATGTCTATAGCTACTAGGTATACTCGGAAGCGAATTGGCGGGAAGAAAGCATCGTATGACTACATGTAGTGTAGAGAATGGAGAGCAATTACATGTAGTATCAAATGGGCACGAGTTTGTAAGGAAAGAATGTGTACACGTGTATGAGAAAGTTACTGGGCCGAAGACAAGCAGGTTCATTGGCTATCAAAGGGGCGGTTGCCGCTTGGTCGATCTTAATATGTTCCTGAGTGTCTGCTCGCTATTATATTAGCCAGTACCTAGCTTCATTGCTGAATTGAGGAGCAGCCGATCGAGGTGAGCATGCTGTATACGATATGCGTACATAATACATGTATTATACAACCATTAGTGATCATGAAAGGATGGTCAGGTTTACACAAGTTCTTTTTTGGTCTAGTTGCTAGCTATATATGCCAAAAACCCTGCTGCTATGCCAAAGCCCACCAGACGCTACATGTACTTACTGGTGTTGACTACGATATATGCAAGTCTTATGTAGATACATGTATATGTAAATAAGAGAAGGAGAGGAGATTAAAATGAAAATACCAATTATACGAGGAGGGTAAGGAAACGGATAAAAACCAAAAACAAGCAAAAAGAGGAATGATAAGGTCCCAGCCGGGATTCAAACCCAAGATACCCCCACAGCTCTGCCACCACGTGCTGAACTTTGATATTTTGATTACTACATTACAGAAGCTTGTCTACGGCTGCGATACCCCCAACCCTAAACTCAGATGGATGCGTGGGCTCAGTCAGCTCAATATAAGTGCGAGTGATATTCTATGAGCGAGCCTGGCCAAGTACCTAAAATCTATTAGAGGAGTTAGAATATGCACTATTGCTTTTTGGAGATGTTACTTATGGTAAATCAGCCGTTTTAGACAAATGTGGGTAATTCACACTTCTAAGGCCGAGCGGCTGTTCTGTGATTTACATACGTTTAATCATGATAAATCACTCGAATACATCATGACCGAGGGCACTCAAAGGTGTAGATAAAGTGTGTTCAACTCTGACCCATTTTATGGTACTCTACTATATTCCAATTATAAAGGGCCCGCAGATTCTTGAAGATGTGGTTCATATGGTCCTACCCTGAAACAACACTTCCCAAACGCATAGTACAGTGTAGGTATGTATATTATAATCACCAGTTCACTCAATATACCAGATATCAACTCGTGATTAAGAACGACTTTTCTCATACTTGTGCTTCTTTCTTGTAAATGAAGGATAGGCAATGGTCTTTTATGAGGGTTAGGGTTCTAACGAAAGAATGTATTCCTAACTCGTTGAGCTACATGTATTTATGGTAGTTATTGACTCATTCTAGTTGAGAATATGAACATGGACTTCTTGTATGAACTGACACTCAATACCAGACCTGTAATATCCAAGGCATCTGTAGGCCTATTATATAAAATCAAAAACCTAGGAGAGCTAGAGTTGAAACTTGATACCTCGCACCATCAAACCATGTCCATTTAGCTATGACTGGCACAACGCTGGTCTAAACTCAAAAGACAATATCAACATCGACAACATATACCCCTGTCAGTGCATATCCTCATCAACGGCTAGTGGTGACTCAATAACGACCGAAAACAGCATTGACATCAACTGAAAGCGTTCCTTAATCAAATGACTATCTGTGATGGATCCCCCGGCGCGCGGGTGGCTTAGGCATATATATTCCGCGCATCTTCGTCCGAAAAATACCCTACATCTACGTTGAGTAGCCCGCGGTATGCGGCTGCAGGCATCCCGGGTCTCAGTCGCAGAAATTACGATAATACCGTTTCGCCGGGAGGCATTAGAATATCCCGCCCTGCGAGATGCGCCTATCTATTACGTAGCTCTCATTCTGTGGAAACAAGCTTTCATTCGAGGGCTGAAAGGATGTGGTAGAACTGCATGAGATTAGATGTTTCCACTTCTCGTGCATGTTTTCTTTTTCGTCCGTGGATCGAGGCCCTATTTCTTTATTTTCTTTTTTCTTTTGCTTTTCTGAGCTGCATGACTATGACTACATGTGGCTGATAACTCCATGGATGATTGCCGCGCGGGTCTGACGATAATGAGGGTTACCATTATTCCATGCGATAACTGAATTTTTATAATGTCAAACCGCGATATCGAGACCGCAGGAATAGCGGATACGAGTGATAACTTGTGATTATCGACCCAACCGCACCACCCCGAGTAGGTAGGTGATACAGCAGATACAGCATCATTGCTGATGCACTCGTCTTCAGCGTACCTCTCACAACCACCTATTTCTGCGGGTGCGGACAGGCGAATGGGGATTATCCAAATAACTCCTTCCGGTCCACGTGAGTCAAATCTCAAGAATTTAAGGCCGGCCAGCATGGATGATGCCGCGCCTCAAGCCCGTAACTTCGGAGATTATGTTTGTAGAAACATCTTTTGCAAAAGAGGCAGCACAAGTCCATGAGCGGCTGAGATATGCAAAAAGATATGCATCTGGCATACACAATTTGTCATTAGGTAGGCCCCCCGAGTGATTATGTGTGAATGTCGAAATTCGCCGGATATGTGTAGGTTACGACTATTTAACTATGGCGTCTTTTTTGCGAGGCGGTAGGTGGAAGGCTGAACTTATCTCAACAAAGGATTGATGTGCTTGAAAGTATGTATGTCCACTCCCACTCCCAGTACTAAAATACCAGCGACCAGACTATAATCATCGGCGAGGTTTTTTCCTATATCTCGAGGAGGAAAAGTTTCCTGTAAGGCTGCACCTTCGATGCCGCATCTCATCTGAGTGTGCACCTGGTACCACTCTTTCGAATCGGGATGCAAACAGCTCTCTCCCGCGCAACAGGCAGCGGGTGCTTCTTCTCGGGAGGAGCTATGCTCATTAATAACTATACTAGCCCATGATGCGCTGTTCGCCAGGCCGTCCGTCTCCGTGGTGCGCTGTTCCTCACGTTCACGAGTGAGCCTTGATGATGCAAGTCGGGGAGTTGCATCCTGTCAATGTCAGTGCGACCAGTAAATTGATTGGCGAGCCTCTAAGAATCGGTGCTAAGCATACGTTTTTTCACAAACGTTTTTGACACGTTGCTATTGAGTTAAGGTTTTCACGTAGGTTGCTATCGCAGGGGGGGGGGGGTGTTTCCTCAGGGAGAGTCGGATTCGACCTTCCCTCTCACCGGCGGTTGGCGGTAATTTCTTTGTCCTCTGAAGTCCAATCACTTGGACGGATAGGTGTAAAGGGAGGTGTGTGTGTGTGCGAGGGCTGCATAAAATGTTCCTGTAAATTTTTGTTGAGACATCATCCCTAGTCCAAACTCTAAAGACTGGCTGGCCGGCCTGGGCTGAACACAAAGTGTGCCCTTGTGATCCTATATATCGATTCGATTACCAGATCCTCTAGCCGTTCGAGTATGCAGAAACAGCTGAACCTTGATTTCTGGTCTAGTTGGTCGGTCGAGGGCATTTTCGCAAACTGTGACTGCTGTTACTGATGTTAGCCAGTGTTTGTCTTGAGTGGTGAAATCTAGATCAGTGATATTCAGCTCAGTTCCCTTTTATGGGCTAGAAGATTGCGAAATCCAAATATCCGATCTCGTTATCATCTAAGGAAAGAAGAACAGTTCTCAATCGTAGCGGGTAAGCGTCATTATCTTAGCGCGTGGATTACTGTTCTTGGCGGCAAATAGCGACTTTGTCAGTTGCCTATTAACATCAAGACTCGATTCGAGAATCGGTACCCCAGAAATCCCCCCCCACCCACTATGTGCACAAGTGATCGCAGCAACTTTTCTGCTTCCAGGTGTAGCAGTCACCCCCCCCCCCAAATCCAAATACCACAACAACCTTCTTTAGAACAGCCGGCACGCCCCCGAGCGGTGAGGATGATCTGGAGATTCGCTAATTTCCATGGAGGCGTTGAAGGAAGGTCTCACAGCTTCCAAGGTCGCTAAATAATGACTCGAACAGGAACCCACAGACCTATGGAAAAGCCACTTGGCGGTGGCTACAACTAGAGCACTGTGTGTTTATCTCCCGTCCAGTATGTAGTAGCCGTGCTAAAAAAGTCTGTAGTTCCTGGATTGAGGTTGTTGTGGAGTTGCACGGCCGCCAGGAAACACCTTGTAGACTCACTAGTTTGCATGGACGGGCTATGTATGTTCACTTGTAGTTTGAGCATGTATTTGAGTTCGGTACGCGTGCCTCTTTCTAGATATATATGTGTATTTGGGGATGAGGACTGGGTTTTTTCCCCCAGCATACTCGATACGGGACCGGCGGCGGTGGTGATACTAGGAATCGGAATTGGAACTACAGTCTAAATAATAGGGCAGAGTACTCTAGAGGCCACAAGGTACCAAGAGGGGGGAAATAGTCTTACTCACTCACCATTTATTGGATATGCAGACTTTTGAACAAGACCACTCGAAGTCGTATGTATATAGATCAGGTCTCCAAGATCTCGGAATTTATATCCACTACATGCACTTAGAGACACCCTTGCCTGTGCACTGTGTATCTACTCTATTCTAATCGCTCGCTACCAAAACTCATCCTGGAGCGAAACTATTTCGAGCAGCATCACTGAGCACTCACCTCGAATCAACACAGATGTCTCCAAAATCATTTGCGCATCTCGTCCTACCTGGGTGGTGGGTGGATTTTCAGAGACCAGGCACCGTGATCGGCTGATTGGCTACTGGCCCCCAATCGTGCCCCTGAAATCTCTTAGAGTTGCATTAGTGCGTTTTGGATAAAATGCTTGGCCCTTCAACAACAGCCATCAAAACTGTTTGTCCGTTCAGAAATGCCTTTGTATGCACAATATGTGCTTACATTAGTTGTATCTATTCTACAAGTCTATCGACCCCTTTTGCCTAGGATGAGAAATAGAAATAGAAAGGGCCAGTAAACTTATGTATAAGCACAATGCGGCTTCAGCCCTGTAATATCTTCTTCCTACAGAGCTTTAGCCGCTGAGATAAGGCGATATAGAATTGTTTGGTTATCTATCTTCAATGCGACCATAGCTTTGGTGTTGTGTCTGATGTGATCCACATTCCTTTGTCCTTCGGAATCCACGACGAGTATGGGGGGTTGAGGTGTAATGCGCTTAGAGTTTCCGAGCCTCATTGCCTAAATAAACTAAGAAAGAGCCCTGTGTGGTGTGGAGCACTGGAGACTAAAGTGAGTTGGGGTGTGCGCCAACAACCTTCCTGCGGATCCTCCAACGTGCCCTTAGTGCGAAGACCCGTTCTGCAGGGTTCTGGGTTAGTGTATTCTAGGTTTGCACATCTCTAAACTAAAAAAAGTACTTACTCGATAGTAAAGTAAAACATTGATAAGTATCGTGAATTTTGTTTGTGCCATGTGGTGTCCAAACATGCTGAAGGTACCGGTCCGTTCTTCATACTCTTCCCTTTGTTAGGCAGCGGGTATTCTAGAGAGTGGTGTGTAAAAGAAAGGAGGAGGAGGAGGGGGAAAAAAAAGTTCATCCGTGGCAGCGGAACAGCCTGCTGACGCTCGGCGGCGGCGCTGCGGCGGCGTTGGTGGTGACAATTTCCTTCTTGTGTGTGTATGCTTCGTACCTGCGTTGAATGCTCCCACAATTGGAGTACCTACATGTCGTATTATTTTTTTCTCGGCAGAAGGGAGAGGAGATCCCCAGCCTGGCCAGCCCAACTCACCCTACGTACTCGCAGGTGCTACGTTTTCGTACCCACCTTAGAATTAGACAAGACGCGGCTTGGCCTGTAGGCTGTGCCTCTTGTAGCTTTCCTTTTATCTAACGCCTTTTCCCCCCTTCTTCTTTTCTATTTCCCAACTTCTTTGTTCTCAACACTTCCTCAGTCTTTCCTTAATTTCGTGGTGGTGGTACTACTTTCCTTAACATCTTCACTCCTCCACACTCTCTTCAGTGATATTTAAGAATATAAATTTCTCCTAAAAAAAATCAAAAAAAAATCTGCAAATCAATCTCAACAATGCCTACCTCTAATACCTTCCTGAGTGGTCTCGCTGCCTTTGCTGCTCTCACCCAATTAGCATATGCAACCACTTGCCAGCATCAACCTATCAACTCTATTCAATATTGCCAGGAAACCACCGCCATCACCTACTCAAACATTGCTGACTCCGGTACCTATCAAGATGTTTCCGGCTATGATATGGATTCTTGCACTTGCTCTTTCACGCCCAAGGACTTCTCTGGTGGACTAGCTCCTTTGAACGAAGAGGTATGTTTTTATATAGCGCCATAATTCTTGCCCATAACTACCGGGGATAAACATCTAAACTTATTGTTAAATTTAGCTCTCTCTCCATCTCCGTGGGCCTATCATCCTCAAGAAGTTCGCTGCCTACACCCCCAACACAAAGGCCAAGCGCCATGAGGATCACGTCCGCCGCCATGCCCATGGCCACCTGCGCAAGCGTAAGGATAATGTCCTCACAGTCACCTCAACTACTACCATCACAATCACTGTTCCTGCTTCAGATGCTACTCCAGCTCCAGGTTCTGGAGGTCAAGGAAGTAATGGAGGCTATGGAGGTACTGGACCTGGGGCTTCGGGTGTAAATGTTGATACTATTTCGGGCGGGGACGAGGTTCATGCGGATATTGCATCTTCTAAGACATCTGCTGCCGCCCCACTGCAAGCAGCGCGAGTGCTGTCACCGGGGACTGGAACCGAATCTCATTCTTCGATGCCGAGGCAGGTAAAGCTGATGGCCTGGTATTTTTGAACCACATGGGTGGGCAAGGATCTGGAACATTCGACAATTGCTTCGGAAACTCAATCTCTTACGCCAATGGAACCGCCAATGGTGGTTCTGCAAAGCCCACCATTTTGGAAGATATTCTGATTCCTTCCAATAACGAGTTCATTATTATGACCGACCGCCCATGCGAAGGAAATGACTGTGGAGTCCACCGCCCTGGAATCCCAGCCTACCGTGAGTGCTCGAGTCTTGAATTACAATAATGATACCAGTATGTACTAACGCTTCTTCACTTATAGACGGATTTGGAGGCGATAACAAAGTCTTTCTCTTCGAGTTCCAAATGCCCGAAGACAAGAACTGCCCCGAGTTCAACCGCAATATTCCTGCTATCTGGGCACTCAACGCTAAAATCCCTCGCAACGTTCAGTACGGAAAATGCTCTTGCTGGGACACTGGATGTGGTGAAATCGATCTCTTCGAGACCCTTGTTGATGCCGACGACTTCCTTAAGACCCACTACCACTCCAAGCAGGGTGCCGTTGGCAAGTACGGAGGCGGTGGTGCTCCCGACTTCTTTGCCAGGCCTTACTCAAAGCCTATCCAGGCTGCGGTTGTTTTTTCGGGTACAAGTGTTACGATCAAGGTTCTCGATGAGGATACTTCATTTGCCGAGGCACTGAGTAGTGACTTTGTCAAGGGTTGCGAGAAGAGCGTCTCAGTCTTCGCTGTTCCATCATAAACATGATGTGATTTTATCAGAAAAATAAGATCTTGTTGTATTTGTTCTGGACACCTTGTTTACAAAGAATGTATTTCCTATATGTAGTTTTCCTTCTTTTTTTTTTCCTTCAATTTTATTTCATCTCATTGGTGTGTAGTGTGTGCAAGATACGCCCCCCCCCCCCCTTACTACCCGATGGGCAAATATTACCTACTTTACTTTTAGTATCACTTTATCGCATAAGCACTTGCTTCAGTTCTGGAAACTATGGGTACCCCAATGGGGGTATTTGTACAATACTGTAAATTGCAGCGAGCAGGGCCCTACTTACCATATCGTTTTCTTTACTTTACTTATTTGGAGGAGTTTACTTGTTTTTCTTGGGGATGTGAGGATAGTATACAGATCAGGTGAGGGATAGCTTTTAGATGAGAATAAATGATATTATCTAAAGTGTTCTTCTATTCGTTTTGTGAGGATTGATCACATCGATCTGTGGCCTCGACAGTAATCGAAGAAAAAGAGGATCGTGTCTTCCTCATCTTCTCTATCCACAGAGCCTATACTTGATGAAGAACTCACTGGGAAACGAAATACTATTTCTACAACTTTTAGACTGACTAAAGCCACCGGCGAATCCTGTATAGTCAGGTCCCTGCAGCACAATAATCATCGAATATCACTCGGAGAAGATGTGCCGTATGTGCACATGATTTTCGACAATTCAAGGCGGAGGCACAATATTTTCATCTTTGAGTAAGGAATTCTTGGAACGTTATCCGGTCATCTATGTATTGGTTTAGTAGTTCGAGGTGTTAATTTCCTGTGGAATTGTCTGTTTCCGGACCGGAGAAGTGGAGCAAAGCATACCCAAGAAGCTCTAAAAGCAATGCCCGACCGGTTTCTGTACATCCCATGTACTCCAGGCATCTTGAATCTTTGTATGGCAACTTAGGCATATGATCTCAGGACCCATTATGGGGTAGTATATAACAATCGAGCACAGGGTTGAGCCGACCCTAGCCCAGTATCAAGATGTGCATATGTGTATCACCTTACTCCCATATATCACATTGCTCTGAAATATAGGGCGTTGTAGAAGCACAGTAATTATTTCCAGTGATATTGGCTGCCTCAATCCTGCCACACCGGATCCCTCTCCCTCACCACACTCATAACTCCCTTACGGCCGGGAACTTAACCCCCATATGCCAGGACGCCGATATATATTAACAGAGAGGCGGAGGAACGCCCTTCATTTCTCTCTTTATGTTCTAATTATGGCCCAAAGCTGGTATCTATAGTTGCTACCCTCCTTTTTCATTTGTTGATCCGTCTTTGATTGTTGAGTTAAATCACTATATATCACTCGCACACAGATTTGGGTGTGCAATATGTGCAAAGTGAAAGGCGTAGGTTCGTCGATATATGACCCTCCCAAAATGTGTGAAAATCTTCTGTAAGTATTTATCACGGATGATTCGACTGATAGCTTTGTTTTCACTCCTAATGTACCCTCGATTTAGTTTGACTTGAAGCTGTTTTCCCTACTGATTTGTAACTATCAGAGGCGGGTATTCATTCAATGTGTCAAGTTTTGGAAATGGTCGCTACAGTCCCTTCAACGGGCTTTATCGGGGTGCACGTGGCATTGAACGTGCATGTATTGCTTGTATGAATTTTGAAATTGTTTCTGGTGGCTATAATGAGCTTTTAATGCTTCAATGGATGCACTAAGGGCGTACCAAAAAGGTCAGCCATCTCATGGGCAGGCTTACCTCTATGATTCCCTGGACTAGTACCTTCATGAAGAGCGTAATCACCTATAGAAATAGGTCAGCCGGATAAGGATAAATAAGAATGTATATTCTCCTACCAATAGAAAGGTCGGGGGGTGGGATGTTTAAGGTTGAAACAGTACGCGGCATGCAAGTTAGCCAACCTTAGCATAAGCTCACACCAAGCCCCCAAACACGCCCCGGCACCAGGAGGGTTATAACCACCCAACTTCCCACCTTCTCCCACCTTCATCTTCATCCATCAACACACACACAAACATATCACCATCTTCACAACACAGGCGGGGGAAGATACACTGTGAAGACGTCACCCATCCGGACGATTCTGGGGAGAGGAGTTAATGCCTCTGGTATTAATTCCCCTCCCACAAGCCGTCCAGATGTGTTCCCTCTCCTTGGTGTGTTTTCCTCCCCCACCTGTCTGCTTCTGGGTTTTTGGCCGAGGAGCTGAGGGGAGAATTAACGGGGTTGGCTCTCTTGATCTGTGTGGCACTTTGGTTTCCTTTTGGTTCTGCTTTGGTTGGTTGGGTTGGGCTTCTGGACTTTTGGGCTGCGGTTTTTGGGAATTTTTTGAAACTTTTGGCATGTTTTCGCCTTTGGTATTTGGGGCTTTTGAGGGACACTTTTGGGTATTTGGGTATCTTGAGAGCCTTTTTGCCCTTGAGCTTTGGCATTTGGCTTTTCAGCCTTCAGCCTTCGGTTTTCGTTCTTTTTGATGCTTTTATTGGGGTGAATCTTTCAATTTCTCGAGCTCTTAGTTTATAAGTATTAACTTCCCCTCCTCCATTGCTCCTTGTTTTGTATGTAACTCTTCCTGTCCATTTCTGTGAACTTCCTTCTCTCGTTCCTTACTCTAACCCCGTCACTAGAGTCCCGCGCACTATACGCATTACAGTATTGCGGCCGTTTTTTCCCCAAAGAGCAGCTACAACATAGCCTCTTGATTTATTCAGCGGGGCATACTACAGCCTTCTGCATGCTACGTCACCGGCTTGCAGCTTATCAATGGACCCCCCCAGCGCTCACAGCAGAGCTTCAGGCCAGCTAGCTCCTAGAGTACATTTACCCTTCTGAGCCAGCGGCTTGCCAACTACATAACTATACGGGATGGGGAAGTTGACAGTGAATCAACTTTGAGCACGCCGCACATACACAAGGGGAAAATAAAAGCACGCCGCATAAAACGACGAAGAAAGGATGCCATCAAGATCCCCAAGAAATCGAATCTGTAGTTCCTCATTTCCAAGACCAGAGGGGGGGGGCACAAAAATCCTTGGATGGTGAATATAAGACTAGCTAATATAACCCCGTCTATAGCCTCCTGGCACAGCTTCTGGTAGTCTCGTGCCCAACCTGTGGCGTGACTCTCCAGCACAAGGACGAGGGGCGAGTCGACAAAATGTCTAGCCACGGGACTAAGCCTCCGGTATATATATATATATTGCTCCTGGTATGGCGAGGGATATGTTTATAGTATACACTCGACACAAGGACAACACCGGGACCTCTTTCTTGTATATAAGACGAGTACCACTATATCAAAGGATAGAAAAGGTTAAAGCAGCATATTGCTATTCTTATAACGAGAGTTTATCACTACTTGCATGTGTAGGCATCACTATAACGAGAGTTATTACTACTCTATGTACTCGTATACCAGGGTAAGAACCAAAAAATGCAAGTGACGGAAACGGTAATGATTTGTATGAGAGATCACCGCCACCCCATACAAATAATCCTTGCCCTGAGCAACTGCATTTTCTGGTTCTTTTCGTGGTAAACGAGTATGTGCAGGCGGCAGGCCTCACTATGACGTGTGTCGACTGTATTATACACACTACCTATCATTATAGTCTAGGATCTTGTAGAGTACATTTATGTACATATATGTAGTTACTAGAAACACATGATACATGTATCTCTGTCCCGCCCTGTCCACATAAAAGTGACAACCCACACGAGTGACACTCCATGACACCCCCCTCCCCCCCTTCTCCCCAACGCACACACCCTCACTCCTCCCCACACATCACATCACATCACATCACATCACATCACCCACACTACAACCGCAAAGAGCAGACTATATGCAACCACAATGTATATTCTTTTATCGCACACTACCCCCCCCCCCCCCTATATGATGCTATACCATACCATACCATACCAATGCTGTTATGCTGATGCTTATGCTTATGCTTATACACACTACTACATACTAAACTAAACTAAACGCCGGGTTGCTGCCCCTTTTTGCTTTATATATACGCTCCGTCCCCCCGAAAAAAAAGGGATAGAAGTGGTGCGTCGGGGGACCTAAGGGGGGGAGAAGAAGAAGGAGGGCAGGAATGCAGAACCTTGCTGCAGAGGAGGGGGGGGGGGGGGGGGAGGAGGAGGAGAGGAACCAGGAAGAAAAGCTACAAAAGACCAGCCCATACAAAGAAGAAAGAAAGACAGCCCACAAGAAAAGACGAAAGAAAACCAGAAGACAAAACCACCTAATAAAAAAAAACCACAAAAGAAGACTAAAAACAAAAAGAAACTCAAACTACCATACACCCGCCCACTACCTCCCCTCCCTCTCCGACTTACTCCTAATCCTCGTCCACCCACTAATCCCCACACTCGCCGCCTGCAACTGACTCCACCCACTAAACCCTCCTCCCCCACCCCCTGTCCCCCCACCCCCTCCCACCTCCACCGCAACAACCTCCCCACTCCCACTCTCCTCCCCCCCCTCCACCTCCTCCACCAGATCCCACTCGGCCCCAATCGCCTCCCCCATAACCGTAAACCGCACCCTCTCCACCACCGCCGCCAACCCCACCCTAAACCCCCTCATCCCCGCCACCCCACCAGCCGTCGCCAGATTGCCCGCCACCGTCGCATGACTCGCCCTCCCAAACCCGGCCACCCCCTCCTTCGCCACCAGCAGCCGCCACATCGCCGCGCCGGGCGCACATGCCTCTTCAACGGAATTGACGTCGTCGAGGCCCTGCGCGTAGCACAGCCACGCCACGTCGACGGCCAGCATGGCGAGGCCCTCAATGACCTTTGTGTAGCCGGCGTTGTTCTCGCGGGCGAGGGCCGCGAGGGGCACGGAGAGGTGCAGGGGCCGTGTGGCGAGGTGGCGGTTGTTGAGCACGCCGCGGATGGAGGTTGTGGGCGTGTCGCGCGTGGGGAGGAGGATCTCGTGTGGGAGCTTGAGGCCCAGGTAGTGCGCGGTGAGGACGAGGAGGTGCGAGAGGTGCGTGAGGGCGGTGGTGATCTGCGCGGGGGCGTGGGTGTTGAGGTCGGTGAGGAGGTTGGGGATGGGCACGCCGCCGATGTGGTATGTTGGCTGTAGCGGCGGGGGTGGTTGCTGTTGGATGGTGGAGTTGGTGGTGCTGCTGGTGGGGTGTGGTGTGGGGGGGGGGGCCTTTTTGCGCTTCTGGCGCAGGTTGTAGAGGGCTGCGGCTTCGCGGCAGAGGAAGGTGCGGGCTTCGGCGGTGCGGGTGTGCAGTGTTTTGTGCTTTGTGGTGAGGCGCTTTGTGTCGCGTGTCAGGGCCTGCGAGGCCTGCGGGAGGCGGAAGAGCGCCGCGCGGGCGTTGGTGAGGGTATCGTGGCGGGCGGCGGTGCTGGCTCGGAGCTCGTTTAGCTTGATTGTATCTGTGGCCATACTCTATTAGCTTTTTTTTTCTCTCTCCTACAAACCTATAAACCTAGCTCAATCACAGACAGGGAGGGAGTACCAGCAGCGTTGAGCTCCTTGAGGCGGCGCGTCTCCTCCTGAATCTTCCTGATGCGCTCGCGGGCCTCGGCGCTCTGGGCGGCGAGGGCGTCGACGGAGCCGCGGCTGCTCTCGAGGTAGTCGTGGACGCGCTCGGCGAGGGCGTCGCGCTCGGTGATGCGGAGGAGCGTCTCGTAGCGCAGCTCCCAGGCGCGCTCCTGGGAGCAGGACGTGCAGGTGAGGTGGCGCTTTTCGGTGGTGCAGATGCCGCATTGCATGGTGGTTGGGGAGTGTGTGTGTGGGGTCGTCAGGGGGGCATATGGCGGGTGGGTTGTGTTTGTGGGGGAGAGCTGGGAGCTGTGGTGGTTGGTGGTGGTGGTGGTGAGAGGTGAGAGGTGAGATGAGAGGTGAGGTGGGGCGGTTATCGATACGGGAGCTGTGTAGATACTGTGAGTGTGTAAGAAGTAAGAGAGAGGGGGAGGGATGTTTTCGTCTCTGATTGATATTTACCTTCTGTGGTTGTGGCTGTGGCTGGGTGTATAACAGAAAATCTGAATCTCTCAGATGAGGATCTCTGTGATGCGTTGAGTCAAGACGATAGAAGGGGAGTGAGTGACAACGGGCAGGATAAGGAATACCGAGCCGGGGCTGTGACCACAGCTCTGCCACTACGTAGAATGACGTCTCCACCCCGCGCACCCCGTCTGTCACTCTGTCACTCTGTCACTCTCCGTGTCTCAGCGCCCATCCATCCAGCACCCACCGTACATACTAGTACATACGTGAACTAAAGCTTATCTAACCCACCCCACCACCCTGCTGCCCACCACCACCCTGCTGCCACCCCACGACGATGCCCCTGCATCACATCACGCACCTCACCCTCCAACCCATCCGCACCTACCGTCCTCGCCCACGCCCACGCCCACGCCCTCGCCCTCGCACCCCGCCAACACCCGCACCCAGCATGTCCACCTCTACAGCCAAGAAGCGCTCGCGTGACTTCCTCCCCAACAACAACGATGACGCCGACGCCGGCGACGAGCAGACAATCGTGCACAGCCCCGTCTCGTACACGCCGCCCGTGTCGCCGGGGGCCGAGAAGCGCGTGCGCAGCAGAGGCAGCTACCGCGCCGAGACCGAGAGGGGGAGCTACCGCGAGGAGCGGGGCAGCTATCGGGAAGAGAGGGGCGGGAGTAGGGGCAGCAGGGGCAGCTATCGGGATGGGAGTAGGGGGAGTCACAGGGAGGAGAGAGGCAGTGGTGGTGGTGGCACGCCGAGTGGCAGTCCACCAAGGGACCTGGAGAGGGTGACGGACTCGCCTGTACAGCGGGAGCGCGAGCGTGATGGGGGACAGGGACGAGATCACAGCTCGTCGAGAGAGCAGAGCCCTGGGCTGCGTGGTCGGGTTCACCGTACGATAACCACCACGACCTAGATCTCGAGCCCGCCTCCCCTCCACACCGCGACCAGAGCCCCCTCCGCACATCGACCTCCCCGCCCCACGATCCACCCGCAACACCCCAGCCACTCTCCCCCTCTCTCCGCGAAAGCACCACACCCTCCCCCAGCCCCCCACCGCACGAGCCCCGCCAATTCCACTCCCAGCCCCAATCCCAAACCCCACAATCACCCCCCTCCCCTTCACCGCAGAACCGACCCCCTCCTCCATCAGAACCCCAGCAGCAATCACAATCACAATCACAACCACCACCAGCAGCATCACAAAAAGAACCAGAACCAGAACCAGAAACCGAAAAACCACCACCACCAGCAGCCCCCGAAACAGACGACCTCCTCGTGCAGCTCCCGCCCCACGACTGGCCCTCGTTCCTGGCGCGCTTCACGGCCGCACTGCACGCCGTCGGCGACGAGAAGGAGCGCATTGCGCGCGAGCTGGATATGTGGAACTGGGTAAGACGAGCACAGCGAGTCTTTGAAACACCTCACTACTACTACCCCCCCCCCCCTTTCCCTTCCTCCTCTTCACCCCTAACCCCCAGAGAGCAACTACTGACGTAGTTGCATAGATGTACGAGATCTGGAGTACCTCGCGCGACCGCGACGACACGCGCCGGCTCAGCAGGGAGATGGCGACGATGGTGCAGTGGACGCAGATGAAGGAGGAGGAGCTGGAGCGCGCGCGCGAGGAGCACACGAGGAGCATGTTGGCCATTTCGGACGTGTTGGGCATTGCGCCGAGTGGTGGGCCGCCGGGGAGGCGGTAGCTGTGTGTGTGTGTGGGGGGGGGGGGGTGGTTATGGGTTTCTCTTGTCTTCTTTTTTTTTTTTCTTGAGTTGAGTTGTCTGTTTTATATGGCGCTATATCATAGCTGTTGACTTTTTTTTCTTCTCTTTCTTTTTCTTTCTCTTTCTGCTTTCTACTTTCTCACTTTTTACTTTTCTTATATATAGCTGCGATACCTTTCCTTTCCCTTTCTCCCCTTTCCTTTCCCTGCATCACAGACCATGCCCCGACTAAAACCACACCGCGGCGAGTGACAGCGTGTGATACTTCAAACATACGTACTAGCTATAGCAGCTAGCTAGCTGCAATACTACCACTGTCTCCATCTGGTTATATATGGAGAGCTATAGCTACATGATATCTAGACGCTTATGATGAACCCCCCAACTGTTGAGAATCAACCTCTTACTACCATGTATTTGCGAGTAGTGCTGCGCTGGGTATTGGGGGGCCTGGGTCTGCAGCCATATATATACACTAGTCGATATATTTCATGCCGTTCGTGGGATACGCCCGGGGGGGGGGTTACAATATCCAGTCTAGTTCCCTGTGTGTAAAATGGCGAGCCGTGTGAGGGAGAGCTACACTACCATCATAATCATCCACTAGCATACTCGAGAGTTCCATAGTCCTGACCAGAGGTCTAGGAAGCTAGCTGCACAGTCAAACCAGTGGCTGTGGGTAATCCCACACTTGCTCGGCTCCATTGCACGCATATCTGGATCTTGTTCCTCCTTTTTTTTTTTCCCTCTTCTTCTTCCTCTAGCTGTGGGGAGGGGGGGGGGGATGTAAGACCCTTTCTTCATGGTGGGCCTATAGCTAGTACTACGCTACAGCGCTGTGGTGTCTTCCGTGTTGGGTGCTCTATATTGTATTACCTATCCTACCTACATGTACCTGCCGTATCAACCCTTGGGGTGCTATCCTAAGCCTATATAGCCACATTCCCAAGAACAGCCCGTTCTAGCTCCACCACTCCAAGAATTTAAAGCCGGTAGTCACTGGTCAAGCGCGCCCCCATCTATGTTTCTTCTCTAGCCATTTGCTTATACCAGCCATCACAAGGGCCAGGCATCATACTGGTTGTGGTTTGGTCTGCCATGGGGGCCGCCGGCATTGTATTATATCTGCCATGCTGCGAAAGTTAGTACATGTAGTTTTGTTGCCCTTGCGCCCTGCCTGCGGCGGTGCGGGGGGGCCAAAGTACTCCTCCAGAAGACGATCGACTCCGAGGAGTCACTACATAGTCACGGGCAATTACTCGCCCCCCTTTTTATTGACCGGGCCCAAAGTTCAAACCACCGTTGTTGTTGTTGTTGTTTTTTTTTTGTTTGTTTGTTTAATCCATCAACTCAAACCGCCGTCATTCTAGTGCTTCTTCTCCTCCTCATCAATTGGAATTACACGTTCCTATATATATATTCTTGACAGCAACAGCGCCCTCTTTCTCGTCTCGTCGTGGGTTAGTATAGTGGTAGCTACGACGTGTTAAGTACTTACGCATACGTATAACCGTTATCGCTCATGGGCCGCAGCGCAACAACTAGATGTGTAGCTACAGCACTAACCTGGCCTACCCTATAACAGCAGTCAGCTACATGCCGGCCTAACCACCACCACTCCGCACGCACCGACCACCGAGTGATAATCCATGACTCCGTCCCTCCAATCCCACATCTCACCCAACACAGTAGTCCCCCCCCCAAAGCAGAGGCCAAGACTGCCACTGCCGCTTACCTTTTTTGGATTGGGGGGGGGATTTGTGCTCGTGTAGGTTCGTTAGCCTCCAGCGCCGATTTAGGCATACCAAGAGATCATAGCACATATGACAGGTCACGTCACACCCACATCAATGTACCTACGTTGAGAGCGCCTTCTAGCTCACTTGGTCTTTTTTTTTTTTTTTTTTTTTTTGGGGGGGGGGTGGGTTTGCGTTATGGTAGACACTGGGACTCAGTAGATCAGGTATTGGGGAAGGACCAGCCAGGGCAAGGTTTGTGTGGAGTCGTGCAAAGATAGTTCTCTGACTCCCGTTCTCGGCCCTTATACTCTTATACAAATATTATGGGGAGCGGACTAAAGAGAAGAGCTAGGAGGAGACCATGAATACATGGAATAAGGGTGTGTTGCTCTAATACAAGCTATATCTTGGCGTCAGGTGATAGTGGTTCACAGATAATCACTCGGCTTTGTCATCTAACATATCAAAAAGGGACTAGTACAGATTTATGCAGGGAATATCAGCGCCCCCAAGCATCTCTTTTTATATAATCCCTGTAATATAAACAAGAAAGCTTATTTCTAGTCTCTTTCAATTGGTAACAAAACTGTCAAAAATTCAAAGCTTGTGTTTTCTCCAGAAATTCTCCCTTTTGGGTGCAGGATCTTCTAACACTTGCTCAACATAACCACCATTGCTGTGCCTAATGCCCTCCACATAGCATTGGCCTTCATTCATGGTGAGACCCCGGCCCTGTCCTAGTACTGTTTTAGCCGTATATGGATGTCCTACCTCGTGGGTTTGCCTTTCTTCGCTCGACCCGTTCAGGCGACATATATCGGGATCGTCAGTTACCCAACCGTCTGGTGCATAGTCAGACGAAGAATCCATAAATGAATCCTCCACAAACACTTTTCGCCCGTTTCTATCCTTGGTATATCCATAGAGAGAGAGGTCCGATAAACACTGATTCTCTATCGTTTCCGACACCGGGCTCTCGGGATAATCGTCAGCGTAATCGTCGAGATGTTTTTCGTTTACATAATTTTCGGCCATGGCCTGACCACGGATACTAAAATTTTGGGATTCTCCACTCTGCTGGGTTTCATCTAGAGGGTGTCTATCAACCTTTGCATATAGAGCGTGAGGTGGAATAGTATAATTATCCATAAGCCCTTCCATTTTCGTCAATTGCCTCGTGGGGGGTACACCCAAGGGTCTTGGCGGCCTACTAGGACGATCTTGATAAACCACTGACGGTTGACTTGGAACACTCTTCTGAGGATAAAACACTGGTCTTTGGGGTATTTTCGATGATTGATGACCCTTCCGCCCTACTTTATCATCATGGCTACTATCATGCCTTTTTCGAACCCCCAACCTTTCTGGCGAATCAGCACAAACGCGTAGCAAAGCGGCCAGAGGTGAAGATGAGCCCGGAACCTTCAAAAATATGGTTATTTTTCTTCTAACTGTAACAGGTAACAGACTTACCTTCTGAAGCTCGGCCGGATCTAGTGTACGCCTACTTTTGGGTGTGGGTGATTTACTTTTCGTGATTGCCATCTCTGGTGTGCGGGTTCTTGCTCGGTCTACGCCTTCCGCTTCTGATTTATTGTCTTTTACTACCGCTGAAGAAGCGTAGCTGCTACCCCCTTCCCTATATCTAGCATGGTAGGCCTCTTTAGCATATTTCAGAGTTTCTAAGGTAGGACTCGAGGTCCCCCGTTCCTGTAAGTGCGCTGCTACCCTCATTTCTGGTCGAAAACGTTTCTGAAATCTAGCACGAGAATACTCTGATAAACCGTCTATATCTTTGTTCTCAGGGATACCTTCATCGGAACTCTCTCTACCTCTGTCTCGTCCACTTGTAATAGCTGAACCGCAATTTGAGTCTCGGGAAGATATATTTGCCGGTAGGGAATATATACCCCTTCTTCGAAGGACATCGGCCATTGCACTCCGTGGCGAAGATTTAATCGGGCTCTCCGTCATAAGAACTTCAGTAGATGGCTTTTCAGGTGTAGATTTTTCGTTCTTTCTGCGCCTTTTCCTTGGCTCGGTGTAGCCGTCACTTATAGAAATTGTAACTGTGTTCAATTTTTTCTCTTCAAGGCGCCTTTTTGAGGATTCGAAGTAGGAGAATGGCTCATTTTCCTCTTTGCGACCCCGGGATTTCTTGTCTTTTTTGTAATTTGGTGACGCCTTTTGGGCGATAGGCAAATCAAAAGATCTTCCATCAAGAAATTTCATTTCAGAAAACGCAAGGTCGGGCACTAAACATGTGTCAACATCTGGAACCATCATATCAGACCTTCTGGATTGACCTACGCCCTTTTTTGACTGGAGTCGAAGCTCGACCTTTCTTAAATATACCAAGGTTATGGGTTGGGCGTAGCTATCGCGCTAAGTAGGTTAACGGTGATCTCTATTTTGCAAACATGGAGTCTTAACTACCGTGAGTCTGTCCTTGGTAAAATTATCTGCGGAGAATTCGTCGATTAAAATGTCCCCTTGTTTCTTATCCTTTAGACGGGAGGATTTGGGTTCCTTCTTCTTGGCAGGTGCCCTTTTCTTCTCTCTTTTTGGTTCGGCGATTGGCTTAATTTGACTAGGGCTCCGCATCTTGTGACGAGGCCTCCGCTGGAAATCCTTCGTCCTCCGGCCATCTACTTTCGGAGATATTTCTGGGGAGGTTTCACGGACATCCTGAAATCTCTGTTTAGATTGCTTATCGTCGTCCACTACATCGTTCATTACTCGATCACGAGCAGGGCTAATCTCAGCAAATGGTATTACAGAGCTGTCCGATGATAATACTTTCTTATGATGTTTTCTCGACGGGTTTTCTTGCTTTCTGGCTGCTATTGATGTTGTATGTATAGGATCCTTTACACTATCGCTGCGGATGGTGTAGATATCCACCGGCTTTCTATATCGTTGATGAACATTTTCTCGAGCTGCAATTATATCTCCCTTAGACAATCAGTATCCTGGGTTGAAAACTAGATGAAGTAATGGAAATCGCAAACCTTCTGTAACCATTCCTGCACTTTATTGCTCATTTTCGTCTATAATCAGACTGTACAATATACAGAGATTCAATCGGAGTTGGTTCAACGAGTGCCCGGGAATAACTTAATTGTGAGGTATTCGAGATGTTGGCTGATGAAATCTTACCTTCGGGTAGGATCGTTAGAATTGGCCTGATCTTTACAGGAAAAGTTTATCGCACACCTGTTCAATAGCCTAGTTATAACCACATATAGGCCAGATACGCGAATAAACACTTTACGTTCAGTGTCAACGTCCGGTCAAATTTCGTCAGATGCCGCAGTACTGGCTTCTTGACCTTACTAGTAAAACACTGAAAATTTCTCAGACTACTTGCACACGGAGGATAGGTATAAACCAACAAACAGCTAATTATAAAGACGCAATTCCTTTATCTAGATATTCATCTAACCAATTTTGAGTTTTCTGCATACATTTGGAGCCACTTAGGATGAAAAACAAATTATTGTGAAAGTTAAAATAGGACCCTTATAGAGTCTTTAGTATTATTACGTGTATGTAGTATGATTTTACTGGTTTAGATAGCCGAAAGCTCGAATTATGATCGGTGGATACATTACAGAACCATGTGCACACTGAGTTGGTCCGTGTTCCCTACCCTGATCCATTTAACGATTATAAATATGTACGATACAAGAGCCCATTGCAGGTCCTAAACATGCAAACAGACCAAGAGGAAGTCTTTCTATCAATGGTCCTATAACCTAAATTTTGAATCCAGATATCATTTAATAGGTGAATCATGAAATTGCACTCGACATATAATAGAAATTGCTCATCACTGGTGCTGTTTGGCTAGCTCTTTGACTGGATAAACTCTCTCTATTTTATTTTCAACCCGAATTTTAGTAAGCCTGGCCGAATTCATTCTTTGGTTAGGATGCCAATCCTGAATTGGGGGATCGATGCTTCCGTATGTACTTACGCCTTATGCGTTGTCCAACAGCTTTAATTCCCCCGTTGGATTACTTCCGTCTGTCTAACGTTGACGGCCAATTGTTCAACGGTGGATTACCTAGTTTTTCTCTTTGTTTACGGCGAAAAATGCCGGTATTGGTAACAGAGTACCCTAGCGACAGAATGTAAGTGTAGACCTTCTGAAAATGCCCGAGATTGCAGTGGCCCATCGTGGAACCACTTTCATTTTTCATTCGTTCGAACATTTCTTTTATGAAATGACGCTGAGCTGTGAAAGAAATTCAGTAACAAAGAATTGGGCTAGACCAAACCGGGCATTCCCTGGTGTTAATTGGGCCCTATATGCATGAACGATGTACCTCGAGTAGAGTAAGGTATGCGAGGCATTTGCAGAGAGGGTCGAGCGCATAGACAAAACCGTATTCGCACATAGCCAGGTGTATCTATATGGTTATCCACTTCCTTATCAGCAGAACACTTACGTGGATAGGGGGGAAGAGGAGAACCGTTTTCCTTTTTCAAGGATATCGTTTCTCATATGAATTGAATTCTCATTGACCAAGCCAAGAGTGCGGCGACTTCGGCTATTGGAACGAAACGAGGAAAGTTGGGTGGGCAGGTGACCTTAACTGTCCCATGCCCGTGGATCACACAATAACCCGCATTGTCTTCCGAGTACACTTGGTCCGACCTTTCTGAGCACAGATTCGTTGGAGGTGGCGTAAACTGTCCACTCTGTGCTCTCATGATTCGCGGAATAAAATCATCTCGATCAAAGACCCAGTCGATTTCAGGGACTCTGTAACGACTCCCAGCTTTCGGCGACTCTGATGACTTCTGCTAGCCGGCATATGCGTGAAGATGAACAAAATCGATATGTACTCATAACAGCCAGGCGCAGCGGAAGTGATCAAAAGCATCTGCCCACATCGTCCCGCATCTTGATGAGCAAACCATATAATGTAGTATAGGTATGGTACTGTAGGCATCGAAACCGAGAGCTTCCTCGTTTTCCAAATAGCCCAATCGTTGCATAGTCAAGTTCGTCGATTCTGCCGCAGAGAAGTATCCCTGTTCATATCGGTCAGCTCCGTACATACACAGCTGTATGAATGTAATAAGAGCTCTTTGCATAGGTGTAAACAACAAAGAGCTCCGACATATGATCTAGTGTGTGCTACATACTCTTTTTATGATTCTTAAAGATCACATTATTAGATTCTTGTTGTTGAACTGTACAGCTGGATGGAGGAGATCTGTCTAGGACCATTAGAATGGTGGGATTCGGAAGGTTCTTGGGCTTGTGGGGTGAGGGGCACGGCATGACGTCGTCATACCTTGTTTAGCAATAAGCTAACCTGTAAATTGAGAAGATGCCGCAATTCACGTTTCAAGTCATAACGAGAGATCTCAAGAGATATACCTAGAGCCTAAGAGTGCGTCCTTCAAGAGCATGGATAGCTGTTTGAATTGACCGTTCACCTTGCTGTCAACAAACAATTATCGATCGGCCCGTAACTTTTCGAGAGACTTTGAGCAGCAATCGTAAACCGAATCATCTCCGTGCGTGCCAATTCCATATCCATCTGTAGAGGGTATCATACTCGAGGCGACATGCGTGGAGGTATAAACCGCCAATAGCTAGGAGGGACCAAAACCTTTCTCTAACTACTGCTGATACAGGAATTAGCTATAGAAGAAACCAGATCGTTATGATCAGGGAGCTACTTCCGTGAAACGTGTGTGTGTGGCCCGCTTTGTTCTGCATCACACCCATAGCTCTACCCACATCATAATTGGGCAGCACACCCAGTTTATCTCAACCCCACACGCTGCACACACGCCTCCCATACTTTTCCCTGCTCTTCTTCTCCCCCTCTCTCGGCCCTCAAAACCATCATCTTCCCCCCTCCCATACTTCATAACCCACTTCCCCCCAGTCTCTATCTGTTCTGACCCATAAGATCGACCTTCTTTGCAACAACCCAATACTTACGATTTTTTCCCTTTTTGGATACGTTCAGGCATGCATTTTCTCCCCATCGTCTTCTCTCGGGCAACCGCCCTGCAAGTAGTTCCGCCGTGGTGTTAAATTGTGCGTCCAGTTTGTTTCGGTGTCCGTACGGAATTCGATAACCTCGCAACTATGTCAAAACTATTTGTTGGGTCAGTATATCATTGTGTCATTGTTATTATTGGCACCACTCCATCATTTATATCATGGCCTTCATCTACTTAATGATCTGGCATTCCCAAACCTATCTGATACTTCCTCTAATCAACTATGTGCTATTACCAGAGGCCTTGCCTGGCACACCGATGATGGAACTCTGAGGGCCAAATTCGAGGAATTTGGTACTGTCGAAGAGGCGGTATGTACCCCAGACATTCTTTATCTACACTGCGCACCCTTAAATTGTTATCTCTGACACTATTCTTCATACTACAGGTCGTCGTCAAGGATCGTGATACCGGAAGGTCTCGTGGATTTGGATTTGTCAGATTCACCAACGATGATGATGCCACCAGTGCAATGAACGCCATGAACGATGTTGAGTAGGTATTCGTTTTTCGATCTGTATCACGTTTTCGCTAATCAAGGCTATATAGATTTGACGGCCGTAGAATCCGTGTTGATAAGGCCACTGATCGCCGTGCAGGAGGTGGTGGAGGTGGTGGAGGTTAGTTTGTCACTGATTTCAATCAATTCTTCATTCACTTACGAACATCTCATAGGTGGATACGGCGGAGGTGGATACGGCGGCGGTCAAGGCGGATACGGCGGCGGGGGCGGAGGTGAGTACTAAGACGCGTGCCTGCATGGATAATGATGCTAACGTATGTGAAGGTTACGGCGGCGATAGTTACGGCAGCTCCAGTGGTTATTAGGACTGGTTCCGAACTCTAGTTACTCGGCGCACGGGAAAAATGGAATACTAGTACTAGCTAGGCGTGTGTAAGTTAATGCTACTTCACCAAACTCAATATCAAATATTTGGACCTTTTCTCTTTACTATATATTCAAGGCTCTCTTGCTCCGAAAATCATTTGATATGTACTCAGATGCCAGGCTAGTTATCCTTGAAACAAACCGCAGAGCTAGTGAAAGTGTGATGATATGTTATTTCATATTGCTATGATGTTAGCGAGCCAATAGGGAAAAAGGCCTGTATTCTACAACATGCATTGTTACACAAGCCTAGCCAGGCGTATTTCTAAACACATCAGGAAAGCGTTGTAGCAGCCTGTAGTAATTCTGAAGAGGGCCCCCAGAGTTGGGGGATCGTGTCAAAAAGCGGGCCACAAAAAAAACTATAATCTCTAAGAGGTATATATGTATAAGTAACAATTGTGAAGCATTCAAGTCCCCCTAACCTATCTAAAAGCCCAGGTCCCGAAAACAGGCGGGGGGGCAACTTGTTTCACCGCATAAAATTGGACTAAGTTAATAAAAACCTGCTAGGTTTGTGTGCATTGTTGTGCATCACGAGACACTTATGGATATGAAGCACAGGATATCACTCGCATCAAACATTGTGTTTATCCCTAATTCCCTACATTTGATTGATTGATTACTTCATTAATTGTATGTAACCCGCGGCCAGAGGTTATGTCAATATCTGACAAATCCAAACCCACAAAATAAAATAAAAATGAAATAAAGAAATAACACAAACTGAAATGTGTTACGAAATATTCCTGCCTTTTAACTGGTTCTTTTTTCTCTCCTCTATGCAATTTGTCCTCTATTTCCCTTAAGTTGCCCCACCCCATTTCTAATTCCCTTGTTTCGTTGTACATGCCCCCCCTCTGTTTGTCCTATATTACAATATTGATTGGCGGCCGGCCCCATTTAGTCTCCATCTCTGGGGAGTTATGCGAGGGGAACGTGACATTTTTATCACAGCCGATATCGATAGCCATCGCTCCCTTTTGTATTCTCTTCAGCTGAAGGTTTAGATTCCTCTCCAGGATTTACCCCCGCACACCCCCCCCCCCCCCTCCTTCCTCCACACATACACACACACAGAGAGAGAGAGAGAGAGACATTGTCCGTGTGAGGTGATCGTCGAGTTTCTCAATATCGAAGGACTTACTGACCGCGGACACTGCGGCTTGCAGACTCCCGGGAAAATGCGTACACACCTCTTTCATACACTGAAATCCCAGGGATCTTCCAATCTAGATCTAATCGAGAGCTTGGTCCCTGGGATTCCCTGCGACTTGATGGGAAGATAACCCCCTCGATCGTGCGCCCCGTAGTTCCGGGGACATGCATGTTCGGCCCACGATGGCGCGGTGGTATTTAGTAAATTTAGCTGCTTATGGGCTGCGGGCGGTGCATTTACAACCAAACAAGGTTCTTCACGGAGTGAGATTAGATTTTTGTCTGTGAAGGCAATCTTTGCGGCCTAGTCTCCCACAGCACTCATTCTTGGAAGCACACCGCTAAAAATGAAGATAACTGATAATTTTAATGATACGAAAAATTGGGGATGTTTTTGCTATGGTGCCTCCCCTTCCCCAACAACAATAACAACAAAGTACTAGGAGTATGAAAGTAATACTATTTGATTTTAGGAGCTAGTATAATTTTGGTATTCATCACCTTGCTACGAAAGAAGAAAAACTAGGATGATTCACTATGAGAGCAGTACGGGATTCAGTACTAACAGAAAGCCAGTTATCAGTCCATATCACTATCTAGGCTCAAAGGGTTTACGGTAGCGGCGAATCAATTTGAAAGGGTGATTATCTTTGGTCCATCATCACGGAAGGCTGAATATTAATCTAGAGTGGTTCGGGTGGTACGGTCTAGGAAGCATAGGCCGCTCAAGGCAGGCAGAAGCCTCGAGATGCCCCTACCTTTTAATATCTAGATATGGACTATACACAATCCTACTCAAGCAAATCAAAGCGATGCCTTTTAAATACTATATTCAATCAGGCCGTGTCTCCCATTTTTCGAGTGATAAATCATGAACGTGATTCAAGAAATTGCAATTCAATTACATGTATGCAGCCTTGTAAGGTCCGCATACTACATGTATTTAGAAATACGCTCTTTAACTGTGGAACCTTTCCCCTCATCTTGTTGAAAGTTAATGTCTCCCTATGCTGGGCCGGTTTCTAATCCGTCTTTTATGTTACAGTAAGCATACATTAGGTATAGGGTCATCATGTTCATTCTATTCATTCGGAACAATAGTCCCGGGGGCCATCCTTCTAGATAACATGTAGAGCTGGTATAGCACAACATTAAGAAAGAAAAGATGAAATATAATGTAGAATACAATACAAATACAACCAAATAAACTAGAAGCTTCAGAAACGCCACCTCGACATGATCGACATTACTTTATTTCTGCGAAAAAAAAAAAAGAAAAAAAGAAGAAAAAGACCTTTTTTACGCTCCGTCTCAACAATGTCTTCTTATGTTGGATGCTTCTACTCCCGTTTCTTCCTAGAAAGAAGGAAAGGAAAAATGAAAGAAAAAAAAGGGAAAGAAAAAAGAGAGAAAAAAGTGATAATAAATCTAATAAATCCAAAAGTAAAGAAATAAACAAGGAGCCAATAGGGAAGAGGCTCGTCTATACTGATACCGCATAATAAGGTAGATTGCGGAGAAATCGAGTTTGTAAAAATCATTTATCGCTAACTTCGAGGTCCTTAGTATTCTCACTTGTGCTCTGCAGTAACATTTTTGCTACCAATTCCTCTGCCTTTCCCTCCAATGCATCCTCAGATATCCCTCGATCGAGTGCAAGCTTAGTGTTTGCTAACGCAAGTATTTGTTCTTCGATTGTATTTTTTGTTACAAGTCTGTTGTTTGTCAGATTCAAAGTTCAACATGAAATTGGATACAACATGAAATTGGATACAACTTACCTAATGACCTCAACTTCTCGTTTTTGCCCAACACGATGAGCTCGGTCAGCAGCTTGCGCATCGTCATGAGGATTGAAGCTACTATCGAAGATGACAACTTTATTCGCACATGCCAAATTAATCCCAAAACCACCCGCTTTTGTCGAGAGCAAGAAGACCATAATATCGTCCTCCTCATGATACTGATCAATTAAATCTTGTCTGGCATCCACAGGGGTCGATCCATCTATCCTCAAAAAGCCCACGTCTAGACTCGTGAGCACTAGCTCTAGGATATCTAGCATTTGTGTAAACTGGCTGAAGAGTAGAACACGATCTTCTTTCTTTTTGAATTCAATCAACATCGCCTTCAACTGTTCCACCTTACCACTTTGCATCCATTCCTGCTCCTGCAAGGCGTGTTTTCCAATTGTCTTAGGGAAATTAGTACATAAGCGATTGAGTTCAAAGTCATTCATGACCTCCATATCCTCAAGAATGTACTGCTGTTCGCTAGAACGATAAACTTCCTCTTTCAAGATTTCATGAGACATTTTTTTTATTTTCTCGTCGGTGTAAATCTTGCGGAAGAGGAGAGGATGGATAGCAGCCTTCCGGAGCTGCATCATTAGATTAGAAGTAGACTTGGATCCTTTTTTCCCGGCAGCCCGGGCTTCAATGGCCTCTTTAGCGGTAGTTATGTGTTCAACATAAATACTATTTTGAGTAGGGTTCAAAGGACAGTATTCAACGCGGTTGGTCTTGGCTGGTAAATGTTTCAAAACCTGAAGGGAACGTCAATTCATGTAAAAACTGTTATGATAAGAATTGCATACCTGTGCCTTCTTCCTCCGCAATACGAACGGAGTCATCATTGCCCTCGCCCGTTTAATCCTCTGCGCAGATAACAATGCACTATTACTTTCATCGTCATCCGTAGTTTTTGCCTTGTATTTGAAAATGCTAGCCAAGTCCTCCCTCTTCTCACTGAAAACCTCTGGAAGAATAAAGGCAAGCAAAGAAGCCAGTTCCTGAAGATTGTTCTGAAGAGGCGTTCCTGTCAATAAGAGCCGGAAGTTGGCAGGCAGGCGCATAAGGGCATCGTAACGATTAGAAGAACTGTTTTTAAGGAGATGCCCTTCATCGTAGACACACACGTTGAATGCTTGGTCTTTCAAAAACTTCTTGTCAAGCTTGTCACCAGTTGCAAGCTGATAGGTTGTGACAAGTACATTCCAGCCACGATCTCTGGTCAGGTCCATTCGCATCTCTGCTCGTTCTTTCTGGGATCCGTAGTAAGGCTCTACCCTCAACAATGGACAAAAGTTCTGAAATTCACGTAGCCAATTCTCTATAAATACGATTAGAGACATTTTTCGGTCTCGTTGACTAGAACAACAATGACGAGGGCATACCTAATGTAGATGAAGGCACAACGACGAGATGAGGGCCTTGGATACCCTTTTCCAACAAATGTGCTAGAAATGAAATAACTTGACAAGTCTTCCCAAGACCTTGGCTTGGTGTTAGCAACTCCGCCATAGCCCCATGGTCAAAAGATCTTACCCATCTCGTCTGCTAAAATGCAGCTCAATTTCCTTTCGTATAGGAGACTCAGCCAATTGACACCTACAAGTTGATAATCCTTCAAAACAACGCCTTCGCCGAGGTGTTTTGGCTGGTTCTTAAAAAATTGACCCGCCTGGTGTTCCCTCTTATTCCTGATAACCTCATCCCCATCATCTATCATTACTATATCAGAGCTTCCAGCATCTGTAGGTGTTCCAATAGCAGAATCCTTCAGCGATTCAGCCCTTGAATCAATTTTAATGTCAGTCATATCCAGTTCCCCTGCAGGATTATCACTATTTCCCCCAAATACATCGACGCCCCACTTTTTGATGGATTCTGCGATTGGCTTTCCCAATTCTTCTACCCTTGCAATGAGCGAATCCACCGCCTCATATCCTCTCCAGGTTTCTAAACACACATCGACAACTTTGTCTCCAATTGCTCGCGTTCTGGCACCCCTTGGCGCACCCTTTCCTTTTGCCTTAGGTTTTGTAGTAGTATCACTGGAAACTTCTCGAACCTCGTCGAGTGATCTGAACGGTTTTTGGGACAACACAACTTCTGCGATCTCCTCAGTGGTAGCTGCGATATCCGATAGCTCCTTGACGGTACACTCATTGATGTACTTCAACACTTTTCTCTCGAGCTCTCTTTCACCATCTGAATCCGCGGCAGCCTCAGCTGCCGAGTCAGAATCGTCGTCACTGATGGTGAATGTAGGCGCAGGTGGTGAAGAAGATTTATCTCTTGAATTCCTACCGGAACCCCTGACAAGGCGTCTCTTGGTTTTCGCTGGCGGTGCAGGAGGAGACGAGAGGATGGGCTGCGCTTGTGTAGACGACCATTTATCCTTGATTCCCATTCTGGGAACCCTCGCGGCACGGTTCGAGGTCTTAATCTGAGCCATTCCCCGCTTTGGTTTTTCATCGCCGGATAGAGTAAGATCCACCGTCCCATCATCACTGGTCAGGTACTCTATCGCATTGTCAAAGTCTCCTTCTTTTTCAATCAGGGCACTCAAAAGCGTAGAAATCGACCTATCGGGAAGAATCGTTGCCATTCGTTGAACCACTTTCCTGTGCTCTATATTCTGAATTTCCTCAATTGAAACATCCATCAACGGCTTTGCGCGATCTGGATGACGTTGAAGTTTAGGTCGTGCACCAGCAATATTTCCGCCCCCGGAAGAGTACGTGATTGGTGGCTTTTTGGTTATAGAGTCCAATCGTTTGAAAGGCGCCTGCGGCGGCGCAGACCCATTAAATGCAAACTTAGACATTGCGGATTTAAACGCAGACTGCACAGGCGGTGTCTCTTGAATTCTCACAACGTCCGCCGCGTTATCCCTACGATCCCTCATAGAGCTCACAGACGGTACAGGTTTACTCGAAAGAGAACTTTTGAGGAATGTTGGTTTGATGTCATGATCAGAACCATCGTCTGATGAGACTCCGATATACTGTGGCCCTTCATCCGTGAGATCTGTCTTCCTTCCATTGGGATAAAAATCAAATGGCTTCACGCTGCCATCTGCCTGGATAATTGAGGAGCTTTTCAGGGGAGACTGGCGAACCTGTACTACGCGTGGCGGAGAAGATACTATGTTCCTAAATGGGGAGGATGCAGCGACTTGGACGACAGGGGGTTGAGGTATTGAAGGTCTTCCATCAAGAGTTGGTTGAAGAAGCTGTGTGGCTTGTGTGCTGAGTGGTGGGGATGAACCAAGTATAGGGTCTGATTCAGGAATCTTATTGTAGAATGAGGAATTGAGAGGGAGGGTAGCCACTTCATTAGAAAAGAGGTCATCTCCGCTGTCGTCATCTGAATCGAATGACTTCGGGGGTTGTGAAAACTTTCGCCGTTTAGGGGTCGAAGCAGCGGAGGAGTCAAATGGAGAGGGTCTGGCAAGAGACGAAGCCATGATAGTGGCACTGTTAATAGAGGCGGCGGATGGTGTTAGTGGAGTGGAAATAGATATAAAGAGGCAGAGATGAGAGCAGAGAGGGCAAAGATAGAGATAAAGAAGCGCAAGAAAAAGACGAAAGTGCCAGTGGTGATTGATTATGATAATGCCCAAATGAGATATTCAGGTATCTAGGAGTATGGGGGCAGAAGACAGAAACAGAGTCAACAAGCACTGCCGCTAGAGGCAGACCCGAGCAAAGCCAGGGAAAAGAAAACCTTCCAAACCGTGTTTTGGGGTTTTGACGTGAAGTGCAAAGTCGCGCCCAGAAAAAGCAAAAGAACGCGACGCCAAGATATCTTTTCGCGGGACAATTAACTCCCAACTAGGTAAAGCGCAAAGTTGAACGCGTACAGTTGCCTAAGTCCCTAGATGCCGAACGTCCAAGATCAATTGAAGAAGACAACTAGGACTAAAAGAATTGGAAAGAGTATATAATAAACCGTTCGAAGAAGAAAGGGAATACTAAAACGTTGGGATCAAGTGAACTGAGCTCACAGGACAACAAAAACCACTCGCGCTACTTTTCACTGCTCAGCTATCACTACAACTAACGTTTACCATTATCATCATTCATGGCCACCAGACGCCCTGTCAAGACAGAAAAGGACTCTATCAAGAGCGAAGATGTCCCCAGCAATCCGGTATCAGTTGCTGCTGCGAATAAGAACGTTACAGCTGCCTCCGCTGTGCCTAGGTATGTAAAGTAAAAACAAGAACAAGAACAAAACATCACGATGTTCGTACTGACACTTCTAGATCCGTGCTTGTGAAACTTCTCATGTTCACATTTGCCATGATTGTTTTTCCTTTGAGTTCTTACTTTCTTACTATAAACACAATCTTTAAAGGTACTGTTTAGGCCCCTCATAGAGCTTTAAGATGCTAATATATACAAGACCGCTCAAGCAGCAGCACTCTAGCGGCAGCCACCGCAGCTGTGGTTGCAAATATTGTTCTGATAGGGTACATCATTGTGGCCGCGAACGAAGACGATACAGACGGAAAGGATCATGAGAGGAAATCGCAGTGAGTGCAGGCAGGGTGAAGACAGTAGAGGGACCCTATTTAGTATTGAAACATACGCATGCATATTGAGCCCCCAAGTTCTTTTTACATACATGTACTTGTTTCCCCCACCCCAAGTCCCCTGGAGTTCATGGCTGTAGTTGAGAGTTTATGAATTTGGCCCCTGTAATGCCCCACAACCCATGTCTTGGACAACAGCAAAGTGGCACTGTATGATCCCCACAGCGTCAGAAGTACTACTTATAATATTGTATCTGCCATGTTTATGAGTCGTATTAAGTTTTTTTCTTTCTTTTTTTCCCCTTAAAAAAAAAAAGAGTAGGCGCTATTTTTTCCATGCGTGTTATATAACCATTGATTATCCCTCGCAATCTTTGCTATCGTGAATTCAGAATCCACAGTGGGCTACTCCGACGGCAACCTACCACCTATAGCGCTGCTTGGGGGTTTCAGACCGTGATAACAGAGACTCAAACTACATGCCCCACTCTAAGGCATCTTTTGCACTACACAGAACCCTACTCTAGATCTCTGGGGTGGATTATCAATATAACAACTACTACTCCCTCCTGGATGTGATATAATAACAAAAAATACAACCTTCAGATGTACCTGGCTCTACCGCCATGAGTGACTTTCAACGCTCATTCCTCAAAGCAAAGCTCGCAAATCTCCCCCTCGAGCCTCCGATGCCTCGGAATGCCCCGCCACCGCATCTCTCAATGTTTGATGAAGCCGAAGAAGATGCTGCGTTAGGTTACGATGCATTCCGCGGTGAAGTCCCATCATCACCAATAAACGACGACTCTTCCTCCGCTTCCTCTGCTTCATCCACATCAACCATACGTCCTGGCCTGTTCACAAGACCTGAACTGTGTGTTCCACCCTAGCTTCTAGGATCTCAGAGCTAACACGCTATCTTACAGGCCTAAACGAAAGTCAACAACTTTCGAGCCACTCGCCTGGAGTTCCTACTTCTCCCAGAAGCTATATCTTCACTCCCCTTCTACCGACTGCACCTACCATGCCTATATCACTCCCCCGCTTCCCTCTGGTCCTCTCTTTGTAACTCACCATGGTGCTGGCTCATCCGGCCTTTCATTCGCACTTCTAGCATCCTCCATTCGGTCACTCCTTCCCTCTGCTGGTATCCTTTCTTTCGACGCCCGTGGCCATGGCGAGACGAAAACAACTAAGGACGAAGACTTATCTCTCTCAACACTTTCAGGGGACCTTGTATCTATCGTTAACCTCTGTAGAGTGCGCTGTGGATGGGATAAGATTCCAGACCTCATACTAGTTGGCCATTCTCTCGGTGGAGCTGTAGTGGCCGAGGTTGCAAAGAGCTTTGCCCTAGGCGAGAGAGTGTTGGGATATGCAGTGCTGGATGTGGTTGAAGGGAGCGCAATTGATGCGCTGCAGAGTATGCAAACATACCTTTCTACTAGGCCATTGGGATTTTCATCAATGGCACAGGGCATCGAATGGCAGTGAGTAACCCCTCACCCACAATACAAGATAAATACGGGTTAACCCGGTGATTTCCCCCGTTCTAGCACCCGTTCCCGCACAATACGCAACCAAACCTCTGCGCGTATCTCGGTCCCAGCACTCCTTATCGAGGCAGAACCCGCCAGCCCTAAGCCATGGCGCTGGCGTACCGACCTAGGAGCAACCCAGCCATTCTGGGAAGGCTGGTTCGTAGGATTGAGTAAGAAGTTTTTAGAAGCGCGGGGAGGAAAGCTATTAGTGTTGGCAGGCACTGATAGACTTGATCGAGAGCTCATGATAGGACAAATGCAGGGAAAGTATCAACTACTTGTGCTACCTGAGGTAGGGCACTTTGTACATGAGGATGCGCCGGAGAAGTGTGCAAGCGCTGTAAGTCTTCTCTACTCTTAACCCTCTACTTACTGGGTAGTCTACTTACAGCAGTGAGGTGTGCAGTTGGTGGATTTTTACAAGCGGAATGATAGATCCGCCTTGGTCCTTCCCCCAAAGGTTTCGGACATGTATAAATAGTTATCAATTAACAGGAATACTCTACCTCGTACGGGTCATTACTTATTTAACGAAAATAGCTAAAATTTGACCGCAACCGCAACCAGGGGGGCAAGCAGCATATAAATATTTAAACGAACCTCATGAAAGAAAGATCTGAAATAGTGGGTTGGCGACATGTCTTGTGGAGATAGGAGAAAACTATCTGTAGTTACAGCTCAAACCGCCCCCCCCCCCCCCCCCAAAAAAAAAAAAAAAAGCGGTCTTAGCGGAGGCCTTCCAGATCCAATATATTTCATTTATTCTCGGTAAACGGAGATGGTTAAGATCTATATGTAGTTTCCAGTGTAGAATCACCTCGTACAGAGTTCATTTCGCAAAAGCTGGAGATCACACAAATGCTAATTCTATCTGCTCGATGATGGTTGTACGAGGAGGTGTCAATACTTTTAGTTCTGTAGTTAAAAGTCATGCGGAAATAAGACGAGATAGGTTGAAAATCCTAACACCGAAGGTACGTGTGGGTATGTACATGTAAGATGTGGATATGTACCTTATGTATCTAGAATGTAGGCTCGCAATAGTCTTATCAGTACAAAAATCCTTTTTTTAAGCCTTATTTCATCTTATTTGAACCTTACTGTATTCAGAAGGCTATTCCAAGGCTATGATTTTGTGTGGTTCGACGGTAAGATATCGAAGCCAAAAAGGTTATTGCCTTAATAGTATGTCTACAACTGTACAGTCGATGATGATAAGCCAAAAATTACATAACTCTGGTGACTCCTCAATTGGCATTAGACAAAATAATATACATCTTTTGTTAGGGGCCCATAATCTACGTACATGTAATCAAATAAAGGCAAGGGAAAGGGTTTAAAAAAGAATGAATTATCCAAAACCCGTTCAATCAGTCAACCTCAGTAATAGGGCTCTCCGAGACTACCTCTTGAACAGTATGCACCAGAAACATCATCGACAATATCGACTAAGTTATCGTCGCCGTTTTCAACCTCTTTCAAAACCATAAATGGCTCTTCAACTTCTGGCATTGCGGTCTCTGCCGTCTTCGCTCCGAGAACCTCATTAAATCTCGACAAGATAGCATTTCGTTCCATTGGCAGTGGCAACCCAGCACGCGCTTCAAACATAAGCTGCAAAACAACAGCAAATATAACGACTCCTATCAAAGATAGGAAAACTGAGAGGAAGGTCTGTTTTACTATAGAGCTCCCCCGGAGGAGACTGCGATGCCCGTTGTGTCCTGAGACAAGTGGAAGTGTGAAAACGACAACCGTGTTGGCTATAGACGTGCTTGCAAGCTGTATATGTTCGTGGGCAACAGGAACGGGGGAAAATGCAACTTTTGTAATCTGGAAAGGGTGTACTTCGCGGAATGTTTTGACTGTTGCAATCTTATAGTTCTCGACAACGAGAACCTCAACGCTTTGATCTGCACCAGCAATGGAAACAATAGTTTGATGGGGCCCGAGTGAGATCGCATCCATTGCAGTCGCAGCTTTAACATTTTTATGAAGATTTTTTCGTGCAAGACATTTGCCGCTGCCGGTGATGTCGATAAGGAGAAGCTCTGAGCCAGTGCGCGCAGGATGGTTCAAGACTGCTACAATGCACTCTGGACCACAGAAACGCACAGAGCGGAGGCTTCCTTTCATTGAGGTAGACGACTGCCAAGTAATCTTTCGGGGGGGTTCACCACCATCTTTCCCTATAGTAGATGTAACGAAAATCTCCTTCGCAGTGCAATACACTACAAGCCCACCCGCAGATAAGTCTAGATCTGCGCACTCTTCTTTCCCAGGCAGCCGTATCCGTCTCTTTATGTCTAGGCTAGGGGTATCGAGAATCACAACTTCCGACGCTGCTTTGCTTACTAGCCCAGCACCACTACCGATTGCAGCTACTGAACCATTCGTACGTATCAATCTTTGATAGCTTCCGACATCAACAGTAGAGCTAAAAAACTCATGTTGTGAAGCAAGAGAGATAGATGCCGAGTCGGGAGTCTCGGCGGACACTCTGAAAACGCGAAAATGGTCATTTTTCCCCGCTTGCTGCGCACTTTCTGATGAATTGATACCGGCCAACGCCAACCAGCTTCTTTCCTCACACTCATCTAATGTTGTCTCGTGTGTTTCGCTCGTATTCGTTGATGGGTCATTGGGTGGGACCGTTTTCCGCTTCTTTGACTGGTGAGATTTCTCTTCTGATGGTGATAAAGACGAATTTTTGGGAACCACAGCAAGTGACATAACAGCGTCTTCTTGTTTGCTGAGTTCTATTTCCGCTAACACCTTGATCGATACATCGGTTGGAGATTTTTTCACAGTAGGGGGTTCAGAAACATCAAGAAGAGTCTGTCGGCATAATCAGCAACCAGATACATGAAGGTTGTCAAAACGAATAACGCTTCAGATAATCTAGAAAGGAACACGGACAATCTTATTGCCTACACCGCTTCTCCCCTCCCCTCCACCACCACCAACAAGAAGCCGGGCTTCATCAACAAAGGCGGCGCAGAATATAGGATAGGTAAGTGTAATCTTTTCGGATGTGATTGAGGGTGGCATTATGTTACGCTGAGGGCTTGTATGTAATTTGAGGTAATCGTTTGAACTTGAAGAGAGAAGACGGGGAGTTGACCATGTCAGCGTTGAAGCTCAGGTAATATACTTTACACATGCAGTTAGTTGGAGCAATCTGTCCTTGGCAGTGACCACCTAGCATCACATTCAAGCACTCGTTGCGACCGAGGATTCACATGTGAGACTACATGTACAGTCGCGTGCATCAAGTTCTCGCCGTTCACGATCGTTCACGAGCGTAACAACAACCACGACGCCCTCGTTACTCAACCACGAGTGAAGGTGTTTAATAGAGAATACATAGTAGAGTTAAGTAGAATATAAAGAAAACAATTTTGTGACTACCATTTAGTGTGTCCCCCATTGGCTTTGAGACAGGCCTCAACCCTTGATGGCAAGGAGTCTACTAATTTATCTAGCTTTGATTGAGACAATGCCTCCCACTCTTCTTGTGCAGCAATAAAAAGTTCATGTGCACTATGGGGTCTTCTCTCTCTAGAACTCCACCGCTTTTTGAGTGCACTTTTTAACATTCTCAATTGGGTTGAGATCTGGTGATCCAGCAGGCCAACCATCCTTCTTAATCCCATATGCTGCCCTATACTCTTTTGATAGCTTATTCTGATGAACCTTTAGATTATCTTCAATAAGATAAGAGCCTTCCGGGTCTTCTAAAGACCGCCAATAAGGAGCCAAATTGCTCTCAATAATTTCCTCACAGAACTGTTTCGTATTCATGCCCAATTTGTTTTTAGGCGTAGTTCGTTCTGAGGCATTGCGTTTTCGCACTAGTACTAGATTGCACCTAGAGCCGTACTGGAATGCACCCCAGACTTGAATCGTAGTGCGACCGCTCTTAAACGTTGGTTTAGGTGTTTTTCGTTGAGCTGCTCCCCAGGATGATATCGAACCTTTTGACCAGCTGGGTTAGGATCGTACCCAATCTTACACTCATCTGTCCACACCCTTTTTCTCCATTCGCCCACAAGCCAATGCTGCCTCCTACTACACCACTGCATTCTCTGCATAGGGTGACCTGGTCTCATCCATGGCTTGGGCCGTTTGACGTGGAGTATTAACTTGAACTTTTCCGTTTTTAGGAACCTCCTGATCGTGTTACAACAGCAATTGAGTCCCGCTAACTCTTTTATTTTAACTAGAGAAGAGCTCAGCTCATTCTCTACAACCTTTACTATTCTCTTTTTCTCCCATGTGCTGAGGGTAGGTGGTCGCCCAGTGCGGGGTAGTTCATGGGTGTGACCTCGCTTGGCTTGATTGACGATGGTATCAAGAACAGTTCTCACTGGATAGCCAGTATCTCTATGGATTTGGGCAGCAGTTCGGCCTGTATTGTGGAGCGCAATAACAGCTTGCCTCTTGTCATATCTCGAAGGTTTTGCAGAAATCATTATGGGATCGTGGCGGATGGGGGTTGCGCGTGGGCATTGATGGTTGCTATCACTCGGCGTTGAAAGATCATTGCCCAAACGGCGAGAACTTGATGCACGCGACTGTACAATCAAGGTCGAGAATTAGAATCTAGAGACACAGGTTGGGCACGAGACTATCTAGAAATGTACTATATATTTATAGCAAGTGTAGAGTATGTATGATCGGTCTGAAAAGTTTTACCTAGGTCTGAGGAAACTGTAAATGGCCCGGTACATATATCCATCCTTCGGTTCTGTCCCCAATAGATACGTAGAGCTACATGTAGATACAATGTATATAGGTATTTGGTTTGGTATCGTTCCCGCATACAAGATTATGTAGAGTATGTATCAAAATACTCTATACACAAGACTACATGCGTGCATGTAGCTGTGAAAAAAGGGTCTGACAACAAATATAGTAAATAGAGCACTGTTAAAAATAACCGCCTAGAAGTCGTTATGGTCCATTACATGTATGTAGTACTGCCGTTTCCGTTGGGGTTGGGTTGACGTTAGTTGTCAGTAAGGTTCGATTTGTACTATAATTAATTAAGGGGAATCGTCAGGTCTTGTTCCATAATACTTTTGTCAGTTGGCGCAAAATAAGAGGTTAAAAATGCGAAACTACTTTCTTTTTCTCACGGCCGTTCTTTGTACTATAAGTTCACCGTGTTTCAGCCCGCAAGTGAAGTGTACCATGTTTTTCCGATTGTCAACATGAGTAGGGTCTATCCCAACCTCAATGGAAATGACAGTGTGTGTAGCCGGCGGTCAGATTGCTCCTGGAGATTTTTTTTTTTTTAAAAAAAATAAACATAGGGTCATTTAATTACATACAGGCGATACAAACATATGCTTATTATAAAACAGGGAGATACTTATGCCCTCCAATAAAGAATTACAGCTACAGCGACAGACGCAACAAACATGACAAACAGATACCTATTAGACCATTACGCATCAAAGACGAACACAAACAAGCGACCACCAAAAAAACATTTGAGCCTGTATCCCTACCTCGCTTATTACGTACTCATATCTCATGAGCACTAGCTAAGTCGATCGCTTCCTTCCGAAGCTTAAGAGCATCCTCTTAAGCTTCTCCGCAAGACCTTCGTGGGGATTTGCCTTAGTCTTAGGCGTTATAACATTCCCCTCGCCACCCCTCTATGGCAAGAATTAGTTTCACAAATTTCACAGGTAGATATCTAGGACAAAAACAAAAAGGGACACACCCCAGTGTGATGCGCTTCTTCGGGATTAACACTTAATCTTGCCGCATCAGGAATAATATCGTCGTCACGACCAGTAGCCACAGCTTCCTGGCGGGGGGATCCTATATTTCCAGCTCCACCTCTCTATCAAGGTATCAGCTCTAGTATCTCGCAGGGCGGTATCGGACAGACTTACTCCCCCAGAATACGCAGCGCCAGAAGCAGCCGGGTCTCCAGCGCGGCGGATAGCCCCGTCAGTATATTCTGTTTGATCGGGGCCAATATTCCCTTGTCCTAGATTCCATGGACCTCTGTGTCAGCATCGGTCCTTCTACTTGAGGTCCAAACTATGACGTCGCGCAAAAGCCAGCGGTTGGAAGCGAGACTTGTATACCTCCACGGCCATGAGAAACGGTTTCTGTCATCGTATCGTATCTGTATAACTCTCTTCTTTTATTTGTTATCAAGAGGTAAACTAGCGGTAGGTTTGTTTGATGGGTGCGCAGAGTCAACAAGGAGGTGGGCGAGATATTGGAAGGGTTAGAGAGTATTAGACGCGGAAACCAGAACAACAGGCCACAAAAAAGAGGCGGATAGCGCTACTAAGTATGTAGAGAAAGCAATTACAAAGAGTCTATAAAGGCGAGGGGGTAAATAAACAAACATAATTCTAGGGGCCTAAAATGGCACAATCAGACGAAGAACCATGTGAGATCTCATCAGATCCTATTACTTGGAGAGGGGGATAATCAAGTTCTCGGCTTGGCTGATGCAAGGTATTTTATCAATAGATAATAGCTACTGCTGAGTGTACGTACATGCCCGGTCTGTACATGCGATAAAGCAAAATGAGCATAGATACCGATGTTTTTTCTCGGGCAAACCAGGTAATAGCAAGCTTGGAATCGCAGACATAATGAGATGGGAGCTTCGGGTTTTGATCGGAGCCGCCTTATCTTGAGCCAAGGGTTGATAAGGTACGTCGCCAACCCACCGCCCCCGAACCTCTCTGTACTCGGGCACCGAGATGACAGATTTCGAGATGTCATCTTGTCATTGTACCACATGGGTGTTCCGTAAATGGATGAAAATCGACATGTTTAAGGGTCTAATATGATATGAATCTCGCGAGAAGCATTCGACCAAGAAAATGCGTGTGACATGTAGAGTAGCTACATGTACTTCATATATTGTTTAACGAAAGAACCCGAGAAATCCCGTTTTTATGTTACAGGCCTTATCAATCACTGTCAAAGATGCAATCCCGACGAACTGGAAAGATTGAGTCCATCGTCACTTGCAGTATGCACCCTTAAGCGACGTCGCTCTTGTTACTCTAGTGTTCTTGGTTTTAATTTAAAATACCCAACCTAAGGAAACCTCATGTAGGTAGAGTAGAGTATCTACTGTACATGTGCCGTAAGAATAGGGCGTAACAATCAGAAGTTTTAACGGTGGTGTTTAGATAGCAAGTTCAAGCAAAGGCATTATTTAAGGTTGTATGCGATCTATGCGGGCTGAGATTGCGGACCCAAGATCACTACAGAGAATCTTGCATATTGTTTCAACATCAGCAGGGGATAAATCACAGCGAAGTGCAGCACAACATTGTGTCTGGATGATGTAATGCCAATTATAGATCATAAGTATAGATATATGTACTAACTTACATGTACATGTATGTACATACATTTGTTGAATAAGTTGAGGGTATGATACATAATATACTGTATATATCACAAGGCTAGATGTCATATTCCTCAGAAGGCCGCTACAGTTTAGCTGAGGTCCTCCTCAACATCCAACTGTCTATGATAGCATTTACCAAGGGCAAGTGACGGCTAATATATCAAACCTAGTTAAGATGAAAGCTTTAAATTACTAGTTACATGTGTATTTTCCTGATGGTCACCGTTTCCCCCCCCCGACAAAAGAAAATCCTCTAGGAGTGAGTGGGCATGGCAGTCGAGGCCTTGGTCGCAATAGCATCCTCGCTTCTCCACAATCTGTAAGAAAGAAAAAATATTAGTTCTGTATAGAGAGCTTAAACAAGGTATTCTCACGATGTAACAGTCTTCAGCTGGGTGTAAAAGTTGAGTCCAGCTTTGCCATAGAAGTAATTCCCCCCTTGTCCCGCAATGGAACCCTTGTTTCCAGTGAATGAGAACATTGGAAGAGGGACTGGGATTGGGACATTTATTCCAACTTGCCCAGCTTCTATGTCTCTTTGAAACCGTGCTGCTGTTGCTCCACTATTGGTGAAGATTGCTACCCCATTTCCGTATTTATTGGAGTTGATCAGGTCAATAGAATCTTCTAATGTGTCAACATTTAAACAGACAAGCACTGGTCCGAATATTTCCTCTTGATAGCATTTCATATTGGTCTTCACATTTGAAATTATCGTGGGGGCGATCTGGATAATCACATGTTAGTCAAAAAAGCAAGTAAAGAAAACCAAGAGTTTTTTTCTTCTTTCTTTTTTTGGAATAACCAAAGAATATGATCACCTACAAAATTTCCGTTGGGGTATTTTGGTGGTTTATACCCCCTTCCATCGAGCAAAAGTGTTGCACCTTCGTCAACAGCGCTCTGGATCAAACCCTCTATCCTCTGTTTTGAATGTGGAGAAATGACGGGACCTAAATCGGCACCGTCTTCAAAACCGCCATCAACTTTAAGCTTCTTCGCCTGCTCCACTATTTCTGGTAGCCAACTCTGCGCTTCGCCGACAAGGACCAAGGTTGAGAGGGCCATACAACGTTGACCTGCAGCACCAAAAGCAGCACCGACAATTGCATTAATAGTAGCATTCTTATTTGCATCGGGCATAACTCTGTAAAACGTATTAGAAACTTGCTGATAAGACGCGATTTCCAGGGGTATTACGCAGCGTGGTTTTTAGCTCCAAGATTGGCCTGCACACGTTTACCTTTCTCTGAGCCTCGAGAGTAGATATATTGACCGGCTTTGTCACTTCCAACAAAGCTAATAGCCTTTATTCTAGGTTCGTCAATGATAAAGTCAACAGTCTTTGCTGAACCATGGACAATGTTCAGCACACCGTCAGGAAGTCCGGCTTCCCTAGCGAGCTCTGCAATTATCATTGCCGCACCAGGACTTGAAAATTTAGCTACTTTTACGGAAAGCTGGCCTTGGGACCCGAACTTACTCTCTCTCCGAAGGTTTCATGATCATGCAGTTACCAGTTATAACAGCCAGAGGTAAACACCATAATGGGATCCTAATAAAAAATTAGCTACCATAGTATCGAACAGAACTACAGGTAACAAACATAGCAGGGAAATCTACAAACCAACACATTAGTCAACCCCACGAAGGTGTAATAAAACAGCAAAAGGCATTTAAAACATACTGAAAGGACAAATAGCAGCGACAATGCCCAGAGGCTCACGATAGCTCCTGGTTTCCATGTCTTTGCTGACTTCTAAAACCTCACCGGTCAATTGGGTAGTGATACCGCATGCAGTCTATATACATGGCGTTCTTGTCAGAATGATATGCCAAGGTTTCATTTTTTAGTCAAAGAACTTACTTCAGCAACCTGTAGACCTCTCAAGACATCTCCCCTTGCATCAACCATAGTTTTACCTTGTTCTAAGGTGATGCTTGCTGCTAACCTATCCCAGTCTCGCCGAATCAAAGAAACAAGCTTGAACATGATCTGTTGCCTTGTTAACAAACTTGTAGCCTTCCATTTTGGAAATGCTTTTTCGGCGGAGTCAACAGCTGCTTTCAATTCGGCATCTGTCGATTGCGGAACCCGAGTAACAAGGTTGTTCGTAGCAGGATCATGTAAATCGATCCAGACTTTAGCTTGAGACTCGGTGAATTTGTTGTCGATAAAATGCTTCGTATTCTCTGGCGATGCAATCTTTTCATGTGACATGGGATAGTTTATTGAACGAGCAGCAGCGGCTGGGTTGAGGTGATTCGCGGTAGCATGAAGCCTTCGAGTTGCGGTTAAGTCCCCGGAGGCCCCGGCAGCGAGATGAAAGGTTGGAGAACGTGGTTTTGACATTGCCGTAAAAACAGAACGTGCGAGCAGTCTATGAGCAGACATAGCTATAAAACACACAAAGAAACGTGTCAATTGAGAATTTGGTGAGAACAGAAGTAGAAATAAGAGCTTATGAACGTACGTGAGCTTATAAACGCGGGATTCGGATTCGGAGTGCGGGGAAAGGTCACTAGGTATAATGTGGAGTTTACAAGGTGTTAAAACGCACAAGCTTCATAACACGCAGCAGTAGTTCTGCAAGCAGCCGGCTGCGAGGTCAGTTGGTCATTCGGACCTCAGGGTTAGGAATAACTACATGTAGACACCGGTGATTACCGCTTAGGCTCGGATCCTAATCGGACTCGCGGAGGTACTAGTGGGGAAACACTACTTGAATTAAGGAATTACATCTGCTTATATATAAATACAATACCGACGGTGTGCCATAATTAATCAATGTCCCAAATGTTGGAGACAGAGTAGCTCACCTGAGGAGCTGTCTAAAAATCCATATTGTGGTGCTTATCAGTCACACCTAACCCTAATCTCGAGTTAGACAAGATTTTGTGAGGCTTGGCACAAGGTTAGGGTTGTGTAAAAAAAACTTACTACTACTTACAGCCACTCAGCAAAAGTGTTCGTGATATAGTTTTAATGTCAGTGCGCAGTGTGGCGCACCCGTAATACTGATGTTATTAAAGTTGAGATTCAAAACAACGAAAAATATATAATATAGTTCGTGACTATATAAAAGAAGATAGGTCATTGATCTTATTCTTCATTAATTTGGGCACCATTGGTCACTGGGAGTCTTCTCTTGGGGGTTCTTGATGGTCCGCCACGGTTACATATGGAGAAATATCTCACTCCGAAATCGGAATCACGAACACTTTTGCAGAGTGGCTGTACCTACAGATCAGGTGGATATATCCTGGCTAGTTTAATAGGCTAGAAGGCAGCCAGTCAGGTCCTCAAGTGTTTCATACTGGCGAATTCCATGCGGAGCGCGCGAGTATGATAAAATATATAAATATTATACTAGGGGTTGGCTATTTGGCCGGGTGTTGCGGCCACCGCGAAGCTAGAGTGATTGACTACCTAGCTTACAGCTGATATATGTAACTACATGTAGTACGTTTTTTAACCTGGTGCCGTACTAGATCTAAACTGGGAAATGGGTCATTGGCATACAAGTTTTCTTGCAAGTAAGTTTCTAATAGTTATTATTAGGCCTATATAGGTTTTTTTGTTTTTTTGTTTTGTTTAATTCATTAATTGCCTATTAGGCCTAGGTCTGACAGCACTGCAGTCGTGGGTTAAATAGGTTACTGGTAACAATATTATATATATATATATGTGGATCCATCAATAACTTGAGAAAAGGATTTGCCTACTGGCCGGGGCCGTACTAACTTTAGGCAGTTATATTTACTCTATATGATCTATAGATCACATATAGAGAAACCTTTCATCCAGCTGCAGTATTAAGCTGCCGAATTATAGTAATATAGATGCATACATCTAATAAGTATATATATAGACATACCGAGTACGGATGCGCAATGAGGATTTAAAAGGTTTTGATTAGCTGCGTTTTAGACCTTTTTTTTTTTCTCGAGCTATTAATTAGGGTAAATTAACTAAAAAGAAAGATTAGGTTAGAGGTTATGTACATGTTGGAGATTACCGTTTCTTTTTTGTTGTTACTCTGTTGTTCGGTGATTATCATATCCTTTTTAAACATACAGCTCTTTAGCAGGGCAGCGCAGCGGCAGTACACTTCTCTAGTGGCGATACACTCCTATGATTATAGTACAGCTATCTAGTGACGCTCGATCTGGATTATTCTTTGTTTCATTATCCTCACCGGCCAAAGGCCGGAACCGGCTTGTATACATGTAGATAATGTAGAGATAAGGCTTAACCACACGAAATCGATCTAGCTAACCGATGAAGTATAAATCTAGTCGCTCGACTCGGAAGCGGGTATTAGGAAATAATATGTTATATTCTGAAATGACATGGAACCAGCTGTAACTTGTAACTACATGTAGAGGAGATAAATTTGTTGAGCAAGGCCGGGGTAAAGATCTAGAGTGTTAGTACAGAAGGATTTCATTTTTTTTTTGTTTAATTCATTGATTGCATGCAACCTAGAAGGATTTCATTTTATTTATTGCTACGCATTTTATTTCTGTTTTATTCTCATTTTATTTTTAGTTTCACTTCATTTTCATGTACTTGTCGTGCTATTTTGGTACGCCAGATATTCTCATAGCTTACGGCATATAATTAATGAATTAAACAAAAAAACAAAAAAACAAAAATATATGTACTCATGGGATCTCACTCGGGACAAGGCATAGGGTTAGGGTTTTGTATCATAGTTCTTTTTTTCTTTTTTTTTTTTAATTCATTAATTTCATGCAACCTTACAGTTAATTACAGCAATTATATCATGGTTCAACTTGACCTTGACTTGCTTTATCGACTCTGTAAGTGCGGCGAACTGGGCCTAAAGTATGTGTATATAGCGATGATACTACGTATATTATAAATCTTTTAATACAGAATCCAATCCAATTATGGTACCCACTACATTCATAACCTGAAAAACTTACATACATATATACATGTACTTAGATGTACATGATATTTATGTATCATGCACATATACCTAGAAATCTAAGCAGTGCGCGATTTTCAATGGTCTAGACTTTGGATCATATAGGTGAAGCTTCACAAGTTATAATCGAGTTAATATCTCACGCGAAGTTTTGGGGGTGGTATTGGTCGTTGTTACATTCTTGACTAACGAGGCGGCCAATACATTTAGTCATATCCCTACTGGACCCTAAATGATGTTGAAGTTCCCAATGTTGATATAATCCTTGAAGAAAACAAAGAAACAAAGATGATATAAAGATGAGATACAGGACGAAAACGAGTGGAAAAAGCGAAACGGTAAGGGAATGGTCATAAATTATGCAAGTCTCAAGGTTTTACCCGCGCAATAGTTCTTTTAACCTTTTTTGTAAGATATTTGCTCCATCTATGCTGTTCCAAACATCGTGCGGAGCATGGTTGACCACATCCCAAGCCACAAGGTTATCCGTAATTTCAGTCAACTCTCTTTGACCGTCGTTCCATTGTTGGTCGTGCTTAACCGACTTGCCCGAGCTTATAACAGCAACAGGTACGCTCTTTGGTAAGATTGCTTTAGCAGCTGCGATCTCGTTCTTCGTGAATGTTGTTGCTACCAAGTTCTCTTGAAGCTTTGCCTTGATTTGCTTTCCACTTTGATATGCAGAACGCCCATATATGCGATCTGCACGGTCTCGACCCATGAAAATGGCTCCCGTCAAACGATCAATCCCAATTGGACTGATGATCCCCCTGAGCCAAAGCAAAAATCCTCTACCAGCAGAGCCAATTCGATGGAGCTGGGATTCGGGGAGAGCATCTATCAGAAGTAATCCTTTGACCTCAGTAGTATGACGGGAGGCAAAGATGCGAGAGTATATTCTGTGAAAAGTCAGCCATTTTGAAAGTGCAATCAATTGAAATTATTAGAAGTAATCATTACCCCCCTACACCATGGGAAACAAGCACCCATGGTCCTTTTTCGTCTGCTTTCATAAGCGCCTCTGACAAAACGTCAATTGCCATACCTGCTGACAATGGGCTTGGTGCATTATCGCTGAAAGCAATACCGGGTCTATCCCAGTAACAATATCTTTCGATTTGCTTATCCTGGTATGTACCCAAAATCCATCCTTCCAAACCGTGTTTTACAGGATCTTCACCTCCTTCCACAAGTACAGTTGTTACTCTCTTTCCGTCCGCCGTTGTAGCATTCCCCGTACAAAACAGATGTATCTCATATCCATGGCCGTCCACCCAATATCGAGTTCCTGGTGGTGCGAGGGATGCGTCCCTAGAACGGAGGATGAGTGTTGCGGTAAGGAGGCAGGCGATTGCAATAAAGACGATAAGAACGATAGTGGCAGAAAAAACCGATAACCATTCAGCCAAAGAACGTCTAGTTTCACGACGGCCAGTCAGACGCTCTTCCTCCTCTCTCTTACCGTAGGCGACTACACGGTCACAGAGGATCTAAATTGGTTGAGTCAGCGTAAGATAAACTCAGAGTGAAAGGAGAGACCAACACCCCAGGTACTAATCACAGTAGCCCAAATTACAGACACGATTCCAACCCAACCTTCTTCACCACGAATACGCCCAACGGCCAAAATGATGATTATGTCGATAAATAATAAAACGGAAAGAATAATCCATGAATATTGCTCAGATTTCGCGGGAGTAGCGAAGAATAGAAGTAATAATACCAAGCTGCCAGTAGCAAGCGTAGAGAAGCTAACCATGGGTAAATTTATTTATTATTAGATTTTACTTTCGTTCTCGCTAGCTAGGGATAAGGAAAAGGCGAGGGAAGCTAAGATAGACTAGGGACTTACGCAAAATCGGAAAACCCGCTTCCTCTAGAATAGATTCCCGGAGGGCTGACAAACATTGAAATCAAAAGTACAATCCACCAAAGTAAAGAAATCGTCAACAGAAGAATCGATGCCCATCTCAGTGATCGCACAGAAAGAAGATTGTACGGCGATACTGCCGGATCATCTGGACTGAGTGGGTGATGTCCATTTTCGGGGCGTAGAAGACTAGTTCTTTCATCAGGGTCCCGGCTATGTGACATATGAGAAGATTCCAGGCTTTCAGTATCGTCAGGCTTTCTTGGGCCCCAGAGTTTGCTCATTGTGAAAGTAGTAAAATTAAGAACAAAGTGCAGGGCAAATGTAATTTGGTAATTCAGGGTGTCCAACCTTTATACTACCTTTAAATCTACTTACTATTAAAAGGGTGACGTGATCTCAAATTCCAGGATAAGCTTGAACAATTGCTGGGAAGGGTTGGTGACGTTGGGAGACCGACGACGTTATGACGTAATTTCACTAAACACCATGCCTGCCTGAAGCGAAGACCCGTAACCTGGGGTAAATCTCGATCTGATAATCCCTGTAACATGCAATCTACAGCTATCGGTACGGAAACAGGGACCGACGATCACGCCGAGAGCAGGGCGATTTTCCAACGCAATAATTCTACCGATAGCTGTACCCATGTATCCACACATAAAAGAGATACCTCTTCGTCTTCCTTGAGGAGGGTTCAATATTGGGCTTTGCCATGCGCAGTTAACACACTGAATACATTTATTTATCGTATGTCCGCTATCCATTTAGGACCAACCTTAAGCCTACGAAAGCTAGGGCGCCCTTGATCACCCTTTAGCAAACAGTCCGGTAGGGCCTGAAAAATCACCCACCAGACGGGGGGACCCCAGATCACGTGTGGAGTTGGATCGTGAACCCACTTTCAGGCCTCTAACTATATACCTCCCATTCGCCAATCTTATAATCCGAGTTTAGAACTGGGTCTTTTGTGTAAAGACTCTAATATCTGGAAATTCGACAGAAAATGTCATTTTCAAGGGGAACACGGGTACGAACGAGGTGGCTATGATAACTCATCCTCATGATATCACGTCGTAACTACATAGAGTAACATGGACGGTCAGATTTTAGGCATTTTGCGATGACAAAAAAATATAACGCCATTTCCATACCTACTCTAGGTCTATAAGGATTGGGGCTGGTGATCTAACATCAATCTCCCCATTCATTGACACTAATTTTTCTAGCTAGAACAACCCCATGGGCAGAAAGTCTTCATATGTCCATAACTGATAAAGTCATCAAAGATATATACGGTATGAGTGTGCATGCGCACATGTAGTTTGGAATGTCAATTGAGATTGGTACTCTAATACAGTACAATCTCCTTATATTAATATAGGAGTACGTCGGGACCAAAATTTGGTACGGCTCTTAAAAGAGTGGTTACCCTTATAGGAGGAGCAGACTTGTACCTATGAGCCCCAATGAGGGCCCTCAACACCTACCTTTATAAGGTGAATACTCTTATAACCACGAACCCATATAACCCTGAACCCTTATAAGGGGATCGTACTGTGCCACGCACCTACCCATACTTCAGGATTTGGTTTTGCTTACCTGTTTTTCGCCCCTTACCGCAGCTTGCTGTCCGTAAGGGATGGGTACGAGACCAGACCCCTTCCCGCAACTGTTGCAATAGAGATAAGATTTGGAGCGAATGCTAGCACCAAACTGGTTGACCTGCAATATCCAATCTTGGGGACTCGATAGATCATATGGTTTATTACAATAGAAGACGCTTCATCACTTGCGGAAATTCCTCTAATACCTAAAACCCTTGGTCTTGGGTCGCGAATATTTAAATACAGAATCTCTATTTACCATATAACCAGACATTTTTGCTGGAAATTTCTAACGGCCTCAGAGTACGATTCAGCAAAGAATCTGCTCCGGCCGGAACCCTAGATTGGGGCAAATTAAGTCATAACATATACACTCCGATAGGCCAAAGTGACGATTCCTGACCTCTTTTAGGAACTCTCAGAGTTAGGGGCTCCACAGATTATCTGTCAGTACGCCAGTATACAAGTGTTTAAGGAGGGTTCAGAAGTCTCGCTCAGATCGATCCCAGCGGTACATAGGCGTCAACGGCGCGCTGTTGGTATTGATCACCGATTCATTCATTCATGATCATCCGACCGGGTGTGTCCCTGGTAAATAGATAAGGTTTTTCTACAATTGCAGGAGTCTTATATTCCCGAGAACAAGAAACTGATAAAGGTTATCCCTTCAGGCACTAGATATGACATGGGCAACACTCTCCTTCTCACGTAATACCTGAATCCTACTAACGCCTAAGCCTAGCTACTACATATGTCTTGAGACACCACATAAGCGATGATAACAGAATAATAGGGAAAGAGGCTGGAAAGAATCAGTCGCCATTAAACATAAGAGTGGATATGATCTGAGCTATACATGAGAGAAACAGGGATGACTTGATTAGCTACAGAAATACTAAGACCTGTCTGGTGTATAAATATAATCAGGATCCGGACATGACTAGTTATGGTCATATAGAACGGCTTAAAAATCCCACTAGACGAAACTATATTTGCCACTGGGCTGAGCTGTAGACCCTGTCCAAGCGCCCCGCTGGTGTGTGTGTGTTGAACTAAATGGTCTTTGTAATATGTGTATGCAGAAATAGAGGTATGTCTGAATAATTAGGCTCTCACGGTCTCTAGGGGGAGTGGAAATGTGTACCTCGAATATTAAGTAAAGTCGGGAAAGTCGTTTCTGGGGTCCCAATTTTCGCTGGGAAATGTCAATATTTTGGCAGAGGGAAAGTCGTTTTAAGGGAAATCGGACGACATTACACACGATATTTAATGGCTTTACCGACGACTTTACCGACGCCTTTCCCTATCACGCTTCTGTCACCCATATTGCGCGTATACACATGGGGAGGATACATTTCGGCCACCGGTGATGCTTCACATGATTGACCAAGGCCAATGAAACGAATTATTACAGAGCATTCTACTCTTATACCAGGAGCATTAAGATAGAATTGCCTGCAAGTATATGCCAAACAATAGATCCACCAAAATGAAATTGTATTCCCCAACTGTTACAAGCCCATTGATGCCAAATACCATTTGATGACCCCATCGAAATATTCTATTTGGGGACTCAACTACCTCGAGATCTAGAGGAGAGGCTTCATTGGAAAACATTGATTTTCCGGCGGAAAACAGGAAACCCCGGAAACAGTCAGTAAAGTCGTATTAACATGCCTTTAACGGGGAATGTCGTCAGTAAAGTCGTATCTTATTGCCTTTAACAGGTAAATGCATCAGTAAAGGTGTCGGTAAAGTGTCGGTAATGGGACAGGAATGTCTTTAACACAAAGTAATGCGGTTATTGCATCAAATAATGTGTATCTCGCAACTTTGTGTATGGGAAACGTCAAAATTGATGCATTTCCACTCCTACTAGAGGGTTGGTGCGCTGCCGGGTGATTTTCTAGGTACTTATTTGGCCATATTGATCTTTATAGAAGAATTGGATGCGTATCATAGTGCGAATGGACAGTGGCAATTTTGCCATAACCGTAGGGTTGCATGTAATTAATGAATTAAACAAAAAAAAGAGAAAAAAGACAGTGGCAACTTGAAGATTGCTTTATATATATTTGGCGTCAAATATCAACTTAAGGAAGGTCTTATATTAAGAGACTTCCGCTAAAACTATGATCCCTTCGTTAGTCAGAGCAAAAACAGGCCCACGACGGCGTGGTGATATTCAAAAATCTAGCTACCTACAGGCTGCACTGGCAGAGACACCAGAAAAGGTATATAGGAGAGGACACAAAGGTGACTTCACAGTAGAAGAGGTTTACAGACCGGAGTGAGGGTTAGGTGTACTCCTGGGTAAAAGTTTCTTACTAATTCCCGGTCGTGAAAACACACGAAGTGATATAATTACTGGCCGATTGAGTTTTTATTACTCTTTTGTCAAAACAATCAAAGTGTGTCTATACCTGGTATTATGGCCTGGTTGTGATGCACTGAGATGAATAAACGGGAATTACTTGATGATTCCATATATATGCTACGGCTGCAATTAACGAATTAAATAAACAAAAACATATGCTATGGCTTGCAGTTGGGAATTAATGAATTAAACAAAAAAAAAAAAAAAAGGCTTGCAGTTGGGCCGACTAGATCCGGAACGAGTGATAGAGGGTGATTGAACGTCTAATTAGAAGGTGAGCCTAAACCCTGGAGCCCGCAGCCTGTCACCATATAGTCGAGCTGCAGTACAATCCTTAGAATCGAAATCCATATAACCGTATATATGTACTCAATAAATAGATCGATCGACTGAGCTCAAACTGTTTGGGGAAATGGCCAGTGCTAAGCGATAATTCTGTAGCGTTTAAACTGATGATATTGTAAACCGGATTCCCTTGACTTTGATGGTTGATGATACCCTCAAGTCTTCGCAGAATCAAGCCCTATTTATACATGTTGGAACCTATGCCAAGGCCCGCTTTCTAATACTAACTGATACAACGATAATAGAATAAGATAACGCTCCCGAAGATAACCCAGATAGAAAAACGCCCCCGCATAGTCCCGTCCTCCATTCTAATTCCGACACGTAACCATGAACCTTGCAATTGCCAGTCATCGGGTTGTACCATACTATTATCCTAGACCTACTTCCCTAAGTAGAACAGCCTACAGCCGTAAGCCCCGCTTCCTATTCTATTCCGGGTGAGACACCCAATAGTAAACGTGCCGTCATAATAGTATAACACTAGTGTGGTAACATCGCGTGCTCCCACACTACCCGATACCTTTCTATGCTTGTCCTTTCGTTACCCGACCGTCCTCGCATCACAGCCCGTCACTCGTATCCCTCATTGTCCTAAGCCTCTAGAACAGTGTTCCGTAGTTCCTGTAACACTACTCCCCCTTCCTAGACGTCGCCCTCGACCGTTAAAACCCTTCTATAATAAAAACCCTGTGGGAAAAGTCATAGAGTAGGGAAAGGTATCGAGCTTAGTCCCGCCTGTTCCGTTGTCGCTTATGAGCCCGGTCATTATCGATCGCTGGGCCTCGACTTCGCGTATGAGGTCGTGTGTTCGAGGTTGGCTGGAAATTCTCGTCTGCCAATGCCTCCTGTGGCTCGGGTGTTGCCAGTCGCTTTCGTGTATTTTGTTTTCTGGTGGGATCCGGGTCCTCGCGATAGGGTCGCAGCAGCATCTCGTGAAAGACGTCGTGAACCTTCCATTCTACCGGAAGTTCGAGACGGTAAGCCCGATAGCCCACCACTGCTGAAACTGTAAAGGGCCCTGTGAACTTGTCTGACCACTTGGAGTATCCTCCTAGGTTCCGAGTGTCCAGCAAGACTTTCTGACCGATAGTGAACCGCTGTACTGCCGGTCCTGGCTTTGACGCCATCCTGTCGAAGGTCTTCTGTAGCGTGTCTCTCGCTAACTCATGAGCCGTGATGATCTCATCCAAGTAGTTGTTCCCGTTGGCGTCTAATCGTTCGATCTCTGCATCCGTAGGCCAATCCGTTCGAGGGTGGAAGCCATAATTGCAGTAGAACGGCGATTGCCCCGTCGACGTATGCTTCGCATTGTTGTAGGCGTATTCACAGATAGGTAACAGGTCCTTCCATTTCTTGCCTGTTCCTGCCGTATATGCCCGAATATAACCTTCCATGTGTTGGTTGGTCCGCTCTGTTTGGCCGTCGGTTTGGGGGTGGTGTAACGGGGGCAGCCTATCTATGTATCGCTAGAATCCAATAGAATAGATGCGGCCGTGCAAGATAGAAATCAGGTGCAGATTTATTCAAAGATACTATCGCTAGAACTCAATAATCTTTAAGGGCTCTGCTACCGATAATCGTCTACTCGAAGATGAGGATCAGGTCAGTTGGGCGGGAATGATCCTGAGTACCTATACTCCAAAGGATTCTATTCTCTGCTCCTACTTCCTTACTAAGTTCCGGTGCTGCCTCCTAGTGGAAGGGAAGCAATACCATCGCTACCCCGCTTCTCTCTAAGCGTCAGCGAGTGCTTCCGATTCCGAAGGCAACCACCCTTAGTCAAAGCCTTTGTAACACCTGCAGCCTTTGTTGCCACACAACTAGGGGCCTGCATGAATGAGCTGCCACTCAGGTGTAAGCTTAATCATTGCTGTAGAGCTTCCGCTTATTGTAGACTTCCCAGGCATAGTCTCTTCCACTGCTGGCGGACTTCCAATGCTCAGAGGATGTGGAGGATCGCTGAGCACTCAGAGCTTCACTCTGGCTAGCCTTCTAATCATTGGCGAGGCACAGACTCGTCAGTCATTGCTCCCATGAGTAGATCCTCTTCCTAGCGCTCAGAATGTAGTTACTCTGACAGTTGGTAGCTAACCACACTGCCGGTACTTGCATGTCACTGTGCAACTGGCTTCTAACAATAACTCTCAGCATGTAACCGGGCCCTGTGTGTACTCATACACCAGACAGTTGAAATGGCTCCGTTACACTACTCCCCTCTTCCAGGATCTTGGTCTCCGAGATCTATAATCTGTATCTATTTATCTATGCAATACTATATGACAAGGAAACTCCTTTGGTGTGGAAGGGGACGGGAATGTTAGAGGAAAATGCTACTGGCTAGAGCCCTCTTATCCCTGGGCTTCTTAGGGTACCTCATATGGAAATCCCGGAGGGCTTCTTCAGCACTCTTCCTGAGATGTTCCCAGGGTTCCCATGTAGCGTCCTCATTCTCATATCCTTCCCACAGCACCAGGTATTCCACCCTTCTCCTCTTCTTATTGACTCGGCTATCAGCTACTTCCCGGACGATCCAGTTTTGTTCTCCTGTAATCTCCTCAGGTTCCGGTGGGGGAACTCTTCTCTCAGGATCTATTGGTGCTCTATAGGGTTCTAGGAGAGAGACATGGAAGACAGGGTGGATTCCCATTTGCGGGGGAAGAGAGAGCTTGTAGGCACGGGTACCAATAGCTTCTAAGACCTTGAAAGGTCCCATCTTCTTCTGATCCAATTTTCCCAATGGCCGCTTTGTTTGCACATTGCGCCGGTCTAACATAACTTCATCTCCGGGCTTGATTTCAGGGGGTGCCAGGGCATGTGCATCATACCACCGGGCCATCCTTAGTCTAGCCTTTCCCAAGCTTGCGTTCATAGCCTGCCAGATAGATTCCCATTGAGATACCATGACCTCGCTTGCTGGATTATTCCATTCAACACCTTCCTTTGGGGCCGGCCAGTTGGTTCTGGGTTCATATCCATAGTTGGCATAGAAAGCCGATACTTTGGTAGACTCAGAAACCGCCGAGTTATATGCATACTCTGCCAAAGGCAAGAGGTCTGCCCAGTCATCCTGTTGATATGAACAATAACTCCGCAAGTAATGCTCCAGGGTCTGGTTAACTCTTTCTGTTTGGCCGTCCGTTTGGGGATGGAAAGAAGTGGACATCTTCAGCTTCACATTGAGGAGGCTCATGAGAGATTGCCAAAAATGAGAAATGAACCTGCTATCTCTGTCCGAAACTATGTCATCAGGTAACCCATGGAGTCTCCAGACTTCCCTCAAGAACAACTTAGCCAAATCTTCCGTTTTGTTGAGTGTAGGAAGTGGGATGTAATGTGCCATCTTTGAGAAGCGGTCCACTATTACCCAGATCTTTGTAAACCCATTGGATTCCGGCAATCCCACAATAAAGTCCATAGAGATGGAAGTCCATGGCCGATAAGGTATCTCCAGTGGTTGGAGCATACCGAACTTCTTATGTCTTGAGGTCTTATTCCTCTGGCAGCTGTCACAGCTCCGGACATATTCCTCAACATCTTTATCCATGTTGGGCCAAAAGAAGTTGTTTTTTACCCGCTCTAATGTCTTGAGCTGACCGAAATGGCCCGCCACTTTAGAGTCATGGGTATCGGTCAGGATATCCATCTGGAGCTTCTTGTCTTTGGGAATATACCATCGATTCTTGTAGAAGATGAGGCCGTCCTTGACAGACAAGTTCTGGTCCAAGTTTGGTTTCCTTTCAACCAGGGAGCGGTGCAGTTCCTGCCAGATTCCATCCTCTTTAGCTGCCATACATAGGCGCTCTAAGAATGTGTTCTGCAATTGATTCACCCTGACAGCCGCTAGCTTAACAGGATCCAAAACCAATTGTCCTGGCCTAAAAAACATCTGTGGCTCCGGCCGCAAGGTTTCACTCCCCTCTTCAGGGCGGTGATCCCAACGCCTTGATAGCACATCAGGTTTGCCATTCCTTTCTCCCGGTCTGTAGACAACTTTGAAATTGTAGCCTGCTAGGTCCTCAGACCATCTAGCTTGCCGCCTAGTGAGAACCTTGGTAGAGTTGAAGTACTCTAAATTCTTGTGGTCTGTGAAAACCGTGATCTCCTGCTCGCAACTCTTGAGCATATGCTCCCATTCCCGGAAAGATGCTACAATAGCTCCCATTTCCTTATCATGAATGTCATAGTTGATCTCAGCCGGGGAGAACTTCTTAGAATAGAAAGCTACCGGGTGTAGTTTCCCATCTTCCCCATACTGAGAGAGCACCGCTCCTTTGGCAAAGTCACTGGCATCAGTTTCGACCACAGTTCTTCTGCTAGGGTCAAAATGGAGAAGGATTGGAGCGCTTGTGAATAGCCTCTTGAGTTCCTCAAATGCTTGTTCACAGGCTGCGGTCCAATACCATTTCTTGTCATTTTGCAAGAGGTCGGTCAATGGTTTGCAAACTTTACTGAAGCCTTCAATAAAGCGGCGATAGAAGTTTGCAAATCCCAGGAAACCTTGCACTCCCTTAATATTTCGGGGTACTGGCCATTCCTGAACCGCCTCTACCTTATCCTCTGACATAGATATTCCCCTTTCCGAGATGTGGTAGCCAAGATATTCTACTTCTCGGACATGGAAGGATGTCTTGCTGATGGAGGCACACAGTTTTGCTTCTCTGAGCTTCTGTAGAACCTTCTCAACCAGCCTTTCATGCTCTTCCTCAGTCTCTGAGTAGATGAGGATGTCGTCGATATAGACAACCACTCCTTCATCCAGTAGTTCCTTTAGCACATCATTGATCATTGCCTGGAAGGCGGAAGGGGCGTTGCATAGACCGAATGGCATCACATTGTACTGATACAGTCCATAGCGGGTTCTGAAAGCGGTTTTCCACTCATGACCCTCTGCTATCCTGATCAAGTTGAAGCCATTCTTCAGGTCTATCTTTGTGAAGATCTTGGCTTTGAACAACCTATCCCTGAGCTCACTCATGATAGGCAGCGGATACTTGTCCTTGACAGTGACCTTGTTCAACCCTCTGTAATCAACACAAATTCGCCATGTCCCATCCTTCTTAGGTATGAACAATATGGGCGCCGCTGCTGGGCTGCTAGATCTAGAGATCTTTCCTAAAGACAACTCTTTGTCCAGGTACTCTCGGAGGGCTTTCAGCTCTGGAGCGGAACATGGGTATAGTGGGCCAAATGGGGGAGCGGTACCAGGCAAGAGGTTGATCTTCAGATCATTTCGGGAGTGTGGAGGCAGCTCCTGTATCTTCTCTTGACTGAATACGTCGGCCCATTCCCTATAGCGGAGAGGTATCCTTTCAGAGACATCTCCTCCATCCTCATCATGCCATACTGAAGCAGCCAGTTGATATACTACATCTTCTTCTTCCATCATCTGGTATGAAGAGATGAGTTCAAACTTGATTGCTGCTGGGAGACAATTCTTCTTGCAGTAGTCACTTCGCCAGCTTATGGTATTGAGTTCCCAATTGATATCCGGGTTGTGCGTCCTTGCCCATGCAATTGGCAGGTAACCTGATATTCCTTCTTCCAAAGTAGCCACTTCCCATCGGAGTGTCTCCTTATGATCTCCCATGTTCATGTGGACTGGGTGAGTGTAATACTCTCCTCCGCCCATCATGACATCTCCTTGAGCATCATACATTGTCAGAGGTTGATCTCGCCGCACTAAGGGAACTCCATGCTTCCTGACAAAACTCTGGTTGAGGATTGCTCCTGTACAACCGGTGTCAAAGAGGAATGTCCCTTGGGCGTCTTCAACTTTGTTCTTGACCGTCCATGACAGTTCTGCTTTCAGTATTGGCCTCTTGCCATGTACTGGTAAGGATGGAAGCTTCTGTTCCATTCTTCTTCGCTTCTGTGCGGGTTCTGGGCTTGATTCTCTTTGTCTTTTCTCCATTGCTAATAGCTGCGGGCACTACTAAGATCAAAAAGAACCTTTGGTTCTATTCCCAAGCAATAATATAGCAAGTGTATTGTGTGGAAGTCTGGTAGCGGGCTGGAAGTGTCTTGTAGCAAATGTAACTTTGGCAGAGCACTTACAGACCAGCTGTTTCGGGTCATAAACCCATCCTCAGAGTGCTTGGAAACAATCAAATAGGCGAAAAACACAAAAATTTATTCAAGAGAAACAAAGAAATCGAGACCCAAAAGAAAACTAGTAAACATAGACTCTAAACAGACATTTCTACCAGATGATTTCATTGTCCGAGTCTTGCTCAGGCTGAAAGACGAAATCTTCTGTCACCTCTGGGAGTACAACAAGTGGTTCCTCTGCTACAACCGCAGCCACTTTAGCTTTCTTCTGAGGATTGGTCTTGCCATTTCCTCGTTTCCGCTTTTGTACCCTCACTGCTGCCACTCGGACTACAGTAGGTTCCCTGGACCAACAGTCGGTCCATTTGTGTCTGGACTTGCCGCACTATTGCACAAGTCAGTCTATGTACTCTACCAATAGGGAGTACCGGAAGGTCATACCTTCAAGCATACTTCTGCTTTCCTTCTTTCTTCTAGGATATCCCCCGGGATACCCTTCAGCTCCACCGCTTTGTCCTTGGAACTGGTTTCCTTCTGAGGTTTGGAGGAGCTTGCAGCTTCTCTCTTCCTCTTGGGATGCCGTTCCTTCTCAGCAGGGGGATCTCTCTTGGTCCTGGCGGGTGCTTTCTCAGCAGCTACCGTCTGGTACCTCTCATGGGTGTGTCCTAGCTCTCTTAGAGCAGCTATCCGCTCCATCAAGGACTTGGGCTTGGGGGTAAAGAGAGCCCAACTCATGCCTAGGTCCGGAAGGAGGGAACTAAGGATCTTATCATCCACTAACTGACCCTCGTAGCCAGTCTTCCACATCAGCTGAATAATGCTATTCAGGAAGGAGTCTATTCCTCCCTTAGCTGTGTGGGTAAGGGTGTTCCATTGGGCTACCGCATCATCCCTAGAGATGGCTTCACCAAAGGCTGCTCTGAGAGCATCCAAAAAGGAATCCCAGCGCTTCCATCTCTCATCCAACACCACAGGCATCCCAGCTACCCGGTTGGCAGAAGCTTGGTCGATAGAGTTGTGGTAAGCTTCATACCACTTGACCGGAGCATCTCCTTCCATCAGGTTGCCAGCATATCGGATCCTGACCTCTTCAGAGGTAAAGGACTGGCCCTCAATGGAGAAGACGTTCTCACATTGCCGGATGAAGGTCTCCACGTTGTCTGCTTTGCCATTGAACTTGGCCGGAGGGGGTGCTTTGGGTTCTCGGGCCCTAGAGGCAGCGGAGGGGTGTGAGGGGGCCGGAGGTCTCATGAACTGTGCCATGGAGGCCAGGAGTTCTTTCTGTTGCCTCTCCAACTTCTTCCTGAGGTACCTTCGCCATCCTCTCCTGTCACCATCCTCAGGCTCCGAGTCCGAACTGTCTGAGTCCCCTCCTGGGTTGGGAGCGCCGCCAACTGGGGGGACAATTCCATCTCCTCCACCATTACCCGCTGGTTCTGGGTTCTGGTTTTCTCCACCAGGGTTTCCTTCTGGCTGGAGGTTCCTCCTAGGTGACTCCGGGGGTGGTGAGCCTCTGTGGGATTCTGGGGATAACCCCTGGCGAACCCAGGCTGGAGGGAGCCCGGAGGGACCACTCCTGACCGGTGTCTGGGAGTAGTAATCGTCGTCTCCTATAGGTGGTCGGGGGGGCCTTGCTAGGCCGCCTGCCAACGGGCTTGATGGGGCTCTCTGAGGAGGTAAAGGTGAGCCTCCAATGGCCGCTGGCATCATCAGGGGAAGTGTCCTCTGCCTGATAGACCTGACTGGAAACGCTGCAAAGGGGTTCACCCTTTGGTGGAAGGTTCTCAGGGCTGCTCTGGATGAGGCCCTGGAGTTTTGCGGAGGTGCGGGATTGGGGACAGGTGCTGGTGTAGGCATCCTGGCGATGGAGAGCCTTCCTTCATTAATGGCTCTCTGGATGTCTTCTAGGAAGTTAGGGGGCATCGCCGGGTTTGTCCATTCAATGTCCTCCATCTCATCCGCTCCTAAGTCATCTCTCTGAGCATAACTCTGGAGTTGTGCCTGGACTGAGGAGACTTGTTCTTGCATATAGCCGAAGGCATTCCGGAGCAGGACTGCCTCAGCTTCTTGTCTTTCTTGCACCAAGGCTAGCGCATTGCCGGCCTTGATGACTTCCTGTTGCAGGCTGTGCTTCAGGTAGCGCTGCAATTGCGCAAAGAAGTCCTGTAGGGTGACTTCGTCGGTATCTTGCCAGGTGGGCTCACATCCGGGGATGTAGGACTGGAGCGCCGTCCTGGGCTTGTGGATCAACTGTGTCTGTCCCTCTTGGAATTCTAAAGCTGCCGGTTGCCATTCAATCTGAAGAGGCGCTTGGGGAGCCGGGAGGGCGGACATGTTGTGAGAGGAAAGAATAATCTGAAGGTGATTTGAGCACTAAAGATTATCTGTAACGGGGGCAGCCTATCTATGTATCGCTAGAATCCAATAGAATAGATGCGGCCGTGCAAGATAGAAATCAGGTGCAGATTTATTCAAAGATACTATCGCTAGAACTCAATAATCTTTAAGGGCTCTGCTACCGATAATCGTCTACTCGAAGATGAGGATCAGGTCAGTTGGGCGGGAATGATCCTGAGTACTTATACTCCAAAGGATTCTATTCTCTGCTCCTACTTCCTTACTAAGTTCCGGTGCTGCCTCCTAGTGGAAGGGAAGCAATACCATCGCTACCCCGCTTCTCTCTAAGCGTCAGCGAGTGCTTCCGATTCCGAAGGCAACCACCCTTAGTCAAAGCCTTTGTAACACCTGCAGCCTTTGTTGCCACACAACTAGGGGCCTGCATGAATGAGCTGCCACTCAGGTGTAAGCTTAATCATTGCTGTAGAGCTTCCGCTTATTGTAGACTTCCCAGGCATAGTCTCTTCCACTGCTGGCGGACTTCCAATGCTCAGAGGATGTGGAGGATCGCTGAGCACTCAGAGCTTCACTCTGGCTAGCCCTCTAATCATTGGCGAGGCACAGACTCGTCAGTCATTGCTCCCATGAGTAGATCCTCTTCCTAGCGCTCAGAATGTAGTTACTCTGACAGTTGGTAGCTAACCACACTGCCGGTACTTGCATGTCACTGTGCAACTGGCTTCTAACAATAACTCTCAGCATGTAACCGGGCCCTGTGTGTACTCATACACCAGACAGTTGAAATGGCTCCGTTACAGGTGGAATGAGGTGGAGAGTCTTCTACGAATCCCCAGTCTGTCCGTAATTGCCGCCCAGAATGCTGACACGAACTGCGTTCCTCTGTCTGAGACGATGCTCCTAGGAAGTCCGTGGAAACGCCAGATGTCTTTGACGAATGCGTTGGCGGTTTGTTCCGCGTTGATTCCCGTCATTGGAATGAAGTGAGCCATCTTCGTAAAACGGTCCACGACTACCAATACGTTGCGGAATCCTGATTTCTCCTTAGGCATTTCTACTACGAAATCCATCGAGATATCAGTCCAAGGTGTGGTGGCTAACTCTAGGGGTTGAGGGAGTGACAAGTGTCTCCGACGTTGCTTGGCTCTCTGGCATACATCGCAAGTCTTGACGAAGTTGGCTACATCCGTGGACATTCCCGGCCACCAGTAGTTCCTATCAATCAACTCGAGGGTTTTATCCCTTCCTAGATGCCCCGCTACGGGTCGATCATGATGTTCCTCAATGACCTGCTTGACCGCGTAGCCCGGTACTACCCATCGACCATCGTGGGTGGGGTCATTTGAATCGGGACTCCATTCAGCGGCAGGCTCTAACTTTACGATAGCAGCCTCCGGTGGTCCAAAGATCTCCAGGTTTGAGTCAGGGAGGTGTTCATCCGGAACCGTCCTCCGAACCCAGCGTCTTTCCTGTTCATACCAACCCTGTAGTGGCTGAGGCAGCTCTACGCTTGGTATGTCGTACCACTGATCCAATTGATTCCATTCCTCTTCGGGGTTGCCAACCACTTCGGACCCAGTTTCTACGCTGGTCCGTGATTTTCTGACAAACTGTTCTGCGCTGAGTAGCTGTTTTACGGGCTGCTCACGCATTACTCCCCCTTCCATTGCGAACTCCGGACGCCTTGTAAGTGCATCTGGCTTGCCGTTCTTTTCGCCTGGTCGGTAATGGATCTTGAAGCGAAAAGGTGCTATCTTCTCGGCCCATCTGGCTTGTCTTCTCGACAACTTCTTGGTCGTTGTGAAGTACTGCAGGTTTTGGTGATCCGAATGTATCTGGATAGGGATGTCCGTCCCTTCCAGCCAATGTCTCCAAGTCAAGAGGGCAGAAACTATTGCGAGCATCTCCTTGTCGTAGATCTCATAGTTAACCTCTGCCTCGTTGAACTTGCGAAGTGGTA